GCCGCCATTTGGGAGCCAAGCGGGGGCCGAGTGGGGGGCTGGGCTGGCCAGGGGCTTTGTTGCAATTGGCCCACCTGCCATTAGGAACGTTAGGGAAGGGGGAGTTTTTAATTGTTTTTATAATTTTATTCTATTTTAATCTGGTTTTTATGGAGTCGTCCCTGGCCATGTCAACGTTTATGTTTCCTGGGGAGCACGGGGCGCCGCCACTGGGGTGGTCTTGGGCAATGGACGTAACAGCGGTGGGGGCTTAACGTGTCCACGTAGAAGAAGGAGGGACAGATGGTTGACACCTATCCCTCCTTCTGGTTTTGCCCCCAGCCAGAGGGTGCCAGGTAGTCTTGTCAACCGCCCCTCAGGCCTGACAGTGCTGCTGCTCAATGCCAGGTCGGTCAATAATAAATCTTCCCTCATCCATGACTTGATTGTGGATGAGGAGGGCGACCTGGCTTGCATAACAGAGACCTGGGCGGGAGGGGGGGGGATGTTGCCCTCTCCCAAGTGTGCCCGCCCGGGTATCTGGTTCAGCACTGTTCACGCCAGGAGGGGAGGGGAGGGGGGGTCGCTTTGGTCTACCGAGCCTCCATCTCTCTCATGGGACTTCCGGTCCCTTTGAGACCAGGGCTGGAGTGCCTCTACTTGGTGTTGGGCGACCGACACAGATTGGGGATTCTGTTGGTGTACTGTGCACCCTTCTGCCCAACAGTCTCCCTGCCTGAGCTGACGGAGACCGTCTCAGACCTGGTGTTGAGGACTCCCAGGATGTTGGTCCTGGGGGACTTCAATCTCCATGCAGAGACTGGTCTGACCGGGGTGGCTCAGGACTTCATGGCCTCCATGACAGCCATGGGGCTGTCTCAACATGTCTCCGGCCTGACCCATGGACGTGGACACAATCTAGACCTGGTTTTCTCGACGGGGCAGGAGGAGGGTGGTCTGAGGGTGAGGAATTTATGCTTGACTCCCCTGTCATGGTCAGATCACTTCCTGGTGAGGTTTGTGCTTGAGAGCAACCTCTCCCTCTGCAAGGGTGCGGACCCGATTGTGGGGGTCCGCCCCCGGAGCTGGATGGATCCGGATGGATTCCTGAAGGCCCTGGGGGAGTTTCCGGCTGACAAGACTGGTGCTCCTGTCGAGGCTCTGGTTGAACTGTGGAACGAGGAGATGACCAGGGCTGTGGACACGATCGCTCCTAAGTGCCCTCTCCCACCGGGCAGAGCCCACTCTTCCCCTTGGTATACACCTGAATTGCAGGCGATGAAGCAGGTTGGGAGACGGCTAGAGAGTAGGTGGAGGAGATCACGGGATGAATCTGACCAAACACACTTGAGAGCCCACTATCGGGCCTATGCTGTGGCGGTGAGGGTGGCGAAAAAGAGGTTTTTTTCCGCTTCCATTCCCTCCTCACAATGCCGTCCGGCGGAGCTTTTTCGAGTAGTGCAAGGCCTGGTTTGTCCAGGTCCTAAGGAAGATCGGGTTCCACCCTCAAAGGCCCGCTGTGATGACTTTGCCATGCATTTCAGGGAGAAAATCGCTCAGATTCGTCACGAGCTGGACACCACTAGTGAATCAGAGGTTTCTGGGGAGACACCAATGCTGCCGTCTGGTCCAGAATTATTGGATGAATTTCAGTTATTGCGGCCCGATGATGTGGACAAGGTGCTTGGACGAGTACGTCCCGCCACTTGCCTACTGGATCCTTGCCCATCTTGGTTAATAAATAATTTCAAGCACGGGATTGGGATCTGGATCTTGGAAGTGGTTAACGCTTCTCTCAGGGAGGGTCGGGTGCCTGCCCCTTTAAAGGAGGTGGTAGTCCGACCAGTCCTGAAGAAAGCATCACTGGATCCAGAGATGGCCACTAACTATAGACCAGTGACCAACATCCCGTTTCTGGGCAAGGTGTTAGAGCGGGTGGTGGCAGGACAACTCCAAGCACTCTTGGATGAAACTGATTATCTAGACCCATTTCAGTCCGGCTTCAGACCCAGGTACGGTACTGAATCTGCCTTGGTCGCCCTGTACGATGACCTGTGCAGGGAGAAGGACAGGGGGAGTGCGTCCCTGTTGGTTCTCCTGGAGCTCTCAGAGGCTTTCGATACCATCAACCATGGTATCCTTCTGGATAGGCTAGCAGGATTGCGGGGCGGAGGCACTGCTTTGCAGTGGTTCCGCTCCTATCTCAATGGCCGATTCTAGAAGGTGGTGCTGGGGGACTATGGCTCTGCACCATGGCAGCTATGCCATGGAGTACCGCAGGGGTCCATTTTGTCCCCTTTGCTGTTCAACATCTACATGAAACCGCTGGGAGAGGTCATCAGGAGGTGTGGGCTGTGGAATCATCAGTACACTGATGATACCCAGCTCTACCTCTTGTTTTCCACCAATCCAGGTGAGGCAGTGGCTGTACTGAACCGGTGCCTGGCCAAGGTAATGGGCTGGATGAGGGCCAATAAACTGAAGCTCAATCCAGACAAGATGGAGGTCCTGTTGGTTGGCGGATCGGGCTTCGGAGAGGGTGGATTTAAACTAGTCCTGAATGGGGTTGCACTCCCTCTTAGGGACAAGGTCCACAGCTTGGGAGTGCTCCTCGACCCGGAGCTTTCATTGGAAGCTCAGGTGACAGCGGTGGCGAGGAGCGCTTTCCTTCAGCTTCGGCTGATTCATCAGCTGCGCCCCTACCTGGAGTACGACTGCCTGGCAACAGTGACACATGCGCTGGTGACTTCCTGTCTTGACTTCTGTATCGCGCTTTACGTGGGCCTACCCTTGAAGACGGTCCAGATACTTCAATTGGTTCAAAACAGAGCTGCCAGGCTGCTGACGGGGACTGGGCGTTATGTTCACATGACTCCAGTCCTCCGTCAGCTTCACTGGCTTCCCATTGAAGTCCGGGCCCAATTCAAGGTGTTGGTGATGACCTATAAAGCCCTAAACGGCTTGGGTCCTGGTTACCTGAAGGAGAGCTTACATCCATATATGCCCGCCTGCCCCTTGAGATCTGCAGGAGAGGCCCTTCTCCGGGAACCCTCCGTGAAAGAAGTTAGGAGGGTAGGTACTCGGAGGAGGGCTTTCTCTGCGGTGGCGCCCAATCTATGGAATGCGCTCCCCAGAGAGGTCCGCCTGGTGCCGTCGTTATTTGTTTTTCGGCGCCAGGCGAAGACCTTTTTATTTAAGCGTCATTTTAATTGTTAACAGTATTTGCTTATTTTATCTGGCCAGGACGACTTATTTTATATTGTTATTTATTTTATATTGTTATTTTTATATAGTTATTTTTGTATTTTACTTTATGTTGTGAGCCGCCCCGAGGCTTCGGCAAATGGGGCGGCATAGATATGTTTTAATAAATAAATAAATGAACATTTTCTTGGACTACCCCAGAATATATATGCTCACTGAAAAGCTTGTTTTATATAAAGCCTATGACTTGAACTATTTCAATATAGCATGATGTTTTAAATGTGTATTTTACTGCAAGACTTTTTGTATATTCAAGGTATCATCACCTGCAGGCCCAAAGTTCATTAAACAGAGAAAACAGAAAAATCAATAGTTAAGAGAGAAGTAAACTTGCCAGATTAACCCTGTGGGTAAAGTTGGCTGCTAAATTAACTATGCAATGCCTAATCTTATAAAGTTCTCTATGCTATTATAAAGAAGTCTAATTCCAGAGATGCACAAGGACATAATACATCTGAAGGTAATACAATACCATTTGATTTCATCAGTTTCATTAGAAGCGTTGCTACAGCTAGATGCATTTGACCTTAGATTCTAGATGGCTTTAATTTCCTTTTAATGGATACCTTGTCCTCTCTCTTAAATATTAGCAGGAAACTCTTCAGTGAAGCCAGAATGCTTGCAATCACATGGTTGTTTGCTTGTCCAGGGACTAGTATACATGTTGAGTGAAGGCTTAAAAATGTGCCTGTCCATTGGCCTGCATACACACACACACACATCTCTTGTATCTTGTCTGAGAAATTAAAATACTGTACAGCCCAAGACCGGAAGGGCTGGGTTCAAATACAGGGGTTACATTGTTTCATGCTCATCTGGCTCAAGCCTCCATCCAGGAAACCTGGAGTTCCAATATAAAGCTCAATCAGCCATTTCTTCTCTTTTTGAATTAAGGGAAGTCTACATGAACCATAGGAAGAGAACAGGTCAAGAACATACTATAGCCCTGCAACCATGATGCCCTGACAAAGGTGTACCTAACAACAAATGTAAGCTATTATCATGATAGATCCACAATGCCCATTAACACAAACAAAACCCTAACTTAGAAGACATTGAGCTTGTGTTCAAGGGTGACATGAACTGCAATCTTCTATCAGCCTTCTCCACACTCCTGCCCTCATGAAGTAGTAGGTTACAATTTGTATAATATCGCAAGGGCATAAAGCTGGGGAAAACTATAGCCTATGCTGTCTAGTTTCAGTAGCCACCCTCTTCTCCAATAGGTCAGCAGGGATTTTTATCTATTCAGAGTATGAACAGCTGCTATCAACACTATGCTTTTTCAATTCATGCTTACCAGAGTGACTGCTGTAGAAAATTTTACTCATGCTGCTCGACAGCAGTTACTCCATATGAATCTAATATTCTCAAATTAGTGTGGTACAGTTGTTGCTGTTAGTTGCAAGGTCGTGTCCGACCTATTGTGACCCCATGGACAACACTCCTCCAGGCCTTTCTGTCCTCCACCATCTCACGGAGTCCACTTAAGCTCATGCTGACTGCTTCAGTGACTCCATCTAGCCACCTCATTCTCTGCCGTCCCCTACTTCTTTTGCCATCAATTGGTGTCAAACTAGTACTCTGAAGATTAGGGTGCTGTCCTTACCCAGTCACAAGCTTACTGGGTGACTCACAAGCTAGTCTAATTAGCTCACAAAGTTGTTGTGAGGAATGGAGAGGATGTGGCTAATGAAAGATGCCTTGAACTCCCTGAAGGAAAAAGGAGGATTGTAAATACAATAAGCACACATCAGTCAAAGATCAGTCTCTTTATTTTCTGAAAGTGGTAAGTTACCAAAGGAAGAGGGAAATATAGTTGAAAACCTAATTTGGTTTTATCCCTCACATGATACATGTAGAAATGATCTGATTTTTACTCTTCTGCCAGTCAGGAGTGCAAAATATAGCAGTAATTCAGTAGTTTACAAACAGTTATATGAAACACCAAATACAATGACAGAGTAAATTCAGTAAAATAAAATAGCTTCATTGCAAATTAAGGGGGAAAAAAGCTTCTCTCAAATCTAAAAATGTCTAACACCAGACTCAGGTTTTTAAATTGACATTACCATGTGCAAATCTGCCAAAACACTCTTCCAACATATTTGCTCCCAAGGAAATTCTACTTAGTAACTCACATTTAGAAAACTGGCAAAATCAGCTTTTACTACTGCTTTGTACACATTTAGCATGAGTTGAACATTAATTCCTGCCAACATTACAATAATTATATCAAACTCTAATGGATATATTGTTATTAGCAAACTTTCAAATGCAAGGCCTTTCTCTTTACCTTTTATTTAAATATATATTTCATTTATGTATAAAATAGAAATATTTTCCCATTAGGAAGATGCAGCAATTAATGTTTTTTCCCCACCAGATAGATAATATACAGTAGGTTTGTTCTTGGGTTTCCGTTATATGCATTATTTTGCTTTGGACTGCAACATGTGTTAAATCTTTCAGTTTTAACTAAAAGCACATGGCAGCTATTTGCGACTGCTGACTGTTCCTCATCCCCCTTCTCTTTCCAGGGAAACCTTATTTTGTCTTCTTGTCCTCCATGTACTCCTGTTTCTTCACTTTCTCGGTGTAAGAGTTGTACTGAGAGTCTGTCCCAAAGAGTTTATCCCACCACGTGAAGGTTGATGCATAGTTGCCGATGAAGTTCATATGGTGGAAGTCATGAAAGCGAGCCCCCGCATAGAAAGGCAGCAAATGCAAAGGATTCAGAGGAATATCGTAGCCACTAGAGAGAAAGATAGGCATATTTCAGTGCTAAGGCAGACAGTTCCCAGATTCTCTGCCAAGAACACAATTTAAAAGCCAACACTGTCCTCCCAGGCATGCCTACTCAGAAGTAGGTCCCATTGAACTCAGTGCAGCTTAGTTCCTATAACAGGATATGAGGCTGCAGCCTCAGATGTTTACTTGCTGCAGTACAGACTTGCTTTTAAAGCCTTTAAAGTTCAAAGACTATGCCACTGGACAATACACTTCTACAGTTATAGTTACACAAGTAAGGAACTTCAGAGAGTTAAGGAGTGTGCCCCTTATTTCTGTATTGCTCATACATGCTATACATTCATCCATGTGAAGATTATGTAAATATCTTTTACACACTGTACTAGGCAGAGGAGGGAGCTAGCTGTTTGAAGGAATGTGGCCTCCACAGGAGTAAGAAAAATACCGATAGATGAGTTAGAACACAATCCATGGAGTTCCATGTATTTTAGAAGCATAAAGAGGTTTAATGGAAGAGGTTTAATGGAAGTCGTATTAAATAAGAATGTACTTAAACCTTTTTCACCAAAACTAATTGGACATAAAAGTACTTAATTTGGCTGACAGCTCTGATCATCTAAACTTTTGTCATGCTCTGAATTAGGCCTGACCTAAGCAATGAAAAGAACTATAGACATCTTTAAGAGCGTCTAACCATACCTTCCAAGTACCATTTTAAAACAGAATTAGTGTTTTCACATCTGTTTTCCCAAGAGCATGCTGTATGAAAAACTCTGCTCATAAGATCTGATAACTGATCTGAGTGGAATGAGCCAGAACAAGAAAAGCTTAGCTGGTGACAGTGGGATCTGGAGCTATGCTAAATCTGGAGTTACTCCAGTTTTTGCTAGAACATTAATATACTATTATTATAATCTATTATTGGCTTGGTTCACAGTAACTGTGGTTAGCTTAATATCAAATGTGGAAGCTTTGTTCTCCTCTGTGGCACATGAATGTTGAGGAGCATGTGAGGCCAAGTCTCATACTGGCTTCTCTGGGTGACATGGTTTTTCATGATGCCTGAATCAAACAATTATCAACTGCACTGCGAATTATCATGGAACAGGCTTTATAGCCCACTTATGTGGAACTTCAGTTAAAAAATAACATGTAAGCTGTGACTGAGAATGTGAAGATTTGCTCTTTGAAGAACAATATGCACTGTAAGCCCATGTAAATTTAATCATATGCAAATTCCACTAAATTAGGTGGCGCTTCTTAGTACGATTCTATATACTGTTCTCAGGATTCCAGACTAAGGAGCCTAGCACCTTGCCTTAGAGCCTTGGCCCATCTACTCAGCATTGTTGACACTGACCGGCTTCATGGATTCTGGAGTCTGAGTGGCAGTATGCGAGCATGCTGCCTGCTCCTGTCCAGGATGGTTTCTTAACAAGTGATTCATTATTCCCTGAACAATTCAGAGTTACCACATTCCAACATCACAGTCACTCCATGAACACTCTCAACCACTAGGTCTTGGCAACTACCCCTTCTTGGAAAACAGATCACTGACTAGCTCATCAGGCTTTCAGAGTGCATTTGGCTAGGGCTATCCTGACACGCTGGGGATTAAACCCTGGATGTTCTGCATGCGATGCATGCCATCTACTACTGACCAACAGCCCCTCCCCTTAAATTCACACTTGTAGAATAAAAATTAAGAGAGTTTGCAATGCTTAAGAGCAGGAAAAGGAACTTAGTTATTGCTTGGTGCATTTGTATTTTTGCCCGCAAAAACAAAGAACAAACTAAGCAACAAAAAGAAATTACCTGTGGACATCAACAGTCTCCATCAAGCGACAAATTACCCATGCCCACAGAAGAATCATATGATTACAAAAGACCATTATTCCAATGAAAAATCCAGCCCCAAGGATAAGTGTTTCTAGAGGATGTGCATATTCAGCTTGCATTCCAAATGGAGCCTAGAGAAGAAGGAAGAATGTATCTATTTTGCTACACAGAGTTACTATTATTGTATAAGTAATTTAAGTTTGAAAACTATACATCTCACAAACATATTTTCTCCTTTCTCACATTCACACTCTGCATTTACTGTTGCAGAGAAGGCAGCAATTGTTATACTGAGGATTCATTCCTATCAATTTGTGCTTAAGTCCCTTAAGTCAGAGGCTTACAAGCATCCAGTGCAGAGCAAGAGGGGCAATGAAGGTCATTTCTACCTTCCAACACTTCCACTCCAGCTCTGCATTTTAACTTGACAGCCATTTTTGAAGAGGTTCTGTCTCTGACCCTGAATCTAGGAATCTGAATTATCCTATGCACCCCCTTCCCACTGTCTAGGGGCCACAGGATCACTGAGTTAACTTTGCCTCCAAATCTAAGGATTTTTACTCTAACAACTCCAACCTGCTCCTGGAGTACCATAGCCATTTGGTGGTATATAATGGAGAGTTAAGAGGCATATTAAGATGCACCAGAAAAATATAGAGAACAAGAAGCAACTCATTCAGCAGCATCTTTTATGCTCATGCTGAAGAGGTTGCTTGAATCTCTGGAAGGCTTTATGTTCCTATTGGAAATGTTACTTCAGCAATTGAAGTCAGTTACTCAAGAAAAGCTTTCTACTCTAAAACATTTTACACCATAAATTAAGAAAACCATCCAGTGCAAGCTGGAACCATCAGAAAGAGGTCATGGCTTAGTTATATATCATAGATTTTCCATGCACATGTCTACAGGTTCAACTTCTGGCACCTTCACATAAAAGATCTCAGGTAGTAAGTGATGGACAGAACTGAGAACCTGAAGACTTGCTGCCAATCAAATTTAAGAATAAGCTAGATAATAATGGGATCTAGTGTATAGCTCAATCCCATGTTCCCAACCCACAATGGAAGGATCACAGTCTTTTGGAAAGGATTACTGTATGTGTTCTGTAGCTATTGTTTGGATGGGAAAATATGCGTTATGCAATGCACTGAACTGTTTCTGTGTTTAGCAATCTAGCATTGGCTGAGATATATCACTGCAATTACAGAGTCTGAGCAACTACAGTCCTAAAAAACCCTCTGATGAAAATGGTTTGCCATGCCTCCTAGCTCCCTCTCCTTGTCCCCTAGCCAATACTTAACACATGCCTATGCAAATATCTATACCCACTCATGACTCATGCATTAAGTATATAACCCATAAACTTAAGTCTTAATACATACAACAAATTCATGATGTACTTTGTGGATGTACTTGTATATTCTCTTGTGATGCAGCAGCCTATGCAGGAAATAATGCCAGGTATCTTCAATCACAGCACATCCCAAACACTGGGCAAGCAGCACATACCTTTGTGGGAGAAAAACTGTTGAGGCAAGGATAAAACATAGAGCCCACCCATTTCCACAAATCAACCGTTTTCTTGGACAGCTATATTTCTGGCCATAAAACCACTACTACACTGACTTTAAGGAAGAGGTAGAGGGTGTGTGTGTGTGTGTGTGTGTGTGTGTGTGTGTGTGTGTGTGTGTGTGTTCAGTAAGATGCAGAAACCTGATACAGTTAAGGTGCAATCCTGTGTGTGTTTATTTTATTCCATTTTTATGCTGTCCCATAAGCCAAAGGTTCTCTGGGCTGCTTACAGATGCTAAAACAGCATAAAATATGCTGGATACAATAAAACAATAATGAGATAAAATAGATATCTCATGATGAAATATAGCCTCACACACCATAATAAACACAGCCAATAAATTAACCAAATTAAATTAAGTTTAGACAGAAGTCCCACAACTCCCAACATCACTGAAGCCAGCGATGCTACCTGTGAGATGTTGGGAGTTTTAAAATTAATAAATACATAAATAAAAATTTTATATCCCACTTTTCCTCCCAATGAACTGAAAGCTCTTTGCACAATTCTCCTCCTGCTGCTCTGTCATATCCCCCATGCAACTACCCTGTGAGATGGGTCTGTGACTGGCCCAGTTGGCTGTACCACACTTGCTCACACTCTGCTATTTTTGTCTAAATATGTGCAGGATTTAAAATGTGAGGACAATCAGCAGAGTTAAATTATTGCTTAGGCCTTCTTATGTATACTGCACTTTGCAAGATTAGGGTGGATAAGAATTACTTAAATTGTGGATTCTGTATTATATCATATACAAAATTATCTCTTTATGTTTCCATTCATTTCATGGAGAAGAAAAGCATAGTTCCATTTGTTATCATGTGCTTGAAAACAAAACAGACAAATAATGTTTCTAAAATGTATGAAGAAACTGCACAGCCAGAAACAATGCTCAACTCACAGAGAATTATGATAGATTTTACAATGTACATTACAAATTGGATTTTAGTAAACTGGATGTTTGTATCACCATCATGATTTTATTAATGATTTGAAGTCTTTTGCTTATATTTTTATATTAGAAGCAAGCTTAGCTTAAGAAGCTTTTTTCCTTAAAGGCAGCCTCAAGTATTTTAAACGAATAAATACATGTAGCTGGGTTGCAGTGTATTACATGTGGCCAAAATTTGATAATCTAAAAATTTAATATATGGGAAAAATATAGATGCTTATGGGATGGGTTGCTACTCTTTTCCCAAGAAATATTTCAAATGAAATAAGCATTCATCCATTTAGAGACACAAAAGTTGTATTGGCTTTGCTATACAATAATGCAAGGAGCATTGTCAAATTTTGTGATATTATCAGAAAAAATAAATCACATCCTACTGACAAGAACAGTTTATGATCTACAGGAAAATTTCAGCTTGAAACCACTGAACAATATGCTACTGAATAGTTTAGGGTACAGAGTATACAGACAGTTTATCCTATTTTTAGGATAGTTCAGTACTTGAAAGATGCAACTCTCTGTTTAAGTAAAATGTCATATACCACCCTTCCTCAGATGTGCTGGGCTATGATTGCTAGCATGTTGACTATGTATAATGGGAACTGCAAACTAAAACATTTGCAAGGCACTGAGAAAGGACAGACTGCCTTATACAATATAATTGTATAATGCTGTTAACCAGTTCCATCTACCTACCATCTTGGCATACTTTCCCAGTCATAGGGAATATTGAAGTATTCTGTAAAATAGTAAGTGCCACATATTAGAGGCAGCTGAATAAAAAAGTGATTGAACATAAGTGTTTTGAAGCATTTCCATTGTTTCTCCCATGTTTCTGGCTTATCCTGTAACAACAAAAAAGTATATATTATGCATATTTTATCAATAAAACAATATAAAAACACTGTGATTCTGGTATTCAAGTTGCATATACACAATGGAAGAAATACTAGCTATAATTTAAAGCTGCTTCACCCTGCCTTGGGCCCACAGATATTGTCTGACTACAACTCCTATCAGTCCCAAGAAGTATGGCCAATGATCAGGGTAACTGGACTTGTGGCCCAGTGCCTGGAGACTGAATGGCTGTGACAGGCTGGCAAAATGTAACAAAAGCTCAGTCATGCCTGTTCAGAGAAATATAAATTGTTATTGCCCAACAGTGCAAAAGATTTGGGGTAAATAAAAAATAACAGGTACACAAAATAAGCTGGGAAAAGGAAAGTGGACCACTGACTAGGACTATCAATGTCTCAGATCTGCATCTCTGTGTGGATTCTCAAGCCAACTACCATCCTAGTCTGGATTTCTGTCTTGGCACCGTTTGATTTAAGGTAGGTGAAAATAAGAAGAAGATTAAGATGCTGTTGGAATACATACACTTCTAAGCCTGTTCCAATTTGTCCTTCAAGTCTGGAAACAGCACTATGACTGTCTATATAATCTAGGTTTATTGTAATGAAGCAACACTAGAAATGTACCCATTGCTATTTGCAGGTCAAAATAAAGCAATTGCCATATGTAAGGCTTAAGGCATTTATAGCTTTAGAGTTTGAACAGAGCATGATGTTCAAACACCAAGTCAGTACAGCCAAGTCAGTACAGCGCTGCTGAGGGGCACTGAGGCAGCGGTGTGGCGTCCCGACCTTGAGGAGAGGGAGGTCTGTCACCTGCCAGGCGCACGCATCCGGCATGTGAATGACAGAGTGGAGCGTCTTGTTCACTCCAGGGGTCACCAGCCGCTTCTGGTGATTTATGAGGGGACATATAAGGTAACCAGGCAGGGTGTGGGTGGGATCACCAGGGACTTTGAGGCCTTGGGGAAGAAACTCATGGACCTAAAGGCCCGAGTGCCCTTCTCATCTATCTTACAGGTCCGGGGATTTGGGCCAGGCAGGGATAGGAGGGTCGCCGAAGTGAACGACCGACTTAGAGTGTGGTGCCAGAAGAAACACTTCAGGTTCCTCGACCATGGCACCTGGTTTCTTGCCAATGGACTTCTGGCAAGGGACAGGCTGCACTCACAAGAATGGGGAAAAGGTCCTTTGGAGATGCTCTAGCGAGCTTTGTCCAGAAGACTTTAAACTGAGCCAGGGGTGGGAGGGGGGTTCAGGCCCCCCAAAACTTGTCCGCACTGGACAAGTGTGGGGAGAGGGTCAGGGCTCTGGGACCAGGATTTCAGAGGTAGTGCAGGGGCTGACAGGACTCCTACAAAGAGAGGGCCGATATCAGGGAAGATGGGAGGAAGGAAGAGGCTGGGGACTCCAAAGAAAGGAAGCTGTGGGAAGGAGTTGAGGTGCATGTACACCAATGCTAGGAGCATGGGTAATAAGCAGGAAGAGCTTGAAGCTCTCCTGGGAATAGGAGGGTATGACCTGGTGGGGATCATGGAAACTTGGGTGGGATGAAAGGCAAGACTGGAATGTAAACACAGAGGGGTATCACCTGTTTAGAAAGGACAGGAGGGGAAAGAGGGGTGGGGGCATAGCTTTATATGTCAGGGAAGGGATAGGATGCACTGAGATAGAATGCAGCACAGATGGGGATTCGGTAGAGGCAGTCTGGGTGAAACTAAGAGGTTTTGACAGGGAAAGGGACCTGACAGTGGGGGTATGCTATCGCCCTCCAGGTCAAATTGAGCCCCTGGATGATGTCCTGACAGATCAGATTCTAAGGATCTCTCAGAGGAGGGACACAGTAATTATGGGATATTTCATTCTCCCCGATATTCGTTGGGAGACTCACTCAGCGGTGACATGCAGGTCACATCGCTTCCTAGAAGCTAAAGAGGAGTGGTGGCAAAGCTATGGCATGCGTGCCACAGCGGGCACCCAGAGCCCTCTCTGTTGGTATGCGAGCCAAGTCACCCCAGCAGCCGAGCATTGGATAACAGAACACAGGGTAAATGCGCATGCTCGGAAGGAAGTAGCAGCACCAGGCAATGACATCACAAGCTGCAACTCATTAGCCGCAAGTAGTCCAAGCATTCGCAGGGCCTGTCAGTGTGCTGCCAAGGATGAGGAAAACAATGGAAAGGAAAAACAATGGAAAGGCTCATAATAGCGAGAGATCTAGTGATGCTAGATAGGGAAGGGAGGCTGGAGGCCGCACAACACGGCTTCCGCAATAACAGGTCCTGCCAGACAAACCTTGTGGAATTCTACAACAAGGTTTCAAGGTGGCTAGTTGGAGGGGATGCAGTGGGTGGGGGTTTACCTTGATTTCAGCAAGGCCTTTGAGAAAGTGCCCCATGATATCCTGGTTGAGACACTGAGGAGTTTTGGGATAGACCAATGCACTGTTCAATGGATTAGGGCATGGCTGACTGACCGAAAGCAGAGGGTAACTATTAGCGGGGAATCATCAGGATGGCAGGATCCCGTTTAATCTTTTCATCAATGACATGGAAGAAGGGGTGAACAGTCTGCTGATAAAATTCACAGACAATACTAAAACTGGGGCAGTGGCCACAACTGAGGAGCAGGTACTCCAGATCCAAAAGGATTTGGACAGACTATGGAAGTGGGCAGGAGACAACAGGATGGCGTTCAATGTGGTTAAGCGTATGGTCTTGCATTTGGGGCATAGGAATGGGTACAGGTTAGGGGACAAGCGGCTGGAGAGCAGCACTTGTGAAAGGGACCTTGGGGTGCTGGTTGACTGCAGGCTAAACATGAGACAGCAGTGTGATGCAGTGGTCAAGATACAGTGGTTTTATGTTATTTCACCTATGTAAGCCGTCCTGAGGCTTTCACAATAGGACGGCATATAAATATTCTAAATAAATAAGGTGAATGCCACCCTTGGTTGCATAGCCAGAAGTGTGGCTTCTAGATCAAGAGAGGTAATACTACCACTCTGTACCACTCTGGTGTGCCTACAAGTGGAGTATTGTGCTCAGTTTTGGGCCCCTCATTACAGGAAGGATGTAGCCAGGTTAGAGTCAGTGCAGCGTAGGGCCACAAGTTTGGTGGCTGATTGGCAGGGAATGCTGTATGAGGTGAGACTGAGAAAACTAGGCTCTTTCAGCCTGGAGGAGACTCAGAGGGGATCTGTTGGCGACATACAGGTATGTGAGGGGGTGTCACACAGAGGCGAGCAGAGACCTGTTCTCCCCTGCAGAGGAGGGCAGGACGTGCTCCAACGGAGCCAAACTCAGGGAACCAAGGTTCAGTTTAGATCCCAGGAAGTTAGGGTATGAAATGGGCTTCCACGGGAGGTGGCTGAGGCCCCATCGGTGAGGGTGTTCAAGGATAGGCTAGACATGCACATGGTGGGCATGTCATGAGTGGAGCCGGCTGGAGCCAGGGGTCAGACTAGATGGCCCAGGAAGCCCCTTCTGACTCCCTCTGTTTCTATGTTTCTTCTGTACTAGCATGACACACTTGTGGTGGTCTAATTTCAGAGATGAGCAACCATATTCTGTATCAGGTTAACAGTGGAAGCACGATGAGTCAATACTGAAACACAATGAGTCAATATTGGAGAAACATCACTGGCATGCTGCATGCCACAAAATGATTTGACTTAATATTTTGTATGCTTTGTTATCAATACTATAATACATGATAAACTGCACCTATAGGTTTATCTTCCAAGATAGGTTTCCTTGACAGTACTTCATAAACACTGTACTACTAAAACTTCGTAAGGGCACCACCCAATAAGGGCACCCTTCTAAATTTGAAGGATTATAGACATCCAGTAGAATGTGGAAGAATTGCTTCAGTACGTGTAGATAGCTGATTTTGGCCATCTACGTGTTTCACTCCCTGCACACAAGGAGTAGGGGCTGAGGTGCCACTCAGAAACCTTATATGGGAGTGAACCCTTGTTCCTCCTCTCCCTGTCCCACCACTGGGCTGGCTCCAAAGTTGCACTTGTGACTTTGGAACTGCAGTGGACAGCCAAAGAACTACACCAGCTGTGGGGAGAGAAGAGGGTGTTCCAAATTCAGAGCCCCAGTTATGATCACCAAGTGCTTTCCCAGGGTTAGGGTCTGGGACTCGGTCATAGCATTGTGCCCAAAGATTACTTCAGATTGTCCCTCTAGTGTTCTAACAGCTTTGAAATTTTCAATTAGTTCCTCAAGGGACATAACCAATGATCCAAAGGGATCCCCATCTTTAATTTACTATTTTACACAGTTCTGTGCATATTTACTCAGAGACTACAGTACTAGGCAGAATATACATGAAAGTACAAATAAATAAATAATCACCATTCTGTTCAATGCCAATTATTCCATAGTATACACCTTATTAAACTTGGCATCATCTCCCCCTTATTGCTTTGATCAGTACCTCCACATACACCTAGTAATTAATTCTAGGGTCACCATCCTTCCATTTTCCACAGTTCCTTATCAAGGAAAAACAAAAATCACTGCCCTTATGTAAACAAACCTTACAGGCCAGGAACCAGTTTTCCCAACAGCACCAAAGAACTGAGACAGGGAATCAGCAATTTTAGAAATAGCAATATTCAAAAGTAAACACCAGCCTAAAGTGATTAGCATAAAGTTGGCCCACATTCACCAAAATATGAACAGTAAGAATTGCATTGAGAAAATTAGTCCAGATTTACCAAACAAAACAGAACAAAACAAAAGCAAAACAAGTGATACTAATTTTCTAAGCAGACACCCCAATACAGCCTTGGTGTGACAAAAAGTTTTACTGGGGGGGGCGGGGTTGGGGGGGATTTGTAGGCTGGGAAATTCCAGGTTGTGCTACTTGCTAGAACCAGATCAGGAGTATAATCAGTTCCATCTTACCTGTTGTATTTTATACTTTTGCATGTAAGGTATAAACTGAAATACAAATCCAGGCAAACAGAGTAAAAAATAAGAAAGTTCATGGATGAGAAGTGATCCCCAGGTTGCAATCTGGAATTTAGTATAGCTATTTAGCATATATTCCCAAACATTTTTAAATGGTTGCTGTAACGGGTTCTCCGGCAAGAAAGAGTCCACATATTCTACTGCCAGGTATGCAGAATTCAATATGCCGCTGCTGTTAGTTGCCATTTTTAGTGTTGGAACATCACACAAGTAACTTCCACAGGATTTCAATGGATCTGCAAAACATCAGAATTTATTTTAGGAGAACAGCCAGCAGAACAATGCAGAAATCTTGCTCACTAAAAATACACTGAAATTCTAGGTAAATCACCAAATCAAATTTTGACTGAAACTACCAGATGGTTTTGTTTGAACAGTACAGCCAAGCTATGTAACAATAACAGTGAAAACAATTATTCTGCTCCCAATCAGCATTATTCACGGGCAGTGCATGGTACCTTCAAGATCTGGGGTAGAGAGATTTGCTAGATATAAGATTATGAGAAGCAGAACTAAAGGATCATGAGACCCACATAACTACATCAGAAAATATCGCTTTGAATTCTCCACCACATAAGTGTTGTGTGTGAAAATACTGGGCTCCAAAACTAATTTATACTAGCAGCATGCTGTTGTTCTCCAGACCAGAATGTGCAGGGCAATCCTGAGAAGGAAAACGAAATCAGGGAAGCTTCCAAATGAGAATGTGTGGTAATAATGGGAGATATCAATTCCCCGTACAATGACTGAAAAAAGTATGTTCCAGTCATGGTGAAGAGGTTACATTTCTTGACTGCCATGAAAAAATGGGTCATGGAAGTGACCATAGGAGAGGCAATCCTGGATTTAATGGGACAGGGAGGGTTGCCCAGGACCTCATGAAATGTGGTCACTATTTTCAATTGGTTCAACAAAATATCGCTCTCATATTATCTACATATAAGTGGAAAATTGCCAAATTAATCCAACTTTTGACTTCAGGAGAGGAAACTTCTCTAAAATGAGGGAACTGGTAAAAAGGAAGCTGAAATGGAGAGTTCAAGGCCTGCTTTCAACATGCACAAAGCCACCATAATAGAATCTTGGAATGCCTACCAGAAGTGAGGAAAGGTAGAACCAAGCATAAGGTGACTAACAGTTCACAATCAGCTTCAAAGAAACTGTAAGAGAAAAGAAATGGTCACTTCAGAAAATGAAATCTTGCCTAAGTGAGGAAAACAGAAGCATAAGCTTGCACAAAGGAGATGCAAGCTGCAAATAAAAAGTGGGAAAATAATTCTGAAGAGCATTTTGCTAACACCAAGGCCAACAATATTCATTTTAATTTATCAGAAGCGTCAGCTAATAGAAGAGAAGGGAGGACACTTTAAAGGCCTTTAGTGAGCTTGAAAATCAGAGTATACTTCTAACCTAAAAACAGAATTACCTTTGGGAATCAATATATCCACATTTCCCAAGATTAAAGCTTCCCCCATATATATTGCTCTCTGGGTTACACAGAAAGAAACTGACTTGCTGCTTAATGTCTTTTACCAAGTACCATGTGCCAAAATGCAAATTCCATCACTTCTGAAACAGAACAAAAGCCCCAGGAGAAACAAATTCAGCCCTGCCGCAGAGGCACCTTTTCGCACAAACGCTTACAGGTCAACCTTCTCAACGAACAGCAAAACGCTGAGCCTGAGGATACCACTGCATCGGGGGGGGGGGGGTCTTCTCAGTTCATAGGTGATGCGTTTCCATCCTCATTGACCGGACATTAAGAGGGGGGAGCTTAACAAGACATCTGAGAAGCTGCCCACTGAACACCTGCAGTATTAAACAGCACACTCATACCAAGAAGAATCTATCGTCTCTACTCATGCCCTGCCTCCAGGATCCATGTCGGCATGGCTCTGCTTACCAGTTGCTGGAAAGCCACAGCGAGAAAGGGCTCTTGCCCTCACGCCCCCCTGTCGGGCTCAGTCAGCACAAAGGCTCCAGGCTTCCCATGCAGCGTAGAAAAGGAGCAAGAACACCATCGGCCGAGCCGTTCGGCAGAAACCTCCTCCCCGCAAGCCACCGCAGTTCTCCCATTAGGGCCACCAAGCACTTACCTCCGCGAGCTCCGAGCAGCTTCCAGAACGGCCAACAACAAACTAAAAGGCCCCCTCCCCACCAGGACCTGAAATACGCTTCCCCGATTGGGCGCAGAGGGCTGCCTTTGCCGCTCCGATTGGCTGTTACGCAGGACTCCGTTACAGTCAGGCGTGCGGCAGTCAGAGAACACAGGAGGTATTGTGGGCTTCCATTGGCTGACGGGATGGAGTGAGGATAGTCAGATTTCGTCAGGCTGCCAATCGGATGGCGAGTCGGTCTAGCGATGAAGGGGAGATGAATGGGCGGAACGTTACCTGAGCAGAAGGTTCTCATGGAAACCGTAGAGTGTGTTTTAGGGAGCACGTCCGCAACATTCTAGGCCAATTTTACCTGGTACAGGTTTAACCCGAACTTGCTCCCAGGGAGGCTTCCTGTTACTGTTGTTGTTAGTCGCGAAGTCGTGTCCGACCCATCGCGACCCCATGGACAACATTCCTCCAGGCCCTCCTGCCCTCCACCATCCCCCGGAGTCCACTTAAGCTCACGCCAACTGCTTCAGTGACTCCATCTAGCCACCTCATTCTCTGCCGTCCCCTCCTTCTTTTGCCCTCCCAGCATTGTTCCCAGCATTAGGCTTTTCTCCAGGGAGTCTTTCCTTCTCATTAGGTGGCCAAAGTATTTGAGTTTCATCTTCACTATCTGGCCTTCTAAAGAGCAGTCAGGGTTGATCTCCTCTAGGACTGACTGGTTTGATTTCCTTGTGCTCCAGGGGACTCGCAGGAGTCTCCTCCAGCACCACAATTCAAAGCCTCAATCCTTTGGTGCTCAGCCTTCCTTATGGTCCAGCTTTCACAGCCATATATTGCAACTGGGAAAACCACAGCCTTGACTATACGCACTTTTGTTGGCAGGATGATGTCTCTGCTTTTTTAGTATGCTGTCTGGATTTGTCATAGCTTTCCTCTCCAGGAGCAAGGGTCTTTTAATTTCTTGGCTGCAGTCCCCGTCTGAGGTGATCTTGGAGCCCAGGAAAATAAAATCTGTCACTACCTCCATTTCTTCCCCATCTATTTGCCAGGAAGTGAGAGGACCAGATGCCATGATCTTAGTTTTCTTAATGTTGAGTTTCAAGCCAACTTTTGCACTCTCTTCCTTCACCCACATCAAGAGGATCTTTAGTTCCTCTTCACTTTCTGCCATGAGAGTGGTATCATCTGCATATCTGAGGTTGTTGATATTTCTCCCAGCAATCTTAATTCCAACTGGTGATTCATCTAGCCCCGCCTTTCTCATGATGTGCTCTGCATATAAGTTAAATAGGCAGGGCAACAGTATACAGCCTTGCTGAATTCCTTTCTCCATTTTGAACCAATCAGTGGTACCATGTCCAGTTCTCACTGTTGCTTCTTGACCCGCATATGTTTCTCAAAAGACAAATAAGATGGTCTGGCACTCCCATCTCTTTAAGAACTTGCCACGATTTGTTGTGATCCACACAATCAAAGGTTTCAGCATAGTCAATGAAGCAGAAGTAGATGTTTTTCTGGAACTCCCTAGTTTTCTCCATGATCCAGCATATGTTGGCAATTTGATCTCTAGTTCCTCTCCCTCTTCGAAATCCTTCCTGTACTTCTGGAAGTTACCGGTCCACATACTGCTGGAGGCTAGCTTGTAGGATTTTGAGCATAACTTTGCTAGCATGTGAAATGAGTGCAATGGTGTGGTAGTTTGAACATTCCTTAGCATTGCCTTTCTTTGAGATCGGAATGTAAACTGACCTTTTCCAATCCTGTGGCCACTCTTGAGTTTTGCAAATTTGCTGGCATATTGAGTGCAGCACTTTTACTGCATCGCCTTTTAAGATTTTGAATAGCTCAGCTGGAATACTGTCACCTCCACTAGCTTTGTTGTTGCTCAGACTTTCTAAGGCCCATTTGACTTCACATTCCAGGATGTCTGGCTCGAGGTCAGTGACCACCCCATCGTGGTTATCAGGGACGTTAAGCTCTTTCTTGTATAGTTCTTCTGTGCAATCTTGCCACCTCTTCTTAATCTCTTCTGCCTCTGTTAGGTCCCTGCCATTTTGGTCCTTTATCATGCCCATCTTTGCATGAAATGTTCCCTTCATATCTCCAATTTTCTTGAAGAGATCTCTGGTCCTCCCTATTCTATTGTTTTCTTCTATTTCTTTGCACTGTTCATTTAAGAAGGCATTCTTATCTCTTCTAGCTGTTCTCTGGAATTCTGCATTCAATTGTTTGTATCTTTCTCTTTCTCCCTTTGCTTTCTTGCATTTCTTTTCCTTTGGGATGGTTTTAGTTGCTACCTCTTGAACAATGTTGCGAACCTCCGTCCATAGTTCTTCAGGCACTCTGTCTATCAGATCTAATTCCTTAAATCTATTTGTAACCTCTACTGTATATTCATCAGGGATATGATTTAGGTCATCCCTGAGTGGCCTAGTGCTTTCCCCTACTTTCTTCAATTTAAATCTAAATTTTGCAACAAGAAGCTCATGATCTGAGCCACAGTTGGCTCCTGGTCTAGTTTTTACTGACTGTATAGAGCTTCTCCATCTTTGGCTGCAGAGCACATAGTCAATCTGATTTCTGTGTTGACCGTCTGGTGATGTCCCTGTGTAGAGTCGTCTCTTGGGTTGTTGGAAAAGAGTGTTTGCTATGACCATCATATTCTCTTGACAAAATTCTACCAGCCTGTGCCCTGCTTCATTTTGTACTCCAAGGCCACACTTGCCTGTTATTCCGGTTATCTTTTGGCTTCCTACTTTAGCATTCCAATCCCCCATAATAAGGACATCAGTTTTTGGGTGTTAATTCTAGAAGGTGTTGTGGGCCGTCATAGAACCTGTCAACTTCAGCCTCTTCAGCACCAGTGGTTGGGGCATAGACTTGGACTTCTGTGATGTTGAATGGTTTGCCTTGGATTTGAACTGAGATCATTCTGTCATTTTGGAGATTGTATTCCAGTACTGCTTTTCCTACTCTTTTATTGAGTATGAAGGCTACTCCATTTCTTCTGAGGGATTCTTGCCCGCAGTAGTATACCTGATGGTCATCTGAATTAAATTCACCCATTCCTGTCCATTTTAGTTCACTGATTCCTAAGAGGTCGATGTTCTGTGTCATCTCTTGTTTGACCACATCCAGCTTGCCTTGATTCATGGATCTTACATTCCAGGTTCCTATGGAGTATAGATCTTTGCAGCATCGGACTTTCCTTTCACTACCAGATCTATCTGCAACTGAGTGTCCTTTCAGCTTTGACGCAGTCTCTTCATTCTTTCTGGCGCTACTAGTACTAGCCCTCTGCTCTTCCCAGTAGCATATTGGACACCTTCCGACCTGAGGGGCTCATCTTCCAGCGTCATATCTTTTTGCCTTTTGGTAGTGTCCATGGGGTTTTCATGGCAAAGATACTGGAGTGGGTTGCCATTTCCTTCTCCAGTGGATCACGTTTTGTCAGAGCTCTCTGCTATGATTGTCCGTCATGGGTGGCCCTGCACGGCATAGCTCATAGCTTCATTGAGCTATGCAAGCCCCTTCACCACGACAAGGCAGTGATCCATGAAGAGGCTGTTACTGTTATCTTCTTATAAAGAATGGGGTATTGTATTAACTAGTTCTTAATTTCCTTTTTTTGTAGGGGGAGGCTGGGAAAGGGAGCCCATCTTCAAATTAATACAGGTACGGATGGGTCTGAGTCTCAAAGCGGCTTTGTTTTGCCATAAGCATGGATAAGCTTTATTATCACAGGGGCGAACAAAAGGTAGTAGGTCTCCAAATGGTTTGGGCTGCACTATCAGGAATGCTGAGAATAGAAGCCCGGAACATCTAGGAATAGCCACCACTGCTTTAGATTGCATTACTGGTTAAGAAGGAGAGTCTTACCATCATCTCCTTATCTGATGGGATAGTGAAAACGACGACTTCTCTAGCTAAAAGCACAGCACACACCCCACCCAAAGAATGTAGGATTTAGCTTCCCCCACTGCCCAGCATCTAGTTTTCTGTACTGGAGAGGGGGCTTGAGGACACATGTGCATGAAGGGAGAGATTTAAACAGGAGCTTGCAAGAAATACGTTTCATAGCAACCTTCCTCAAATAGATGATTCAGACTTAAATTCTTTTCAGCTCCTGCATCTGGAATGGTGAGGGTTGCTATTCAAAACATCCAGAGGTTATCACAGGGCAGCCAAGAATCAGGTGCATTTCTTCAATGAGAACTAGGCTGTGGAAGAACCACAAGTTTACACAACATATGCCTTACCTTAAAGTCAGTGTCCAATTGTTCAAAACCCCTTTAAAATGAGTGAGACTGACAGAGGACTAATTATCAATGGTTAGTAGACATAGTTGTTTGTTTTGCTGTTTAAAAGTTTCAAAACAGTGACTTCTAATATTTATATCTAAACCATTTTGAGTGTAACCCTATGGATGTAAGTCCTACTATTCTCCCATGACAGCCTTTTTGTGAGAGTAGCCGTAATGCTCACAAAATATCCATCTCCCCATAAAGAATTTAAGCACTTGTGAATTATGTACTCTGCCACCCTATGCTTAAGAATGCCTTTAACAAATGCTGGTGCAACCTTTCTTTAAGATCTCCAAGGAAAAACAAAATCTTACCTCTTAAAGTTTTAAGAGGTAAGTTTAGTACCTTTATGTTGGTTTGTTTTCATAAACTGTAAAATCATCAGATGTATGGATATTACAACAAATGTTTCAGCTTTGTATACTGAACAAAGGTGAAATGGATGGGTCTAGTGCCAGATTGTTAGTCCTTAAGATGCCACAAACTTTGTTGTTTTTACTACAATGTACATGGCTACCGTCTGGAAATCTCCAAGAAGGCCTCCACAGCATCCCAAGAAAGGTGAAAAATTGCTCTCTCATCTGACAACCTATGTAAGTTGAGGATGGTCACCATGGCTTTTAAATATTTAAAATATTTTTTCCAAAAAAATATAGCTAGTTCCTTCAATCTGTCTACAAAGTAGTGGTCATGATCTTATGAGGTTCAGAGTATCTGATTAGCCAAAGATGAACCAGACTTCTTCAGTATAACTAGATAAGCCTGAAACAAATTTTAGGAAAAACAAATATGCAAAGTTTTATTAAAGAAAATAGGTCAAAATGACAATAATTTGGTCATATTTAATTCATCAATGAATTAATTGATTTTTCTGAACATGTTCACATACAGTACATAGTCTTTAATAGCAGCTAGAATTACACAGGAATAGTTTTAAATGCCATGCAAATAAAACAGAGTTCCATACATTCTTTTAAAACCTGCAATTATGTCCATGCCAGGTATTAACCCCTATGACTGAGTTAAGATAGATACATCAAAGAAAACAAAGAAGATCTTAGTAAGAATCACCAATAAGTAAGTTAAAAACATTTTGGCATTACATGTTCTGTGGCATTTCTTAGTTTTAAAGCTTAGTTTTGGTAAATATCAAAATATACACCTCTGTTTTACAACATTGTACTGGCATACTTCAAAGTATCATGCCAATTATAAATAGTATCATCAAGTTCCAAATGGATACAAAGGAAAGGGACTTACACACATTTAAATATGCACACAATAATATTGTAACCAAAAATGATTTAGAAAAGCAACCAGGTTCTCATGCCAGCTTGTACTACTAAGCTGGGATTCAGTATCCCTCCAGAAAACCTGTAATTCATGGATATTTCCTTTTTCTTTGGAAGAAAGACAAGTTTACTTTCACTAGGACACACTACTTTTATCTTCCACTAAAAAAAAATCCATAGTCAACCATGAGAGACATGATTGGTCCTTAAGAAAGGAGTTTTGTCCAGATATCTAGCAAATAAGTACTGTGGTCCATACAGTTTCACTACATCTTAGTCAGATGCAGCTTAATGTCAAATAATGCTACACATTGCTTCAACCTAGAATAATCTTCATTTTCATCCTTAATTGTAGCAGATCACAGCATCCGATGTGTCCCATTACGCAGCTACAAGCTGAGAAGTGCTTTGATGCTTGATCACTTCAATGCCACTTGTTAAAGCTTGGTTCTAGTGCATAATTAAGGTGAAAAAATATGCCAACATTTCACAATGGTTTGTCAATAACAGTAACACCTGGAGGGAGAGAGAGATGGTGGGGTAAAATCTGAACTCTGATTTCATGGAACATTTCCACATGATTGCCCTAATACAAGAATGTACTTGTGTTCAAACCAACACACATGCATTATTTTGTCATAACAATCGTGCAAAGAAGTGCCTGCTAACTTTTCAAAACTTACAGTTTTGAAAAAGTACTCTGGGCATCATTGCAAATAAGCCTCTGTAAGGGGGTGAGCACCAATCACAAATGCTGGGAGCCCACCTTACCTGTATTTGTATGTATGCAAGAATGTACATCCTGCGCTACTCACTCTGCCATCTTTCTGCCTCTGTTTATTCTTTCAGTTTCCTTTCCTCTCTTTGGTGCTTGCTTATTCCTATTAAAGCCAATGGAGCAATTTGCCCATTGGGTTTAATAGAAAGAAAATGGTCACCTGCTGAAAATCATTAAGGAGAGAGGGCAAGGTCATAGTTCACCTACTTTTGTTTGTTTTCCTCCTTATTCAAACCAAAGGATGTATTGTTGGTTTTAAGTGTGAGGAGAAGCCGGCTGCTGGAAATCTGCTGAAAGTGGGGTGAAGGTCATCCCTTTCCAAGAACCCTCAAGCATCTTTAGTAAGGGGTGATCTTCACATCTTGGAATGTATTGATTTTTACTAGTATCTCTTGAGTTTATTCTTGAATGGGATTGTATTATCTAAACAACACTGTGAAGGCTTTTACCCTTAAAATCAATCTAGAAAAAAATAAATAATAAATACCTGCATAACTTCTTCCTGTACTCATACATGATGATACAACCATCCATTTATCTGTTGTTGGGTTATAATATTCCACAGTTGCCAAGTTGCAGGATCCGTCATCTCCTCCAACTACATATAAGAGCCCATTCACAGCACAAACTCCTATTATAAACCAGAAATAGATGTATCACAAGCTCTAAGGCCTTTCAAGATTAGCAGTCTATGACTGTAAATGCAAGGTTCTTACTTGTCAAAGAGGATACAGTGGTACCTTGGCTCACGAATGCCTTGGCTCACGAATTTCATGAATTTCAAAAATGTTCATGAAATTTTTGACTAGGGTCACGAACCCCACTTTGGGTGGCGACCAAGATCACAGCCATCTCCTCCCCCCTCCCCCCGCTGAGTGGGGAGATGGCCACAATCACAGTCACATTCGTGCAGGGAACACATGCGTGATCACGGCTGTGCTGTGCTGGGCCCATCTTTCCTGCAGGAGCGCACCCGTGATCATGCACATCTTCCCTGCACGAACGCAACTGCAATCCTGGCCATCTCAGTTGGGCGGGAGGGGGAGATGGCCACGATCGTGCTGGTTGGGGGAGGGGGGATGGCTGAGATTGCGCCTGTCTTTCCTGCAGGAGTGCACCCATGCCAGGGTTTCTTTGAGAAGCACCACCCCGACATAAATGTAATGAACAGAGTGTTGAATCTGTTGAACAATAACGGGTCTCTCATTTCTGGAGGGTTATACAGCGCAGGAAAAAACAAGTGACTATAGACAGATTTTTCACCAAAATTGACCTGCAGCTAAGAGACAAAGAGAGGAAACCCCTGAAAGAGATCTCCCCAATGTCCTTATGGAGGGGGACTCTCCTTCACAACAATAATATCCCCCCGCCCCCACCTAGGTTAGTGTTCTCCACTGTACTGTACTGTACTTTGCTGTTCTTTGTCACTTTGTTTCAAATTTTTCTGATTAAAAAAAATAGTTACAGAACGGATTAACCTTATTTACATTGAACCTTATGGGGAAATTTGACTTGGCTTGCAACCAACATCTGGCTCACAACCACATTCGGAGGGTCCAGAACGGATTAACCTTATTTACATTGAACCTTATGAGGAAATTTGACTTGGCTTGCAACCAACATCTGGCTCACAACCACATTCGGAGGGGCCAGAACGGATTACCCTTATTTATATTGAATCTTATGGGGAAATTTGACTTGGGTCATAACCAATTTGGGTCATTAACCAGAATCGTGGAATAGATTAAGTTTGTGAGCCAAGGTACCACTGTATATATTTTTCCATTTTACTTGTGTTTGGGGCTAGTCATTTTTTTCAACATCCAAAACTGCAGCAATGTATCCAGACTTTAGCCATTCACTTTGAGGAATGTGGGTGCATATATCTTTGCACATATTGTTCAGTTTTTCCAGTAAGAAAGCCAGATCTTATCAGGTACAGAAATATACCTTAGGTGCTAATATGGGCATTCGATGTCTTCCATAGCTGTCTATTTAAATATTATATGAAATATTTCATTGCCAGTTGCAATATTTACCTGCATTTCTCCTACACATATTCATATCTGCAACCTGCTTCCATGTATTGAGGGCTGGATCATATACTTCAACACTTTTTCTAACTAAAGGGCCATCGTGACCCCCTACTGCATACAATAAATTGTTTAAGACACCAACACCTGTAAGGAGCAAATAATAAAAGCAGTTAGCATTTTGTTAAGGAAAGCCCAAATGTCCACTTCTGAAATGTTATTAAGTTTGACAGACCTTGAGAATTGGGAATTGTAAATATTTTCATTTACAACAGAAGTCATACAAATACTAAGTTTCACATAGTATTTTCAGCTTTCAAAGTTTCTTCACACATTTTTCTGTAATCCTTAGAACAATAAAGGTGGTTCAGTAGCACTATAAAGAATACACACACACACCTCTTTTGTATATATATTCTCTCATTATATATAGAGAGAGGGAGGCAGGGAGAAAACAACCAGTTCTTCCATTAAAACTTCAAATCAGTTTGGAAAAGCAGAGGAGTTTAAGCAGCAGTTTTAAGATTAGCTACAGAAAACTACAGATAGAGCAGTACTGTGTACCTTTCATATGCTTCCTGTTAGCACCACAAATGTAGTATTATTTACAAACTGCAATCCAGAAGGGTACACATGTAAAAAATCTCTTAACTTTAAGAAGGCCTTTATATCTTTTACCTGCACTAAAGTGTAGCCATCTATGAAGACACTATGTATTTCATGCAGCTTTTCTGGGTACCTCATGCCATAAAAGTTAACCTTATTTCCATACATGGATTATGTATACCTGGCAGCTAATTTGGGGTGTTTATATCTGGTGGCAGATCTTTTACTCTGTGCACCTAACCACCCTTCCCTACTTCTAGAATGGCGCCACCTGAACTGTGCAATATCATGAGATTTCCTTGATTCTGCAATAAAGACCTGGATGCCAAAATTCATCTGGATCAGTGAGATAAGTGCAATTATTTTCTGGTCCAGAGGTTAAATATATGCAAAATGGAGGAAGCACATGCAAACTAGAGACCTGCCCTCAGACTCACTGTATGTATAAACAATTGAGGCGTACTTGTGTAATCTGCTGCCCAGTGGATGTTTTAAGCTAGTCCTGGAATAAAAGTAACACAGCTCCTGATTGACAGAGACCACCAAGATTTCATGCATTTATTTGCCTTCAAAGGTTTCCATGACACAGTTCTCAAGTTTGCATTTTCGTTGCTCACCTGCTCCACTACGCCTAGTGCCCATTTCTGCAACGTAGGTCCATTCATTTGAACTATAGTTATAGCATTCCACTGTACTAAGGCACTGACGTGATGCACCGTCATAGCCGCCAACTGCATACAGCATACCTAGAAATATAATTAATACATTACATAGATATATTATATACATAGGTAGATTGTCACAATATCCTGTATGTCTTCCGCAAAAGGCACTGAGGATTATACCAAGAAACAGTAATCTAAGAAGATTTAAATAGCAGATTTTGATCATGTAAATGAGTTAAGCATACAAGGCAGTTGCACTTTGTTCTGAATAGTGAACACTGTAAAACTATTTACAGGAGACAATCCTGTAGTCAACATTCACAGTATTGTAGATCATATGTGTTCATATTCTCTTAAACTAGAGTTATTATCTACTAGATTAAATGTACACCTATGAGGCAACAGACAGAGCTACAATTTGGAAAGTGGAATTCCCTGCTCCAATCTTTACACTGCCCCCACCCACCCATCAAAGTTCCACAGTGGCACCTCTTCCAATGCGTCACCACGTTCAGCAATGATAGAGAAAGGCCTGGATATGTTGTATCCTATGTCCCCCCCCCCCCCCCCCGCAACTCTTTGGCCCACTCCTGCCAGCACAACTCCACTAGATGGGGTCAAAGTGTCCTCTACAGAAGAAAAGGTGGACAGGGAAGGAAAATCCTCTCTGCCCTTCCTCTGGCAACAATCTAGCTACTAGCCACTCAATAGCCTTTTGCCCTCAAATATGTTACCTAAATTATGTTACTCTGTGCATAAAACAGTAAGGATTTTATATGTGGATTATTGTATTATTTTGGATACTGGAATTTTACATTAGCAAGCTAATGGTAAACAAACAACATACCTGAAAGCTTGTTTTGTGTCCAGTTGAAACTGGAACAGTTTTAACAATTCTGTTTGTTTTAAATGGAAATGTTCATTTTGTTTTGTGATATGTGTTGTAACATGCTACCCAAATAAAGCTATCTGTCAAAGTGATTTGTAGTATGCTAAACTAATCGTGGAATCTTTTATCTCTGAAATATACACAAACCTTTGAACATTATAATCCTAATTTTTACTAATTTGTAAAAAAGGGGCAATTTCTGAAGTTTTGAAGGGTTAGTAAAGTCAGACTTCCTCTCTTCAGTCCATCTGACCAAATTTGTCAATTTTTATATTCAAAACTTGAAAAGGATGCTCAATGAAAGCAAGGTAGCCTTTAATCAGGCTGTTCATCTGCTGAGGTGTGGTGCTTCTGCTGCAATTCAAATAATGAATAAATATCAAAATTGTCTAATTGTTAATTTTCATTTATTCAAGAATACTTTTTGGAACCTAAACAGCTATTTCAGAAGAAGTACTATTTAGCTTTCCAGCTGAAGCCAGCAAAAAGCTATTGCTTATAGTAACTCAAATTCATGGCTGGTAATACCTTCCCAATTTTCCTTAGTTCCAAGTAAAGCTTAAAAGAAGGGGGGGGGGGTGAATAGGAAACAAACATCACCAGGACACAGCAGAGGGCACTCCTGAGCCTAATAACTGCATCTGAAGCCTAATAACTGCACTCTGCCTTCATTAAGTTATTAGTAGAGTTGTACAAGAATTTCATTTTGCATCATTTTTTACTTGGATTTTCCCTGTTCGCACCTATGAATGCAAGGACATTTTGGTGGTGGGGGAGTTTAGATGTTCTTGAACTTGTCCTTGCATTTGAAAATATGCAGTTTTTTAAAAATACGCACTTTAAAAGGGGTACATTTCTCAAAAATTACAAATGTTCACATTCTAGTCTATGGAGGGCAAGTGCACATTTGGATGCACCTTTTCAAAAAAGGGGGTACCAAAATGTGTACTTTTCATGTTTGATCAAAAAGAGAAACAGATTGCAACTGAACACAGGAGTGCAGTGACCAGAGCTGCAAAGCAGAGTTCAGATCTATGGCGATCTTGAACATTGTTGATTCTCTCAACCTTAATTATAATTTTGCTCACTTGTGTTTTGGTTTAAGATTGTGAAGAAAACTGTCTTTGAACCTTCAGATAGTATAAAATATGGTAGCAAGAATACTGATTGGAATTGGATGTTACACTATCTGACCAGCACAGTGCAAACTTGTCTAAATCATTCCTACTCCATCGAACTAGCTTATTTCCCTTACCTGAACAGGTGTGCCTGAGACTCATCTGACCAAGAGAGAAAACTGTGTTTATATGGACAGACCCTCAACAATAATTCTGCACTTACAATTAGCACACAGAGGTTATAATAAATTGCACTCCTGTGAAATAATAATGAATTCATGTCAACATCATATGTTACATCCATACTTTATAACAACTGCTGGTTCATTTCCAGGCTCAATTCAAAGTGCTAGCTTTAAGTTATAAAGCAGTTCACATCATAGTGCACAATATATGAAAGATCTTATCATCACATACAGCTGTATGCCAGTTCTGAGATCATCAGAGTCCCTTTCCCAAGTGCTGCTAAATACTGAGATTCAGTAGGCTGCTACTTGTGAATGTGCCTTTTCAAAGGTAGCCCACAATTGTGAAATGCCTCCTCCAGAGAGATCCACCTGGTTGATTTTTCAGCACTGGGCAAAGACTTTTTTATTCTCTCAGGATGTTTAACAAGCTATGTGATCACTCCACTACCTTGATGTATCATAAATGTTGTGTCTTAGAGCTGTTTGTAGCATTGTAGATATTTTAAAACCTTTTTAATGTCTGATGTGTTAAATATTTTAGTCTTTGTTATTCTGAACAGTGCTTATGTCTGCCCTTAGTATTATGTTGTTTTAACTGAATTCTATTGTGTTTTTAATTTATGTCCATCACCCTGAGAACTTCAGATGTAGGCCAGTTCAAAGTTTGAAGGAAGGAAGCAAGGAAGGACAGACCAACAGACTAAACATTAATTCTATGGTCTCTAGACAGTGCTGGATTCCCAGGTGTGAGGCTGGAAAAGAGCTCTGAATCCATGCTTGGAATCCCCCTCCCTCTTTGCTGCTAGCTCAGAAAGAGAGCCAGCACTGCTTCTCCAAGGCTGCAGGAGTTACTTGTAGAAGGGGTTTTGGGGGCAGGGAGGGGACCAGCCTCACCAAGACACAAAGTATTCTGGTGGCATCTCATACTCCTTGCTTTCACCTCTGAAGCACCACAGCTAGATAGCTAAAATAGGCTGTCTAGCTGCTTTGCACAGCTGAAAACATGGAGAGGAGACCTTTTCCTTTGCACTCCTCCCACTCTGCACAGGATTCCTATAATCCTCTGAGATTATGGGTAGCCTCTTTGAATTGCACAGTAAATCACAGTAAATTCAGTTTAGTTCTAAGAGGAGATCTTACCTCCAACTACACCTACACCAACACTACTTCTCCTTGTATTCATTGGAGCCACATGAAACCATTCATTAGTCTTCATATTATATGCTTCTACTGAGGATAGTCCTGTAATAAAGTAGCAAATGAAGTAGATAGAATGAAAGTATTATTTATCTAGTTTTTCATAAACATTCAAAATTGTGAACTAGTTCATGAATAAACAAACATCATTTAGCTATTAACAGATAGTAGCATTAGATTGCTGGTCTTAGGTGAAATACTGTGTGTATACACTTAAAGAAGAACTCACGCAGAATTTGTTTTTTATATAATGGGGGGTAGGTTATGAATTTTATATACTGTGGGTAAATAAGAATTTTGTGTTGAAAATGGAAAACATCATAGTAAGGGCCTGGGGGAAAAATGGAATATTCAGAATACTACAAATGGTAGATCTTTTATGGTCTTAGCTGAAGCATAGATACCTGGTGTTATGTTATAAGGTGTTTCTTGGGCAGGGTGGGATGAACATCCCAAAGTTTTTCAAGCATTAGCTTTAAAGAAAAAGGCTAACAAGAATTGTGATTTCAGAAAAGCTCCACAATCTGAAAACCGTCTCCTTGGAAGAAACACCCAAATGGGGAAGTATAGTATTACTAAAAGATTTTATACCTGTGCTTCCATCAAATCCTCCCACAGCGTACAGAAGCCCATTTAATACAGCAGCTCCCAAAGTACTTCGTCTGTCCTGCATATTAGCCACAGTTGTCCACTGGTCTTTTATTGGATCATATGAATCCACTGTTCGAACCCTCAAAGAGCCATTGAAACCCCCAACAGCGAAGACAAGGCCACTCATGTATACTACTCCTGAAAGAAAAGAAAAAACAAAAGAAAAGAGGCCTGTTTCACCACCTATATTTAAGATTTCAGTCTCTACAAACAATATTTTAAAAACATAAGAGCTGCATGCTTTTTAATTCTGTTAACTCATCTTTCTTCAGTGGAACCTGTTGACTTGGATTTAAATATTGTCAACAATATGGCAGAAGCTAATTAGGCAAGATCTTCAACTTAAGAAAAGATGTAGTTACCTGCTCTGCATCTTCTGGAAGGCAACTCAGCAACCTGGTGCCAACGTTCTTCTTTAAAATCATAACATTCCACACTGCGGATAGCTTTGGGCGCTTGTCCTCCAACCACCACCATCAGCTTCAAAGGAAGCAATATCCAGTAAGTAACCCAATTGCTCATCCACATGAACAGAAACCAAAAATTAAAATGGATAATCTATCATTTGTTACATAATGAATATGACAAAGAAAGAACCAGCCACCTGTTTTCCTATAGCTCAGATATATATCTCTCAGTTCTTGAAAGTCCTTCAATATCTTGCATTGCCCTTTTATTTTGAGATTGTTTGCCCCAAGGAGATTCTCAGTTCTACCATCAGAGACCCCAGTACAAAATTGAAGATAACCTTCTTCCATTCTTATATCACCTACCCACATAACCCCAAATGTTTGCAGGGAGGGGGAGAGAAAAGTTTCTCCATGGTCTGTGGCAAAACTATTAAAGAGTTTCATATTAAGGAAACTGACAGTCTTTGTTTGTGTCATGCATTTGGCTCCAAGTATCATGAACAACATTGACTAGGAGGTATATGCTCATAACAGGACAGATATATTTGCTGAACTATCATAATCAAATTTATTAATGTGGAGGCATGTCCTAGCAATCATTCTAATATTTCAGTTACCAACTGGATTCAGAAAGACAACAGTTCATGAATACTATTAAATTCAAGTAGGAAAAGTATAAGTAGATCCCTATTGATAAAATCTGACAGTATGAAATTAATAAATAAGGATGCTCTGGAATTTCAGGTCCAGGTCCAGTGTGGCATAGTGATTAAGAGCATGGGTCTGGGACTCAGGTGATCTGGGTTCTAGTTTTTGCTCAGCTATGGAGTCAACTGGATGACTTGGGACCACTCACAGACTGTCAGCCCCCAACCTATCTCACAGGGTTGTTGTTGTAGGGATAAGGTTGAGGGCAGTAGGAGGAAATGATGCAAGCTACCTTGAGTTCTTTAAAAAAGAAAAAGATGGGATATAAATAAATCCAGCCCATCTGGATTCTCAATACAGTCCTTGGACTTCCCCAGATGACCATGCCCTATTTACATGACTCTACCCACCGTTCCCCAACCAATTTTTTGGTGTTTTCCTGACTTTTGTGCAGGAAAAGTAAGAACTGCCCATCTCTTTCTAAACAATGAAATGTCTTTCCTTCAGGTTCCATACAAGTTAGGGCAGTAAGAATTTTAAACTAAAAATTGTTGATTTTCTTCATTTTAGCCCTACTCCTTTTGTCCCACCCACCACTCAAATGTGCCCTACCCTGAAAGCATCTCCAAAATGGAATGTAGGCTTTGGACCGAAAAAGGTTTAAAAACTCTTCTTTAGGCTGTACTTCAAGTTCATTTACTCATTAAAATAGAGCAGAACCCATTTGGCTGCAATTGGATAGTGGCACACCTCTTTCTCTGGTTTAATCATTTCATGGTGTTGCTTTGATACCTTCAATTATTCTGAGTGGCAGAACCTTTAATATAATGACCACATGTGTTGCATCAGTACTGCGTGCTTAACTTTTCCTCGGAAAGTGCACTTAGCATAATGTAAAGGAGAAGCAAGCCAGCCATGATGGACCTTACTTTTGGAAGGCAGGCAGGTGTTCGGAGCCTTGTCCGTGTGGTCTTCATCAGAGCTCTTTGTTCAAGTGGTAACAAATGGTACTTCATTGCTTCAATAAGATAATCCTTACAAGCACTGCTGTTTTTAACAAGTGCCTCCTCTTCAACTCTCTACAGGGTAGAAATACAGATACAGTTTTATCAAGTTCTGCAATAAAACTGTAGACTGACTAATAAGTTGAGAGTGCAGCTCCTATTTCAGTACTAGTTGTTTGCCAAGTCTTTTCAGTTTGTTCTATCAGAAACAGAAGCACAATGTTTTCCACACCAAAACAAAGAAACAAAAAAAAGATGAATTGGAGGCAAATATTCAAGAAGGATACTGACATACCAGAAATCAGAACATACAGAAGTCATAACCTGCAAAATTGTAAACTGTATCTTTTATTTGTTAAGTACAACTTAGAATTCTGTTTGTAAGAGTATACTGTAATTTTTTTCAATGTAAATAATTCTTCAAAACTTTACTGGAAAACATCAGGCTAACTTAGTCAAATAAATGAATCCAAGTGAAACAAAACTGGAAGAATTTATATTTCTAATTTGTTAAGATGCTTTAAAAAAAAACAGGTACTGCTAAAGTATATAAATACATTTGCCTTTGAAGACACCAGCAGCAAATGTTTAAAAAAAAAACACACACACACACACAGCTGTATAGTATAAATCAAGGAATTTTGTTAGGTATAGCTGCCCATTCAGATCCTTTAGCAAAAGCGATTTGAAGTAGAATACTTTGAATCTGGGAGTTTTGATAGTTGGGCTAAAGAAGGATGTACTTGCATCGACCAAGCAAGCTGTGTAGCGTGGTGGCGGCGATCTGCACAGCACCATGCACTCTATATTTTCTCTAGATGGGTCATTTTCGAACATCTGGATTTAGCATCAGGGAGGGATAGAAGGGAGGAGGCAGGAGTGCTGACAGGAATTGGCAGAACTGCACTGAAGCCTAGTTATGATGGGGGGGGGGGGTCTTTCTGCTCCTGCTGTGAGGGGTGGGGCAGAGGCCTGGCCTCTGGAATCTCAGCTCCAAGACTGAGGAAAGGACATAAGATTGCACCCAATTTTTTCTCAAATTAAGAGCACTGTATCTTTCCAACTATTAAAATATTTTCAAAGTCTCATGTTCACCATAAGGCACAACAGAAACAAGGGGGGAAAATTACATTTTAAAATAGCTTCTCCAAACGTATAGACAATTGAAGTAAATTGCTACTATTTTACTAGAAAAGCTACTCATGGTTAGAACTTCCCTTGCCTTTATCCAACAGATGTTACTCTTACTGTTATTAGTCTACCCACTTACAAAACAGCTTGGTTATCTTACAGAAGCATGGGAGAGAGAAAAGTACACAAATGCTTACTTTTTACTTACCTGAACCAAATATTCTCGGGAAAGCAATGGCAGGCGGACATGTTCCATCAGCCGTGCCATGAGCTCTTGTCTCACATCTTTATCATGGTTCACCCAAGCTATCACTGCTTCAAATACCTTCCACAACATAAGAAACACTATGAGTTTTGCACACTTGCTATCTGGGCAGACACACACATTATTAATGGGTCCTGCTCCGATGGTTCTGGAATTCAGATTGGAAGACAAAGAAATTTCCACCATGGGCCAGTACACCAGCAGAGGCTAGAGAGGCAGACAAAACAGCCCCAGTCTGGATATTTGCTAACTTATCTGCAGTGACATCCAGACTTTTACTGCTACAAATAATCTGCTAATCCTAGAAATGAGTTAGAAAGGTCACACAAAACCAGGCTTATCAAAGCTCCTCAAGACACAGGAGATCCCAACAGATTGAACAAGACATGGTAGCAGTTGAGAATATTTCCTTGACTGGTGTGAGGCACAAGAAGAGGTCACAGCAAGGGGTTCAAAATTGAAGCTACTAATAGAAGCAGATATGAACTATATAACATCATGGTTTCTACAGCAGGTATTTACCACACCAACAAGCCTTGAGATTCAGCTAATGTGACTCAACAGCATACCTGCTATAAAAGTGAGAACAAAGGTGGTCAGCTTGAATTAGCTTCATCTATTGAACAGTGAAGGGGGAAGATCTTAATAACTGAGCTCTAAGTTACTGACAGAATACTTTGATATTTTGGGTCAGGTGTGTTACTGTAATAATACTTAAGGTAGCTTTTTTCCAAGAGTGGAAACCCTTGTCAAGTAAATTATAATTTTTACACTAATCTTCAAAAGGTACACATACTAAGATTTTGGCAATATGTGACGGCATTAAATTTATAACTATTAAACATTTGACTTTAACTAATTAATAAATCACATCTTTTTAAACTATGGACTGTCCTAATGAGAAACTGAGCATGGATGCTAATTTGAAAACCTTGAACTATAAAGAAAGCAATTTTCTAGTACTGGATTTCATTTCATACCACTCCTGGGTATGGCACAGGGGAAGAGAGATACTGTCTTTTTTTTTTAACACACTGAAGGTATTACGAGTTACTCACACACACACCTTTCCATGTAATTATTGCTGAGTTTATCAAGACAGCCACATTATCCATAGCTCCAGGAAACCACAATAATTTCTTGTTTGCTATTCTTTTCCAGAAAACCAAGCAGATATATTTACAAATGTGTTTGCTAAAAGGCCCTAATTATTTTACAGTACAATCCTATACATGTCTTCTTCTAAGTAGGTTCCACTGACTTCAGTGGTACTTACCTCACTTATTTATGTATTAAAAACATTTCTATCCCATCTTTATCCAAACTGGATCTCAAGATAGCTTACTAACGAAAAGTATAAGAGCACTTTTAATGCCTCATTATGATTTATCTATTCTATTTCTATATCACAGTCATCTGAAACTCACTGGATGGTGCCCATTTATGCAGTAGAATCAATTAAAAATCTGGGCAGTTAGCTCTATTTTATTTATAAATGTGAACAGCAAAAATTTTTGCACAGTATTTTCATCTACTAATAAGGATAGTCCTGTTCAGGAGCTGGCAATGTCTTCTGCAGGCAATTCCATTTCCCCTGACCCAGTTTTCTGTTCCTCTTTTCCAACTGACAGTTGACATTCTGTGGCTAGATGAGTTTATTCAGTTCTCACTAGATGCTCTTTAACTCTCCAGGACTTTCTTTTTCCTGCAAAGGTTTCTGTACTTTTGTTCTGAGTATGCAGATACCTCCCCACTTGATTCTCAAAACAAACTTGATTCTGTTTTGGCTAGAGTCCTGTTGGCACTCACTACCTAAATTTACTATGCGGAGGATTTTATATAAAACTACCGTACTAAGCATAGTTGCACTCTATGTGGATGCTTCCTAGAAGTTTTGTTAAACTTTTAGTTAGGCTACTGAAAAACCTGAGCATTTAATTTAAGGATAAGAGTTACACAACTCTAAAAGCAGGCCGAGATGTGGGCTGATAGCACTGCATCACTGCCAAGTCTCAGAGTCAGATTATGATTGTGCAGTAAAGTGTCAGCCCTTACTGAGGGAGGAAACCCACACACGACCTGGGCATGTGGTAAAACAAAACATCACAACAGCTTCTCCATATGCCCAAACTCAGCACGTGGTTTGCTTAGTCTACATCTCAGCCCACATTCAATGTCATATGATCTTGCCTTGGGTGGTTAGCTGTATGCCATCTTTGCATACTGTTTCCTCCTCTTTATTTAGGGTGTTTTTATCCTCTTAACCCATTTATCCATGCTCTGGAAATCTCTAGACCAGACTACTGCAAATGTTATACATAGGGCTCTCTTACAAAATGTAATTCCCAGGATACAAACAAGAACCTTTGTTGGGAACCCATCTTGCCCATGTTGAAAGAACTTCACTGGTAATCTGACAGTTTCTGAGCCCAATTCGGACTGGTGATGCTGATTTTCAGATTAACCTATACAAGTCTGAACCAAGGAACAGAAGGACTGTCTGCTTCCACATCAACCAGCACATGTGCTACCATCATCTTTGAAAGCTTTTATCTGAATGTCCCCAACATCTGTGATGAGGGGGAAGTGACAAAGGAGAGGGACTTCTGTATTATAGCATCTCACTTATGGCACTGCCCACCTGCCAGAGACTCATCTAGGACTTAAGTGATGTCTTCTGCTTCCATATATGCCCAGAGCTTATTATCTGAAAATATATCATCTTATTTTATTTTTATTTTCATTCTGTAATTGTTTCGTGATGTTTACTGGCTTTTTGATTCACTGTTAGTTTCAGGCAACATGATAACCCACCTTCAGGGATTGTGTATGTGTTGACGGTAGGTCCTCCCTGAACCACAGACTACCAAAAGGTGAGTTATCATGCTTTCTGAACCCAGCCAAGATAACAAACCATGGTTTGTTAACTACAAACAATTCATGAAAAGAATCCATGGTTAATTGTTGGTTTGGGAATTGGGGGTCATTCAGGATTAACAACCCGAGCTTTTTAATCTTGGCTGGTTTCAGACAAAATGATAACTCACAGTTCAAAAACAACACTCCTACCATGTTGTCTGAACCCAGCTTATCTCCCTTACTGTAAAGCACCCTGAAACAATAAGTAAATGTGAGAAGGTCTGGGGGTTGCACCTTTCAGCTTTTGTTCATTTCTGCTGTTAGGAATATTATTGCTTCTACCTTGAGCAGTGACTAGCCACCTTTATTCCATTCTTGGCCTAATTCTGATGTTGCCTTTCCCCCTCCTTTTTCACCATTCCCATCTGATCTTCTCTTCCTCTTGTTTTCCATTTTTCCTCCCTCCCTTTTTTCTCCTTTAAAAGAAAAAAACTCTAGACTAGTAATATTTTATCATTTATATTGTTATGACGTTGTTACTCTGTTTGGTGAGTAAGGAGAGCTAAAAGGAATTCTGTTACATACTCAGTGCTTTGTTTAGAAAACAATAAAAATTGTAATGATTGTAAATTTTCTACAACTTGGTATACTGATTAATTGACAAGTCAATTCAACCTATGATTGATCAGTAAAACCTATCCAGAACAAAATTCAGAGCCAAACCTGATATGATAGTGGTGGGCATATGTTAATTTTCATCCACAGAGGATGAGAGGCTTAACCATTTAAAAAATGCATTAAAAGTGCAACAAACTCCCCCCACCCCCGCATAGTCTTGCTTGCCTTCCACGCCTTTGTTGTAGTCATTTCTTCCCTCTTGGCTCTTTTATGATACTGGAGCCAGAATTGAGAAGACAGAGTGCAGTAAGGGAATATGAGAAAGAGAAAGAAGGTTTATGCAAACTGGAGCGGCAAGGTCAATGGTCCGAGATAGGACTTTTTTAGGAACACCACCTGACAGAGAAGGCAAAAAAAGCTCCTTTTAATTTTATTCTTATTTCTTAAAAGTATATCCTGCCTTTCCTCCAAAGAACTCCAGGTAGCACACACATACTCCACCTCCAGTCAATTTTATTCTCATAGCTCTGAGGCAAGGTAGGCTGGGAGTCAGCGACTGGCCCAAAGTTAACCAGTGAGCTTCACAGCTGAGCAGGAACTAAAACCTGCGTCTTCCAACTTCCAGTCCGACACTCTACCACTAAAAAATGGATGGTTGGATTGTCATTTTTCCATTTTAACAGCACAGTTTATTGTATTTTGGTCCTGCATATACTGAAGGTTTGATATTTTTTATTTAACATCAAGCCAGGTGCCTGGAAGGTGAAGCATGTGATTTATAAATCTAATACATAAATAATATAAATAAGAAAGCAAGAGAGCAATCAACTTTTCCACATTGCTGCTTTTATTGATAGAGTTTAGTAGGAGTAATTGAATGGACATGTGAATGATTGTTCCATCACATCTGATTTGGCTTCAACAATCCATAAAACTACTTCCAAATGAGGGAGAAGTTATCTTACCTTTTCCTCTGATGTTATTGTCAGTTTGTCACTGGATATTAGGCTGCACACTTGTTCTACACCAAGGTTCAGAAATTCCTCACCAAGTATGACCTCAGTAAAGTGCTGCTCTGTTTGAGAGGGGGAATATTTAAACACACACACTACTGGAATGTTATCAGTAATAAGAGAGCAATTTCATCTTTATAGAGATTCAGTAAATACACAGTTAATTTCCACTCCAGCTGCTGTAACTATACGTTGCAGTGCAGACTTCATGTTTATGAAGCAATCTAGTGCATTTTACAGCATGGAAGCCGAATTTGTAAAACCAATCCATTTTGATTAGTATGGAATGATAGCCTTTCATATAAAATGCTCCTCCATTTTAGAAGTATAACTGACAATAAGATCACTGTTACAAAAGATGACACAGGTATTAAAAAACAAGTTTGGTGCAGGAACCCTGCTTCTACCGCAGCAGTAGGAAACAGAACCTAAGGGCCAAGAAACATGTGACCTTTTTTTTAACTTCTTTTCCAAAGCAGGTTACAGTGAAAATAAAGATCAACAAGTACTACATCTAAATAAAGATCAACAAATGCTAAAATGAAACACTACTATGTTAAGCAAGGCTAGCAAAAGGCACCATTTAAAAGCAGCAGAACCTACAATTCTTTAAAAACAGCTGACCACATTTGAAGAGCTGGTTGAAATAAAGGTTTTCAAACATCATCTAAAGATAGAAAGGACAGAAGGTTGACAGTCAGAGTATTCTGCAGTCTTAAAACTGGGGAACTGCCCTATATTTCTTTGTTGCTGATGTGCAGGCATGTACCTTACATAGCATATACAGAGAATATAGCACCAACCACACAGGAATTGAAGAACTCAAAAGAACTCTCCCCCACACGAAAAAAGATTCTGGGTTTGGGGAACCCCAAAAACAATCCAATGAGAAGTAGGAATATTCAGTAGCCCCTAACTGTTGATACAGTTGGCAGAAGAGGTACAGGGAGCCACTGCTTACTGGGTGGAAGAAGAAACAGAAAAGATTATGAAGGAAGAGGGCATGGCTGACTGAAAGAATGCAACACTAAAACAGAGGCATTATTCACAAAAACAATCCATCACTAATTCATTGGTTTCAGAGGGGCCAATCTCTTAAGGGGAGCTGCTATTCAAACCCAGCAGTGGTGTTTCTCTCTCACTCACACTCTCATACACAATTCCTCTGTGTACTCCCCAGGTTCCCCAGGAAATAGTACAAGACATCTGAAGAGGCAATGCTATGATTGACCACCTGTTCAGAATTTAGTTGGTTGCCTAGGAGATCCTGTGGACTGTTTAATATATCTCCTTTTGTAAGCAAAGAGGCACAGCTAAACTAAGTATACTGAATAATGCACCTAAACTGGTCATACAGGGCCGATTCAGCCTCCTCAGTTTGAAGACACTGGGTCCTAAAGCTGGCAGGTGGGGGGAGTATTCACATAGGGCCGAAAAGCCAGGAGATATTGCAGTACTGTTAGCAATGAGGAAATAAGTGCACCCAATTTCACGTATCAACAATTAATTAATTGTTAATTGACCAATTAATTAGCACATGACTGCATGGAAGTGGGCAAACTCATGTCTCTCACCTGCTCACCACTTCCGCTTTGCATCTGGTTTATAAAACATTCCAAAGCTGTGTGGCATGACAAGTGAGAAAGGAATTTTCTGACACTTATCTGTATTTCAGCTCTGCAAACAGCTGTCCCCCCACACCCACCAGCAATGGTCTGAATAAAGGACTGAGAATCAGAAATGGAGCAGAAGAGACCTTTCCATGCCTCCCACCACTTAATCCAATCTGCTGCTTACAGGGGATGTGGAGGCAGGAGGATAACAAGGCTTCCCTACACCTTGGCTGTGTAAAAGTGCTATCAGTAATATGAGAGAGGCAAGGTTCTCTCTCTGTTTAATACTTCAGGTACTAACAGTACATTCCAAATGCTGAAACAAATCTAATTTATGATGAGCCAACCTGTTTACCATGTACTTCCCTGACACTGCTTAGAAACCATAACCAAGAATATCTTGCTGTCCTGATTTCAGGCACAGGAAGGCCTTGGCCAGTGAAGTAGGCTCTAAGAGATCTAACTTAGAGACTCCATCTCAAGATGAGAAGAGATATATGGAAGGCGCCCAACCAAGAAGAGCAGCTTTGAAAGGAAAATAAAGTTTTAGCCCTCATCTTTCACCCTTTCTTGTACATACATATTCATGTGTGTGTGCATACGCGCACACACACACACAGAGCAGAGACCAATTTACTAAATAAAACCTGGGGATAAACAGAAAGAAAAATATGTTGAAAGAGATGTTTGCTTGTTTCATTTTTCCAGTGACTGTTGTTTCCCCAAGGGTGACAGTATTCCCCTGATTGACTCTGATGAACCTCTCTAGTGATGTGAAGAGGAAGGTATATTCCTGCTAGGGAGAAGACCAAGTCTATCTTTATGATAACACTGAGATTATTTTGATGTGGGGGGGAAGGAATTGTTCTTTTGCAACAAGACAATCATGGGAATTTTTCAGCACAAATAGCATAAATATATGAAAGATTTATCTCCTTAGTAATAGTGTACTGTAGTAATCCAAGTCTCATGATTCTACTTACTAGGCAAGCAGAACAACTGAAGCGAACAAAGGAGACTCAAATATCTCATCAGCTTGACTTGTGTATTTCAGTAACACATACAAGAATAAAAACCATAGTAACAAAGCTAAAATAGCATAGCAACTGAAGCTAATGCTTTAAAGTACCAGCTGGTGGTTGGTTTGATGAAACGCTGGCTTTAAAGACTTCTGCTCAGATTTAAAGAATATTTAGCGAAACGTTGCACTGATAAATAGAGCAGGAATTACCACCTCATCCCAGGGCTTAACTTATAATTACATGCCCTTGCCAATTGCCTCCAATATATCATCTAGGTAGTGGCTGCCACAAGTACTTAGAATGCAGCCAACATCTGATGAGACTTAACGTGCTACTGAGAACTGATAATAGGCACAGTTCATGCTAAAGTGATATGGACTTTGCTGTTCTGTGGGAGATTTTTATTAGACCTTTAGCCCATCCCATTAGCCATGAGGCTGTTTGTAGCCACATCCAACAATGAATGGAAAAGTTTCCCATAATGAAGAATTGAATTGGTTATTCTGATTTGCCTGCTTGCTATAGTCCCTATCCTAGTCCTTCTTATAAATTTCCACAGTTAATTATGGGCACAAATTTATACAAGGTGGGTTATAGTGGAGAAATTATACACAAGTTGGAATTAGTTATATTTGTAATTTTCCTCAACAGTGCCCCTGAAATAGCCTCTAGGATTCAAGAATAAAGTCTAGGTGTCTATCCTACTTGGTTTTTTGAAAGATTGAAATAAGCAACTAGAATTTGAGATGCTCTCCTCAAATACAGAAGTCCTCGAATACAGCAGTGCAGCCAAATACTGAACAAACCACAAACCTGCTTTGGCCTTTGCAAATCAAATGAGCAAATCAACACATTAACCACACTGGCTCTCGTGAAGATTTCAAGAAGAGAACTAGCATAGTGTTTTAATTAACACGTTGACTTGCTCATTTGATCTGCGAAGTGTTGACTAAATGTTCAGTAAGCAAAGAATATCTTCAGTTTCCCCTGCAATTCCTTGTAGACCAGAAATATAGTTTCCCTGCCACCCTCAGGGCTCTTTTTGGGCAACAAACTGAAGCACCATGAAAAATCATTTGTCATCTACAGTCATCTCAATGTGGCAAGTTACTGCTTCAGTTCAGACAGATCAGGAATGCCATGGGGCTTGCATGCTGCAGCTTCTTGAATTCCATGCCAGTTCTCAGCTTTATTTCCAACATTGCTACTCCCAATGCTGAATCCCTAACTTAAAACTTTATAGTCATAGAATGGTTGCTTTTGAGTTTGTTGTTGCTGTTATGTGCTGTCAAGTCATCTCCAACTTATGGAGACCCTGTGAATGAATGCCCTTCAAAATGAGTACATGATTAAAATCAGTAAACCAGGAAACATGGAAAAGGTGGTTTGGTTTCTTTATGTTTCATAGAATAACGAATTAAATACTGGCCTCTTAAATGGGCAGTATTAGAAACTGGTTTAGCATATTCACAAAGAAAAGGAGGGAAGCTAACATGGTGCCAGGCCTTAGGACTGTAAACATAGTAACACAGATACACATTCATAGTAACACAGATACACATTCTTCCAAACACAGATGCTGACTTGCTATGTTTATACTTATTTTTGCCTTTTGATAGCCATTATTGTAACTATTATAGATATAATTTTGTCAATATACTGTTACTACATTAACAACATTTTGGGTAAATGAAAAATTCTAAGTGCTTAGTTGTCTGTACTCAAATTGTATCTTGGTATGGGTTCCTATCATTTTACTATGCTTTCCTGTATTAGTTTTGAAATTTATTCAGCTTCCCAGCTGCTTTGTGAATTTTGCTTGTGCCTACAAAAATTTATAATAGTCAGCTTTGGGACTTTAACTTTTAGCTTAAGTTCTATGTTTCTGAACTTAATGTTACAAGACAACCATGTTGGACAATACTGCAGACTGACCAAATTATTTTTACAATTGGTGTTGCACTTGCCTGCATATGTGTTGGCCTTGTTCAGAAGGTCTGTGCATGCATGCATGTCAGCAAAAGCACGGATGCCCAAACAGTTGACAGGGTGGAGCTGGGTTTCCAGAAAATCACAGCAACTCTTCTTTACATCCTGCAACTGCAACAAGCTAGCTGCCGGGAGAAGTACCTACAATAACCAAAACTAAGTGAGTTCTTGAAGTCAGCGTTATTATTGACAAAAAGACGTAAAAAACTTGACAATAATGCACACGTTAGAAGTATTAGCCTTTACAGATAGGTATGACTGGCGGAATTTAACGTCTCCTCCTTGCTTTATTAGTGTATTATGAAGCTTGCTATTACAGAACCTATTCTGGGGAAGTTATTTTACAACTAATGTTTCTATTCATCTTATACTTCCTTGTTAATATCCTCATTAGCTTTATAATCCAGTTTAGCTGCCAAGAAATAGATCACTAAAGAAAAGCAGTTACTCATCTGGCCTCTTAAACTACAAGCTGCATTCAAAAATCCATCTTATGAAGCAAGATACTTATAAACTTGGTGTACTTCATGCAACACCTTTGGTCCCACTTCACTTCTCCCTATGTGTGAGCAGGGGAACAATCTGGAAAGCTAGGTTAACCTAGTTTCCTGTTATGTCTGAACTATGAAACAATGGCTAATGACTTCAGAAGTCACATGTCTTAAAACATAGCTCCAAATCCTGGTTTGTTTGATAGCCATCAGCCATAGGTGTTCCATAAATGCAAGTTACTACAACATACCATTGATTGTACCCTAAAAGATGCTTCAAATAACCTTTGAGGCAGAAAAGACAGGAAGATAAATATTTTTCCAGAACTTTTGAGCCAGGTTGGAAAGTGGTAATTTGAGCCTAGGGAATTCAAAGACTGGTTTTCTTTAATTGTCATTTACATTTTATAGGACTGGAAATCATTACTATTATGTTCAGATCAGACTGTTAGGAGAAATAAGATTATGTACTTGTCAAATCTCCAGGTACCCACTTAGAGAGCCACAGACTCTAGAGGATTCACCAAGGTTCAATAGAGGACTGTGACACTCAATAGGTTTTCATCCAGTAGATTGCATTTGCATGCATTTCCTATTTCTAAAACTTTCATATCAAAAGGAGAAAGATATACACTGCTATTTGCTGGATGAGCTCACAGCTGCCTAATTAGTATGAGGGATAAGTACAACTGGAGCCTACACTCTATTTCCATGTACCATCTACTATACAAAACTGGTTACACTGTACATACACACTCTTGATCTCTACTGCAACCAATATTTGCATGCTGTATTTTGTAATTCAAGTACAGGACAAAAGATTGCTAGTTTTAACAGAAATGCCTTTGCAAGAAAGGGTACAGGTAGTTACTAGTCCATATTCAACTTCACTCCTCCATAGGCAATGACAGATTAAAATTGATGCTTTCAAATTCTAATGAATTCAGTGAACCAACATAGAACAGCAGAAATTGCCTCAAGTAGAAATACTTCATGTTTGCACTATCTTTCAAGAAAGCAGAGTCAAGATAAACAGCTGTAGTGGTGGGTGGGTGGCATTGGAGACAGCTAAAAATACATTTTGACATCTGTAGCACAAAGCTAAAAGCTAACACTTTACATTTCACCCAAGAATGCTATTAGCACTCATTCATTTCAGATGTAAATTACTTTAGGAACAGCTCACTACAAGCAGTGAATAATGTCTCCTAAAACATGACTTTTTAGCAATCAACTTTCAGCTCTGCTTGAAATCCAAGCATTGTATGCTGCATAGATAACCCTGTCTAACAATTTCATACTTGTCTCCTTCCTACCAAGCAGTTTACAACTGGGCTTGTGCCATGTTGCATGCTGTCCTCTGGCAGCAATTCAAGAGACTGGCATTAGTATTTTTTTTAATTGTGAAGTCTGTCTAAAGCATGCAGGAACTAATCAAAGCAAGGCTCAAACCCCACTAACATTTTTCAGGAAGAAGTTGCTATCTGTTTATGTGGAGTTCTTCATAAATAGACTGCATGCCCTCTGCAGGTGGAGAACACATGACCCTCCAAAGATGGTTCCCTACAATTTTTATCAGCCATAGCCAGCATAGCGAATGGTGAGGGATGATGAGAAGTTAAGTCCAACATTTGGAGGGCCGCACATTTTGCACCCCTGTTCTAGGGTTTTACATTTTATCCATAGGCTCCATTTCCATATAGTCTATTTCCATATGGTCTAACTGATATGGTCTATTTCAGCCTTCCCCAAAATAGTGAAGTGTAGATGCATTTGACTACATACCCCATCATCACCAGTCAGCATGCTCAATTGTCTTGCTGGTTGTGGATGATAGCCAATATAGACCAATACATCTGGAGGGCACCAGGTTGGGAAAGGCTCCCATAAGTTACTCTGCAAAACACTTCTGCTATAGATCTTTTAAAATACTTTGATTCTGTATTTTCAGAGGGATTACAGCAAAGACATGTTTGGCATTTATATTTCATAGGGTGTGTCAGCAGAACTACCTCCTTACTTCCCATGAACACACTATTAATAGTTGTGAAGCCTTCAAGAACTTAGACCAATAACTATAAATAAGTATCTGCCAAAAGATAAAAGTATTCTTTTTCCTGTGAGAAAAGCTCAATGAATTGTATGGAGCTTTGCTGTTTCTCATTTGCCCTTTTTTGCTCACTGTGGGCCAAATTAAATGCTCTTTTAATCACACACAGCTGAGATGGCCTCCTCAACTTTCCAGGGGCTGGAGTGTCTGACTTATCTAAAGCCTTTCCAGACTCCTGCCAGAAGGGAGGAGTGCAGAAGGGAAGAAGGAATGGAGTCCTTCTTTCCTTCCTTTCCCTAACCCTAACCCTAACCCTTAACTATGACCCTGCCATTGTGAAAAATAACAAGGAAATTATCTGTGACAATCCCAGTGCTGCATTTTAGTTTTCTCTGTGTTGATGGTACATTCAAGGATCATGAAATCTTCTGATCCTGTGAATTTAAGGCACTTCATCTCCTCACATCATATCCTAATCCACTCCCTTTTCAACCTTCTGAATGCTGAAGCCTTGACATTGAAAACATGAAGTGCTGTGGATCTTTTCTCAAGATGGGAGAATCTGAAGTAAGACCTTCTTCTCAGATATCAGAGTGTTTTCTGTTGTTTATACGGCTCCTGTCAACCATATTGCTTTTATACATCTAGTTTTGGCCTTGCCATTTTTACAACTTCAGAATCTCCTTCACTACTGGAATCACTTACTGAAGCTAATCAGCTAGACCCATGATCTATGTATACATTGCTGTTATGTATCATCAAGTTGCTTCCGACTAATGGCAACCTTGTGAATTAAAGCCTTTCAGAATGTCCTATCCATGACAGACCTGCTCAACTATTGTAGATCCAAGTCCGTGGCTTCCTTTATGGAGTCAATCCATCTCCTTGTTAATAATTAGGAGAATAAATATGCTACATGAGATCTTAACTAGGAATAAGGAACTGAATGTCCCATTTTGCTTAATCAATGGATCATTGCTTTGGCTCCTGCATCTGAAGTATCTATGGATTTCAGATTACACATTATACAGAAAACACTCCTGATCTGTTGTCCTTTAGATGCCACAAGGCTCCTTTAATAAGCATTTGTCTAAGTTGGCTAATTCCTGGAGGGAATACTGCTAATACTTCTTTCAAGCAACCAATACCCAGCAGTTACCTTAGGAAAGAGGTGATTATATATCTAAACTGATGTACATGTTCTTTTAAATTATCTACTTGGTTCCTGAAAGTTATCAGGGGGTAAGCACAAATGTGTTCTCTGTGCTCTTTGGACAGCTAAAAGGCCAATATTACAACACTGGAAGGAAAAAGGCACACTTCATATAATGCAATGGACTGCATACCTTAGAACCCTTTCAGAATTTGAATTTCAGATGTATAGACCAGAAATAGATACAAATAGCTGGATCCAGATTAAATGAGTTGAGCTTAGCTCTTGTAGAATTGAGATGTCTGTTGAAATCGGTTAAGGAAACTAAGGGTACTTCTTTGGAAAGAATGAGGTCCTACAAACCCTAGTATTCCCTAGCCAACCAGAATTCTGTTTTAAAATGTATAGGATTGTGTCCTAATTTGGTTGTTTGAAATTTTGAAATATTTTTAAAGTAACAAAATAAATGATTAAATGGTACAGAAGACCTATAAGTTATGGAGTATGTGGAAAATGCAGTTCAAATGCACCCCTAAAAATACAAGCTACTGAAAATGTCAAAAGTTGAACCCATCCTGCCACATCCTTTCCCCACCCCACCACCAGCATGCCCTAATGTTAAACTGCAACTAGTGGATCTAGAGAGCCTCAAAATAGCCACAGAGCAGACCCTAACCAGAGAGCTCCAAATACATGTGAAAGGCCACTTTTAGAGAAAAAGAAAGTGGTTTTAATGGTGCTACTTGCCATGATTTAATCTATGCCAACTGCATCAGGTCCATTAAAGATTTCTTTTAATCCAGTAAGTTATTAGGTGTTAAAATCCTTATTGAGGCAGATAAGTGTGATTACTCAACAGCTTGAGACATTTTGTAGTGTTTAGTGAACATTTGGCCAAACAGTTTGTTAGAAATGCTACATGCTGTACTAGATGATGAGCTGAAAAATACTGGCAAGTCATACCTAACAACAGGAAGTAGAACACAATCTGCAGTAAAAGAGATCATTAGATCACTGAGATCACACACACAAATAGCAGCTAGAATTGTATATAATGAAGTCATTCTACCTTTCACAGTGGCAACACTCTTTTATCAAGTATGGCCTGCTTGTTCCCAAGTAGAAATAAAGAGCATTTATGCCATTATTTGAAAAGGAGTATAAACTGCCACATTTCACAGATGGGACAGAATGCTCAGTCTATTACTGGCAAGTAGAAAAAGATCTCCAGGAGGCGGCATTCTGAAAATGCTCAGGTTTCTGTACCTGCAGCTCCACCTAATTTCTTCCAGTGTGCCCCATGCATGCGTAGCTTCCAAAAATTAAAATCACACTAGATACCACAGGGATGCATAGTATGAGCCAGCTGCAGGGATTTATCCAAAGCTCAGCTGTCATCCAGAGCAGGCCTACTGCTCCCTTCCAATGCTTCCTATGGACAACCTTGCAGGCTCAGCAACAGGAACTAAAGAACACCTGACGGGATGAAGCCTGATAGGATGAATGCCAAGACATTCTTCACATCTAATGAATCCTGATGCATTGTTACAAGGCTGCGCTGTCTGAGTACTACTGACATGCTGCTAGTTGGAGAATGCCAGTGCCCAACACAGCTGTAAATGAAAACCCTTTAATTATTTTCAATTCAAAATTCTGAGTTTTAAAGCCATAGGTCAGGACAAAATACAAACAGAAAGGTATTGCTACAGAAAGAGTAATAAAAGTATTTCCAAAAATCCCCTGCTTAGTTGGCACAATACTCACTGCTTATTCTCTCCCGGATCTACAGCTTTGGAACTACTTTTTAAAAGAAACAGAAACAGAAGATGGATTCTGCCTGAGGCAATCCCAGCCAATCATATAGACTGAGTTTACACAACACAGCCACCCACAGGGTGGCTTGTATGTGAGCAACAAATCATGCTGACAACCCATGGCTTGTTTTCTAGCAGTTGTTGAAGAGGCTGTCATGTCATCTGAGCACATGCAACCAAAGCCACTATTCAGGGGAGCAGCAATGGAAGAAGACTCCTTACAGCTTCTTATAGGATTACTCTCCTTTTGCCCACTGGCTCCTCAGTCAATGCAGTTCCTGCTGCTTCATCCCTTAAGCTGCAAAGGGAGTTTAGAGCTATGGCGAGAGGAAATTATTCTCAGAGAACTCTTGCCTATGCATTCTCTCTGGCCAATTCACTCCATTTCCTTTGGACTGCATATTGAGTGGATGCAAACAGCAGAGCCCATACTTCCCTTCAAACTAAATGCAAGCCTTCATCTTAGGCTTTTCTCTCTCCTGTTTTCTTACCTATTCACAAGTCACCCTGACTGGACAGGGAGAGTTATAGTCTAAGGCAGAGGTGACCATATGGGGGATCATATAAGGCTGGAGTGGGGCCACAGGCAGGCTAGAACTGGCCTGAGATTCAACACCCCTATTCTAAGACATTCAGGTTCTAATACAGTACTCTTGCCATATTCACCATGTTCTCTATGTTGAAAAGTCCCTAATTTACACCATCTTTTAGCATATGGAAATGTTAGCCTGGTATTAATTTCTTGGTGATTTCTGAATGAAATCTTCTCTCACCTTTTCCAACAAGCAATTGCAACTTCCTTTTAGTACAAAGCTGTTTAAAACAACATTATCAGACATGGCATCAACTCCAATTCCATAAAGGATTTAGGAATGATGCAGGCAAGCTTCTGTTTTGCTCAGTTATTTGGCTACAAATCTTAACACTTTCTTCACAAAAAAGTTCTACAAGTATCAGCAGTGATTTTACATCTGAATGTAGCATATTTTAAATATGATGCGTTCAAACTATCGCTCTGTCTAGCTTTTCTGGGACTTGCCATTACATTCGCTGCACAATTACAAAACAGCTTGTCGAGGTCTATAATACAGCAGGTGATGAAAAAGAGAAAATATATTCAAAGTCAAAGTCAGATATCAATTACTTTAAATTAAAGAAAGCAGCACTACAAGATCATGTAAATGCTATTAAAATCCATATATCCATCTTGTGACTAAGAATCTAAAAATAAATGTCATTACCCTTATCGGGGAAAGAGACTGCCTTACTGTTTGTGTCATAGCACATACTGTTAAAGGATGAGCTAAAAGAATCCTCCCACTCACCTGTACATTTTCCTCTGTTACCTGAATTTCCCCACTGTAAACATATTCAATGAGCATCTTAAGGGTCCAGCCATCAACCTCCTTTATTCGAACTCTCTTTGCCTGACTCTCGCTCATTTCACCTATAATACACAGTTGTATAGGTCTGTTAATTTAATCATATACTGACAACTGGCATCACCAGACAGATTTATCACATAGCATAAAAATTCAGCTCCCAACTTCCTCTGAAAGAAAGAAAAATCTAATCCTCCAGAATGAAGCTATATGTGGATTAGAGTCTCCTTTAGAAAGACAGGCCTACCTCTCAACAATCATGTGGTACTCAAAAAAAATTAAGGCATTAACTTCAATTTATTTATTTATGTCCTCACTCATTTTATTTCTATACAGCCCTACAGCCAAAACTGTCTGGGAGATTTACAACAAAATTGAGTTACTCAGGCTATATAAATCTTTCAAAACCTTCAGTTCGCATCAAGCTTCTAAATCTACTCATAATTCCAGCTAGAAAATTCATGGGCACATAGAACTGCGCACATGATAGCTGCACATGGCACACACAAGAGAACACCAGCAATTTGGTATAATCAATTTTAGTAAGTTCAGTTGAGATCAGTAAAAACTATCTTAGTAAATTCCAGCACAGCACAAGTAGGTTAAGATTTGCAGCATCTGACGAAGGCTTGCTCTAAACAATCTCACCTCTTTCTGGAAGAAAGGGGAAATGTTGTACCAGCTTGGGAGACTGGAACACTGATCATAAAAATCATCTGTAGTGCCAGAGTAAATGTTTACAAAAATGGATTTAGAATAAGTCACCAAGGCCAGAAAATTTAGGGCTACTTAATAGTGCAGAAGTGCAATGCTACTCAGTGGCAGCTTTTACAACTCACAGCACATCCCCAGACTCAAGGGCCACAGTATGAGGTAGAATTACAAGTCAGGGAACATAAGGTTGGAAGGACACCTCTCTCTGAGCTTGACAACTACCCAGGTGCTACATGTATACAGTAGCACAGATGTAGTATCTCGCTCCTTTTCTGGACACCCTTTCCTGATAGCATCTGATCATTTACCATAAGCCACACTGTAGTCCACTCAAGCAACTGAGCTGACAACCCAAATTTAAGTAATCTTGCATCCTGCAAAGCCACTGACATTCCTGCCTAAAACCACAGCATGATCAATGCAGAGAGTGAACAGGCAAAAATACAGGTGGCACAGAAAACATATGGCAAGAGACACAATTAAGTTGTCATGCGTAGTTATTAAAAAAGACACTAGAAGATGCACTCCAGGAGTAAGATGCCAAAACTGTTCACTGTTCACATTAAATCTTCCACACCTTTTAACATTTTCCGCCTCCAAAAACTGTAGCTGGTGTCTACCATTTCTATATTTACTTCTACTGCAGTATTTTGTGCCTGAAAATCAGGAATTTGAGCAGGAATGTTTTATTTATTGATGAATGCCAAGTGATCTTACACATATAAGTGAGTCATCAAATGAAACTTTCATATTTAGTATCAACTCCTGATGGGATATAGTTCACACAAATTTGCTTGGTGGTGCATGTATGTGTGAATCAACTTCAAGACCTACTGACTTATTAAAACATTTTACAGTGCCCTTCATTTTTCCAGCCTCCCAAATATCTTGCTTATGTCTTCCCCAATGTATCTGTAGCAAGCAAGAAGAGGAGTGTGGTACCTGTAAACATGGCATGGAAGTATGGGCTGCAAGCTGCTAACACAACTCTATGAGCTGCAATTTCCATGTCTTCAGCTACTAGCATGACATCACACAGCAAATTTTGACTACATGGGAAAAAGACAGCAGAAAAACAGGAATTTTATAATAAAACACAACATATGCAAGACAGCAAACATACTTTTTCTAGTTTGATGAAGGATATTGCTTGCGAATAAGCTTTGGTAAACATCTTCATTCTCCAAAACCTTATAAAATAAACAGAAGAGGCAGATGCTTACTGCACTGCTCCTCTTGCTGGTGATACGTTAATATAACTGTGCCTCTCATGTCTCATTTGTACCCAGTTACCCAGTAATTTTACCTTCATCCTATGAGGCACTGCTAGTTTCTTAATCCCTTCTCTCTCCTGCCAGCAATTAAACTTCCATCCTTCCTGGACTGCTCAGATAAAGCTTGCTTTGTGACAGGGCTCTAAATTTTGTCTAGCGACAACAAGGAAAAAAAACGCCCAAACCAGAACATGCTTGTTTACACTGGCCACATTTATATGGCATGGCAACCCATGTTGCAAATAAGTTACACAATGTGAGTTGCTCATGGAACACTCAGCAGCAAACCTAACAATCAGACTCACCGTAAGTTGATTCCCCACTTCCCCCTTGGTCTTCTCACAAGTATTCCAGGGAGCTGCAAGACAGAACCTATTTTCCCTCCTACTGTTAGCACAATCCCTTTTGCAATTGTTATGGCTTTCCTTGTTTTTTTCTGTGATCTGAAGTACCACAGTACATTGGAGCAGCCACTCCCAATCTATCACTTTTCTGTTTGTTTGTTTTTATACCAGGAAGGAATTTAAAAGTCAGTTTTAAAAAATGAGGGGTGAGTTGTTCAGAACTGCACAAGTATGTAACTCCCAACTACTCAAAATGTGAAATTTTGCCTATCAAAGCAGGCACTATCCATGGATATTGAAACAGACAGTTTCAAATAGGTAACTGTGCTTTCAGGCAGCTGTCAACTGAAAGTAAACTGTGAGGAGGAGTTTGCTTGTGAAACAGGATGAAAAGTTCACCCTCCCCTTTTGCATGGAGATCTTCTACATTCTAAGTGTAGCTCTCAGTGCCCTCTACTTTCTCCACCCTTTCTTGAGCCTTCAAAAGCTCAGTAACATGGAACAGTATAACCCAACATATTTACAGGAGCACTCACTTTTGGCAGCCGTTAAAAGGAAGGGTTTCTTTTAAAACAGCATATTTTATACGCATATAAGCATCCATGACAGAGACACATGCAACTGATTTCCATGAGCAGTACTTTTATGCATAGGGCACACATTGTCTATTTATACAATGGATTAAAAAAGCCATCTAAAACCCACTTGAAAAATTGAGTTTTATCTTTGATGCCTCTCCAAGTAAATGGGGTGGTTCGCCCCTTTTCATGTTTTGAGGTGGAACAAGTGCAAAAGTGAACACATCATTCAGACAAATGAGTCAAAGAGAATGGCCAGGCAGCAAGGGGGAAGAAAGAAAAAAACCCAAGGATTCTGCATGTAGGTGGGTGAATGATCTACCACCCTTTTTGCGAGCTAAGATAATGAACACCTTTAGACAGCTGTCATATCTAACCAAAGGAGAAAATAAACTTATGTGCAGCCTCTGTGAGGCAATGCCCAGAGTGACTATCTGCTGTGCTTTGTCAACAGGAACCCTCCTGTACACTGTCTACCCAAGGAACCCACAAAGTGTGGTTAAAAAAAATCACAGTTATTTGCAAAAATTGGAGGGGATATTAAAAAGTGGGGCTTGACAACCACATGCAGCTACTCTAAGATGCTGATGGATCACTTGAAAAGACTAAAAGCAGCTATCAAAAAGGAAAGTGCAAAAGCCAACTTGACAGCTAATTTTCAAGATCTGAAGGGGAAAAAAGGTTACAGGTTAAAAAACCCATGATCACAAAACAGCCTATGATCACAGTGGGAAATCAACTTGCCCCTCCTGTGCTGTCCCCTGGGATACCTTTCAGGGACTGAAGGGGGAGGAAGAGGAAGGAGGGGGCAACAACCCAGTGAAGCCCAATCATCTGTCAAGTTCACTGTGGGTTGTTTCGCCAACAACCAGCCACTGTAGCTTACTGTCAGGGTGCATTGCCTGAAATGTAAATGTACCTTGTGTCTGTAGAAAGCTGTGTGTATTACCAAGGCATTAGCAAGAAAAATGGCATAGTTACTTGCAATATTAGCAAATATGAAAGAGGCAAAGTTACTTCAAAAACCATTAACCAGATAAGCAAAAGATGTAGCTGTAGTTCAGGAATTATGTAATACCTTCTTAATTCATTCATAACTTTGAAAGCTTTCTTCATATGCCAAGGATTCACTGTAACAGGACAGTGTTTTTCAGTATTATCATCTTTCAGATCCAGAGGCTTCTGCTGGCACAGTTTGGTACATCTGCGAACAAGAAAGTTAATTCAGTCATTGTTTTTTTGAGAGTCTGTCACAAATATAGGTTTACTTCTTATACCTCTGCTACTCCCACGACATTCCCAGAAGTCAACCAAGTGAAATATGCTTTCAGAACTTTTATTTGAATATTCCCCTGATGCCTGAGACATATAACCTGAATCCCAAGCAATTTCTATCTGCACCTGTATGGAAAGATTCCTAAGAGTAAATATCTTTGGATTTAAAGCACTGGTAACCAATCAGAGCAAGTATAAATTTTAAATTGGTATACTGCAGGATACTCAGCACAGATGTGTTAACAGCATGCAGAAAAACATGTAAAATTGATGTGCCCTTCAGCTGAAGTGTAGCCTACATTGTTTTTTATTTATAACTCTCATCACCCCTAGCCAGCACTGCCAACAGTGAGGGATGAAGGGAGCTATAGACCAAAGCATCTGGAGGGCCAGGAGTGGAATACTGGTACTTTAGCCAAACCTAAAAGAAAAAAATCCAACACCACAACTTTCCTGTCCCTGCAAATAATCATGATAGTTGAATCATATCAGTGGCCTTGTAAGTATCATGATGTTTCAAGGCATTACATACACATAAAACACCCCCACCCACAGCTGCCAATGGAGAGGACAATCACTGAAAATATCTTACTTGCTAAAACAAAACTGTTCTGAACTAAAATTCATCATTTTCATTATTACACAAAAGTAAATAGTTTGAGTAGAGAAGCAAACACAGGTGTTATGCCACAAAGTGAGGCTACTTGCTACCATGGGACAGCTTAGTGGCCCAGTTTACACAGTGCGCCATCCTTTGTATCTTATCAAGTAATTTAGTCATTCTTAACTAAATGGCTTTCTAAGCAAAGTAGAAGTACAAAGTAAAGATGCAGAACAATAGAAGGCAGGATATTTCTTCTAACCATGCCCAAATATTGTAGTGGGGGACTAGAACAAAAAGAACATGGTTTACATCCTCATGAGATACTCTGGTTGAACACCAAAGAAAAGTGATTGTTACAAAGCTGCCATTTCTAGCTCCATAGTGTCAAAAACAGAGATATTAACTGCCAATGTGAGAGCCAGCACAATGTAATGGTTAGAGTGTTGGACTTAAATCTGGGTTCTAGACCCCTCTCAGTCACAAAGCTCATTCAGTGACTTTAGGCCAGTCACTGACTCTATGCCTAACCAAACTCACATGGCCGTTATGAGAATAAAAATTGTGAGCAGGAGGATTATGTAAATGACCTTGAGTTCTTTGAAGAAAAAAAGGCAGGACACAAATATAATAAAATAAACAAACATACACTATCAAGTAGCTCTTTTATAAGCAGATCCTTCAGCAACCCACTATAGATAGGCAGTAGTGACCATCTGCAAACCCTTGAGAACACTATAGTCTTTTCTAGAGCATGCAGAGGATAGGAGACAGAAAGAGTACCCAAGAATATTGAAGAAGGAATGGACACAGGGACAACTTTCATACTGCCTCTCCCTAACCATGTGTAGGAACTGGGACTGCTTCTCCCAAAATGCAGCATTCCAAGGGAATTATAGAGTCTGAATCTGTACTGGGAGGTGGGGTGAGAATGCATAGCTGAAATGCCAAGGCCAGCTTGCCCCAAGATAAGCCAAGAGCCTGGCGAGAACCACACTACTTCTGGTTCTAGGAAAAATACTGTTGAATAAGCAAATGTTTGACATAAGGGCAGATGTTACAAAATCAGGATTATGTGACATAACCAGACCTATCATGTGGTGCCAGATCAAGAGAGCAGACCAAAGGCGTAGTGCCCGGCATTCCCACTCTCTGGTTCAGAAGCAGCAGCAGGAACTTCCCTGAGGGTGGAGTTAACTTTGCTGGCTAGGAAGGGAATAGAGGGATTTCATTTGGAATCCACTTCTTGGCATGAACACCATTCCCCTAATTAGCTGGCTCATTAACTTTCCTTAGGGTCTTTTGCTCATGATCTCAGAAATACTTCTTTTGTAACACAAGGCCAGCTTGGTTGGCCCATTCAACATGATTAAGCAGGGGTTCTCAAACTTTTTGAACAGGGAGGCAGTTGAAAGGTGCCAACAATGGGCGTGGGCTGGGGCAAGGGCGTGCCCACCTGCAGAAAGGCAGGGGCATGCATGCGCAGAGATCATTTTCTCCCAACGAGTCCAAAATGATCTCCCTGTGAGCAAGCTGGTGCCCTGGGGGCCAGCTTGCTCACAAGGAGATCGTTTTGGACTCGCTCCGAGAAAAGGATCTCCCGGCAAGGTGCCAGCTTGCTCGCAAGGAGATCCTTTTCTCCGAGCGAGTCCAAACCGAAGTCCTTGCCAGCAAGTCAGCACCTCGCCACACATGGCGAGATATGGCGGGCCACATGAATGGGCATGGCGGGCCAGATCCAGCCCGCGGGCTGTAGTTTGAGGACCCATGTGATAAAGCCTGTAGTCAGAAACTTCCAGTCTCCATCTGCTTGGAAGGAGGACTGGCGGGGAGACCAGTCTTTGAAAGCATGTGCAGACCCTAGAGCACAAAAGTTCACCCCAAGGATTCTGCAACCTTTTTGCTACTGTCATATATGTTTTTGCATGAGATGATCATGCAAAAAAATAATATCCTGGCAATATTTGTGTGACTTCTTCAACAAAATTATTTTACATTTCAGAATGATGTTGTGTTAAACCTATTCTCAGAATGTTCCAATAACTCATTTTAATAAGGAGGTAACATACAATTGGCATTCATTTCTGCCTCCTGGCACCCACTATTCCAGGAATCCATCCTGATAAACAAATTAACATTTAGCAGAGGATGCCCGATTATAAGACAACAGCCAGCACAATGTTCTTCCCCACTCCACCAGGATGCTCAATTTGGTAGGTGGGATGGAGAAGGGGGCTGATGCCATTTTTAATCATTAGACTAGACAATAACAACTAGACTCATAGCTTGGGGATAGAAGATGTGTAAAAAATTCAAAAGCAGACAAACATCCAATTGTATCCAGAGGAAAGCTGTTTGTTTGCTGCATGAAACACACACACAACCAGCTGGCATCTTAAAAACTGCCACGTTTATTCTGGTATAAGCTTTCATGAACTATAACATGCCTCATAAGATGGAGATGGGCTCATGTCCACAAAAGCTTATGTCATAATAAATGCATTAGCACTTAGGACGCTGCAAGACTCTTTGCAGATCTAGCTATATGTCTTTCTGGGGGTGCTCTGAACATGGTAGCTTTTGAATGCAGGTGGTTTAATTTTTTGTTTTGCATTGTTTTTTTAGAAAGCTAACTCCTAAAGTAGCCCACCTGCAAAACATTATGGTGGACTATGTGGACCATTAGTCAGATCACTTTGGGCCACAAATTGTATCCATTACTTAAACTGAAAATTATTGAACAATTTAGTAATTTATGAAAGGGCAATTTCTTCAAGCATGTTCTCTATCCCCTCAAAATCACAGGAGATCTTATGAGCTGCCTCATCTGCTTCTATCCCAGCTTCCCATCCTCTCCAATATTTTTCTCCCCACTGCCACAAAACCACCAAACTTGGCTTCTCAGCAATTCAGGTGAGGGCTAATGCAGACAACCGCCAAACATGATTAGGGCTATGTTATACGCTGTATACTTATAGAGATGACAGTGCATCAGAAAAACAAAGCAAATGGTGGGTCCTATAGCACATGCACACTTTGTACATCAGCATGTCTTACAGTGCACACATTTTATTATCTTTATACATTATATATTTAGCTGCCCTGATGTTCCCTAACCACTTCTTTCAGTTGGAAGATGAGGTTGGAGAAACATGGGGAAAGACACCTATGCCCTATCATATTTTCTTTGCCTGCAGCAGTGTATTTTCAAGGCAGCTTACAAAACATAGTTAATAACAAATTAACAGTAATAATAGAAACAACACACAGAAGCAGGAGATAAAAACAGTAATAAACCAGCCTCAGAAGTAGAAGTATCAAATCCACTGTTAAAAGCATGGGGAAAAGAAGGCTGTGGCCCAATATTTAAAATTCTCCAAGCGAGGCACTATGTGAGACTATTCCAATGTCAAGGTACCACCATTTTATATCCCTTTATTTATTTATTGGTGTTGTTGATTATATTTGTATTATTATTATTCCACACTAGGCTCACACCACAGCTTATAATGTTATAAAAACATGAACATACAATTACAAGAAACACACACACAGAAGCAGCTCATGATTTTTAAGTATCAAATGCAGACTGGAATAAATCTTCAGGGTTTGGTTTTTTTCAAGTCAGTCACGATGAAACCATATGTTTCTCGCTTAGGAAGGAGAGTTCAAAAGCTGAGTCTTGAGGACCAGTAAGTAGGCCTCTAGTGCCAATCTCAGTGCTTTGCTGGGCTCATACAGCTGCAGGTGGTCCTTCAAATAACATGGTCCAAAACCATTTAGGGCTTTAAGGGCCAAAACAGGACCCCAGAACTAACAAGCAGCCAACGTTAATGATACAGAAAAGCTTAGCTCCTACAAATCTTCTAACTTTTGCATTAAGTATTAGTTGCAACTTCCAAATCCTCCACAAGAGCATATTATAGTAATCTGTCCTGGACGTAAAGAAGATACATATCAGTGTAGCTTTTTCTAGATTCTACTGCAGTTCTTGCCACATGTGCCTCCACAGAAATTGCTGAGTCCAGTATAACTCCCAGATTGTTCACCTGGCTCATCACTGAGAATGTGACCCCATCCAGATTCAAATCTAAACCTGTATCTAGATTAGCAGATTTCCCAACCCACAGATCAATCATATCTGGATAAAGTTTCAGCTTGCTAGCCCTCATTCATTCCAAGACCCATCTAGGTTTTCAGCTGCTTGTCTAGGATTAGATGATGGAAAACAGTGGCAGACCTGTACACCTTTGACACCTCAGCCCAAACCATCGAGGATGTCTTAGGCTGTTTCATCTAGATGTTGAAAAGCATGGGGAAAAGGCAAAATATGGGACAACCCATCACGATTTAAATCACTAGTCAATAATACTAGATTTAAATCATGGCTTTCCACATAATTTGCACACTTGCCTGCCTTACCCATAGGTAGACGGACTTGATTAAAATATTCCCAAACTAGGTCTTTTTTACGGCCTGCTGCCATTATAGGATTTTTCCTCCAGGAAAAGAATAATATGATAAACCTCAGGCTATGCACAAAAAGATCAAAAGAATTGTGGAGTTTTTTAAACTACTTGTCCCTCCATCCTCATACTTAGCTTCTTGTGCAGATCTATTCCACTCCCTACAATCTTCTTCTATTCATTGAAGTTTTGGAAACTTAGCACTTAAGAGGTGAGGGGTTGATTCTGTATACATAGGTCTGCAGAACAACAATGGGATTAAGGTCTTTTTCTCAACTCTGTATGTTTATTTTATAACATTTTTGCTGTGAAGAAGAGGCACGTGATCCCTGCAGACACAAATTCAGTTTGGAGCACTGTAAACCAAGCATCTGTGGTAATATATTCTAGATAGAAAAACTGCCCAATACTCTTACAGAAACCTCTGGAAGAGCATGACATTGTGAACGGATTAATGGAAATCATTTACCCCAAAATTTAAACATTGCATGAATATACAACCTCAAGCTACATAGTTAAAAATTAATGCTTATTTCATGATGAATAACCTTTGGAGTATAATTTATCTTAAATAGAAAACTATTTTAGATTGATTTTTCCTCAAAAAGCATTTTATTAAAAAATCAAATTTAAAAAAAATCTGGTTTAAAATTTAAAAGTCCAATTTTTAATTTTAAAAAAATCATTTATTTTTATCCACCCTGCCCCAACTGTCATCAGCCACAAAATGGAACAAAAGCTCCCCATTACCATCATCTGGGTTCCCCCACCCAGGAAGGACTGAAGCCACTGCAACACTGTGACCCCAGATCCCATTCTAGAGAGAATGATATAATAGTCAATGGCATAAAAAGGTGCTGAGAGGTCCAGGAGAATTAGTACAGAGTTAAGTGCCCATATCCCTTCCCACAGCCAAGTCATCCACCACATTGAGCAAGGCAGTTTCTATCCCAAACCTAAACTGGAAGCCAGACTAGAATGGATTTAAAACTGCTCGGAACCAGCAAGACAGGACTTCCTCTAAGACCTTGCTCAGACATTATAGATTGATGGCAGGGCAGTACTTCTCCATAGAAAAGGGAACTAAGAACTGGCCCCTCCTCAGCAACAGGGGCCCTTCTTTAGGACTGCTAGAAACACCCTGTGAACAGTTAATGGAAGCATTAATATCCAAGTTGTAAACTGTGTTCTGACAGAATTCAGTAGCCAAGAGGGGCAAGGTTCAGAAAAACAGACGGGAAGCCTCAGTTGTCCAAGCAGTCTGTCACCAGCCTCAGGTTGCACAAGCTAAAAAATGCCCCTAACAACAGGACCAGATGGTGCCACGGCTACATCCATTTCCAAGTCTGTCAAAATGGTGGCATGCAAACTGGAGCAAGTACAAGCAATGGATGGTCATTAGCAGCAAACCATGCCAGAGAGAAACAGTTCACACAGACCAAGTCTGCACCCATCCCAGGCAGAGACAACCATTTCTAGGCATTATAAAAGACTTGGCACAATGCTCGCTAGACATCTGTTGTTATTAGTTATTCAAACCATGTCCAGAAGGGGAAAGAAAAGTAATCAACTTTATGCAGAGAAAAAAAAGAGTGAAGGAACAAGGGAAACTCCACACTCCTTTAAGGCTCTCCCTGCCTTAGTCTGTCTCAGATTCACCACTGAGCTTGGGTTAGCACAGACAGATGGGTTAGCATCAAGGACAGCCAAAACACACAAGAAGGCAGCAGGCCAGCCTGCCAGCTGTTCCCTCTCATCTAGAATTAGATTATAAGTTTTGTTTAGCATAATTCTTTACATTTGAACTAGGGTTCATCCCCTGAAGCTGTTGAAAACATCAGGTTCCTGCCCTGGAATATATGAATCATAAGGAGGGAACCTCTGACCACACAGTGCATGTTGCCTCTTTCAGACAAACAACCACAACCAGCTCCTACAGAACTGAGGTTAGGGACAAATCTGGACTTGCAGGCCAAATAAGGCATGGCTATCATCGTGGGCATAACTACATAGCACCGGCTCTCTCACACCTGTTGAGATGAGCCACTGCCCTACTCTTTATAGCTTCAGGTGCCCCCAGACAGGCTGCTGTGGAGCTGGAAGCACACTCTGCACATGGTCAGATACTCCGAAATCATTATTCCATATGTTTCAGAAGCAAGCCTTTGTATTGGTGGTGGAACCAAGGCCTAGCTCAAGACATGATACCTTGCAGGAAAGCAGACGTGACAGAAGAGCACTGCCCTCCGGCTGTGGCCAACTCTGTCAGCCTGCACCAGCCTTCCCTCTCCCCGCCCCCATGCCCTCCGGATGCGCTGAACCACAACTCCCAGCATCCCCCCACCAGCTAAACTGACAAGAAGGAGCTGGAGTTGTAGTCCAGCACATCTGAAGGGCACAAGGTTAGGGAAAGGCTACTCTCCCCCCCTCTTTCTGCGTCCACGCCTGGTTGCCGCGCGCCTGACACTCACCCCAACGGCTGCAGCAGCAGCATGTCCATCGCGGCTCCTCCGCTCGGGCTGCTCCCTCCTCAGAACGCAGGCACCGATCGCCGGCGCCAGCACCATTCCAGCCGCGAACGCTGGGACAGCCCCGGCGGAATGCCCAGAGAGAGGCAAGGCTTGCCTGGACTAGAGCAGCCTGGCCTCTCCCGCGAGCGAGCCGGCGAGCGCCACTACACAGCCGCCGCCTCCGCCGCCTCCCTCTGCCGCCGCTGCCCCCGCCCAGCGGAGATACCTCGCAGCTGCCGCTTCGGCTCGCGCTCTCTCTCTCTCTCTCCCAGGCTCTGCCAGCCCGCCACTTCCGGGGTCCGGGCGGAGCGGACCTAACACGAATATCCTTGCAGGAAGGGGGTGACGTCAACACGCAACTTTGGAGGGGGCGAGCAGGAGGAGGGATTCCTGCGTGCGAGCTCTTCCTCGCCTGGTCTTCGGGGCGCGCGTTGCTTGCAAGAGAAGCGGCCGGTGCTGGGGATCGAGGGGTACTGGACGGACTAGGACGGGAAGCGCGAAAGCCGGGTGTGGGGGGGCTTCGCTGCTTTAAGAATGATTGGCTGAACGAGGAGCCGCTCCCTTCGCCGAAAAGCTTTCTTCACACTCAAGCCCCTCCAGATGTTGTGGGCTGCAGTTCCCACCAGCTCCAACCAGTCTTGGTGAGGGGGGCTGAAAAGTCCGATGCATGTGCGAATGAGAGAGGATAGGCATAAATTGACTTGCCACAAATTGCCTGTGAATCTCAGGGCAGATAGTAATAAACAATGGGCACTGAAAAGTATGCTGGTTTGACTAGGTTCAAAAACTGGGCATCGTGAAGATCAGAATTGGACTTTCGCTAGATATGGCATTGTCCTTTTAATGACCATCTTTGTATTGTTTCCCTCCTTCCACCTGTCTTCCTTCTCCATCTTTCCTACTTCTTCAGTGAGTAAGGTCTGCAGGCAGGGACCTGATCTTCCACTGTCTGGAAAAGCACCAGCCTGATGGCACTATATTAATATATATTATATTACACAGTATTAATAAATGATAAGAGGGTAGTATAAATTGGCTTACACAACCTGGTGTCCTCTAAATGTTTTAGACTACAACTCTCAGCATTCATAGTCAGTGGCCATGCTGACGGGCTGATGTGAGAACACCAGCCTGGGGTACAGTGGTGTAACTGGATCATTCCATTTTATCCTTCCAAAAGCCTTGTGAGGTATGTCAGATTAGGAGGGCTTAGCTTGCCCAAGGCCACCCATATATCTTCATGGTACAGCATAGATTTGAATTTTGAACTGCAAACCTAAACTGACTTTGGAAATAAAACTGCAGCCCTAAATACCCTTACAGGTGGGTGAGCCCCATCAAGCTTAATCTTCTCAGTAAAGATACATTGGGCTTGCACTCCACATCTCAAGGAAATCAGTGAATCTTAGCCCTGTATCCATATAATCTTGTACACACAGTTCAGTGGGAATTTACAGAAGTGGATATAGGATTTCAGTTTCCCCCAACATAATTAGGACTGCATTAAATGCCTTCTACTCCAAGTCTAGTCCACTATCTACAGTACCATGCTGGTTCTCACTGTGGAACTTTGTAAAAAATGAACCACAGGAAGTCCTCCAAAGTTGATTCATAGAACCTGAATCAAGAAAACAGCTGACCCACAGATGAACTTCAAGTCTAGTTTGGTTGGACTCACACTGACAGCCATTGAAGAAGGAATAATGTAGCTCCAGTAAATGAGAAATTGCCTCAAGCATGTACACAGTGTCTTCTCTGCATTTCCTGAACTTCTTTTGTTTTGTAAACTGTCTCCTAATGTTTGTTTTTTAATAACTGTAACATAAGGTTTGTAGCCCTACCGTTTGTCCATGGCATTTGAATGAACTGTGCCTTACAGTACACTAAACTGGTAATAAATATAATAAAACAACCAAGGTATTTCTTGTTATGGAATAATACAATCTAGAGGGAATCGCTGCATACTTATTGTTGGTGCTGAATTCACCCAGGGAATCCTCACCTCTGTACTCTCAGGGGGCTAGCCTAGTTTACTCCAAGTACATGATGGCATTTCACCAAGAGTGACCTGCTGCAGTCAGCCTCCAGAGCAACAGCAAATACAGTATTCCCAGTATCACAACTTTTTATTGTGTATCCTGCCCACTGTGATCCTATGCATGTTTATTTGTAAGTAAATCAGAGCAAGTTCCATTTCAGTAGAATGTACCACCCACCAAATGTGTGCACATAATATCTTAGCACTGTGCAGCTGTTCCCAGTCCAGCAAATTGGGTGTAAGGTATCACTGCAACAAGGAAAGCAAAAAGGGGAAACACGGGTTGGTGGCTGGTTTTCCATATCAGGGGGAAAGGACAGAAGTTATAACATGGCACCCAAAAATTCCCTAATTCTAGGTATGCAATTCCAGAAGGATAATTTCCGTGCATCTCAGCTGTTAATGCCCCCTGCAAGTTAAGTGTTTATATATAGCAATCAATACAGATTCTGCTCTAATCTGTATTTACAGGGTCCTGTACTCAAAAAATAAATGAAAATTATGGGAGGGATGATTTATTAGTTACTATGCAAATAGTAAGGAGATGCAGAGGTTTGAATTTGTAAATAATATTAATTGTACATATTTACAATCTACATACAGATCAAATTATTTTTGTGTGCGGTATAATGCCATCTTCTGGTCTCTCATAGTCATAGTACCTTTGCCATAGCCAGTATTCATTTCAGCCTTCACTTCTATCGTTTATTCATTTTTTTTGTTCTAGGAAAATCACAAATAATTAAAATCTTTGTAGACCCATCTCTTCAGTGTTTAGTTTTTAAACCAAAAATAAACAAAATGAGACACCAGTCAATATATTTTTCAAGCCAGCTAATCAAATAGGTCTCAATTCGGGGTGGGGATGAGGAAATGATGGTTTCAGGCTGAAATCTTAAGCACCAACTCAGTGGGACTTACTTCTGATTACAGTACTCATGGCTTGTAGAATTCAGCCTGCACTAAACTGGAATGCTTCTTACTTCAAAGCAGGAATATACTTCACATGTATATTCTTGATTTCCTGCCCTGTGCTGTACAGTCTCCAGAGAGAAAGTGACAGCGAGTGTATGTGGAGTTTAAGCATTATATGAAATCGCTAACTGTAAATTCTTATTTAAATGTTAGCAGAATAATACACTTCTATAGATGGGATACAAGAAAGGGCATCTTCTGACCTTAATGCAGAGACAGATGGGAATTGGGAGTATTACTTCTAGGAATCAACAGTATTGCTTGAGAATAGATGACATCCATGATCACTGTTTCTTACTACATTGTCAGAGTGATCCTCTCTGCAAGTTACATTATGCCAGGGTGGAGTGAGGAGATATACCATCTCTCTACTGTCAGAAGAGCTCTTGTATCCAGTGTATACTTGGTTGAAGAGAGGAGAGGAAATGCAAACAGAAAATACAAAAATGGTGAGGAAATTAAGTATCAACAGTGCCCACAAATCATTTGCTGGCAATGACACTGACATGCCTGCACAAAGGCAGCCAATGAACTCATGATGATGGTTGCATCACCACATATACCGCTTCCCATTCCATCAGCCCCAGGGAGGGCAGTAAGAAATGCTCGCACTATGGTGGGCCCTCAGGATCCCTGCAGGCAGAGGATGAAGCCCTCTAATGCCCTTTAGAACCATTGCTTTGGAGGAAAAATGTGCAAATAAAGAGAAAGTTCCTGCAGAGAATGCATGTGTGGAGGATATACAGCCAGACCTGTGGGGACAAGAGTAATACTAGGATGGTACTTTGAAGCTGATTGGCAGTACATTCCGGAACCAATAGAGAATTAAATCAGCACAAGGTGGCCATGGGATAGCTCAAGTCCCTTGCAGAATGCATTACATGAATTCATATGAGGGCAGTCATATCCATAGCAAACTGCTAAAAAGAACAACTTCCATGTTAGGTGGTACTGAATCTCCACCTCAGATGTCTGGGACAAGGAGCAAGAAATAACTGTAATTGTCATGTTCTCTTGGCCTCGATCTGCCAAGGCAATGCTCATAATCACCCAAATGCTCTTTTTGCTCTCTCCACTTTATCCTTTTAGGATGCAAACCTTTGCAGTTGGCAGGAGAAATACCAGAATTGCAGAGAGGTTATATGTATAAACCACAATAAGACTGCTGTCCTTAGTCTTCCAGGTAATCTTGGACTTCTAGATGCAAGAGCAGAAAGGACCACCCACCAACCATTAGATTGCACGTGCTCACAACAATTCCAGAGTCATTGCTGCTTCTCTGTCTGCAGCTGCTCCATTTGAGGAGTAAAACTATTTGCCTTTATACTGTGCGGAATCAAAGACACACGTAACTTGGATCTTATTCCTTCAACAGGTTAACACTCAGTAAGACTATAATTGCATGCATGACTTGCTTTCTCTCTCTCTCCAATGCTAGTCTTACGCAAACTGTTTATTTCAACGGGTCTACTCTCAGCAAGACTAACACCAGCGATCTTCTCTACCATCGCATTCTGACCTCAATTTGCAACCTCGTGGAGGAGGTGGAGCTATTGAGAGAGGCGCTTATTTTAACGGTAAACCTCCTCCACTAGAAATGCAAGTTGGTGAGAGGGGCGGAGTTATGGGCGGAAAAGGGCCGGAGGCGACAGTGCATTGCCAGGGCGTCGGGGGCGGGCTGTTTCGTGCAAGCGAGGAGGGTGTGGGCAGCTGGAGGACCGGAAGTATCCGCGGTAACCGCCGAGGATGGCGAGGGTTGAGGCCGGGATGGGTGGACGGCTGCCACGGGAGCAGGATAATGTGAGTCGGGGCGGCGGAGGTCGCGTCCAAGCGCGCGCTTGCAGCGTCGTGTCGCCGGCGCCCAAGGGCAGCCCGAGATCCCCGCGATTTGGCCAGGGTGGCTTTGCAGGCAGTTGCAGGTGGGAATGAGCGTGCTAATTAATTTGCTCTCGAGGCAAATTAAATGCCGCTCTTTGGAGTCGGTTTGCAAGGCGGACGCGTAGCAGCGATGGAATAGGCAGGCTCCTTCGGTCATATGACGCGGGGAATCGTAGTCGGTCTTGTCCCTGGAAATGGAAAGAGGCACGTGATTTTTATTTTGAGCACGGGACAGCCTTGCGCAAGCTGCTGCCTGCAGATGTGTTGAACCGAAACTCACCAATTTCCAGCTAACCTAGCTGAGAGGCATGTGACTTTTTTTTTTAAACAAGTCATACCACAGTCTTGTCCAACACATGCGTTGGTCTACTGCTGCCATCATCCCCAACCCACATGCATGCTGGGGTGATGGACGTTGCAGACCAGTACATCTTGTTGGGTGGATACACTGAATTAGGCAAGGCTGCCATAAAGTGAAGATTGAACTGTGCCAGTTTTTTTTCATTGAATGTGCAGGGATGAATCAATGCAGTGAGTACTTAAAAACAGTATTTTGGGATGCATAAATAGAAACACCATTTCCATGACGAGAGGTAATAGTTCTCCTTTACTCAGCACTTGTCAGACCTCATCTTGAATACTGTGTTCTGTTCTGGGTTTCCAGGTTTTAAAAAGACACAGAAAAACTAGAAAGGGTTCAGAGAAGGGCAACAAAGATGATCCAGGGTCTGGAAACCGAGCCCTATGCTGAGAGGCTGAGAGAGCTGGGCACATTTAGCCTTGAGATGAGAAGACTACAAGGGGATATGATAGCACTCCAGAAGTACCTCAAAGGTTGTCACAAAGAGGAAGGAAAATACCTCTACTCACTTATCCCTGAGTGTAGGACATGGAAAAACAAACTTAAACTGCAGCACACCAGGAAAAAATTGCTAGCTGTCGGAGCAATCCAACAGTGGAACCTGTTGCCAAGAGAGGTCATGGATTCTCCCACACTAGAGACGTTCAAGGCAAAACTGGACAGTCATCTGAGTGGGGTGGTGTGACTTGGTGTCCTGCGCCAGCAGGATGTTGGGCCCGGTGGCCTTCTTGGCACCTTCAGTTCCTCCTATTCTATGAATCGATGAATGTACGTAGCAATGTTGGTATTCCCTAGTGGGTTCACAGGTTTTCCTGCAGAAGTTTCCCCACGCTTTGACAAAACTAGCTATGATTGTTTCAGTTGGCCAAAATTGCTTGAAACTTGTACAGAGGTTAGGAACATGAGACACTGTATTATTTGCACCTGCATCCAATTAAACTTTAATCCCACTGGAAAACAGTACTAAGTTTTGCCATTTCTTTTGATTGGGATATAGTCACACCTGACTTAATTGTGTTTGGGAGCAGTATTTCATATTTGGCCTGTGACATCAAAAATAAGAGTGAAAATAAGGGTGATCTGGGGGAAAAGAGGTTCCTTTTTTTGTAGATTTTAAGGGGGAGGATGTGTCTGGTGGTAGTTTTCTGTTCCGTGCTAAACTACCTGCCTCACATGATGACCTTGCAATAGTTTGCATTTTTGCATTGAATGACTGCATCCGACAAAGACTTCTGTGAGATTCAAATGCTGGCTTCCAATGTTTAAGAACTTAGTGGTTCAACCAAAGATTTTGATTTGCACTGTGTTTTTTCCTCATGTTTTGCATGCTAAAACCTTAGTTAGAACAAGATGTAACCAAAATATCAATTAGATACAGACTATAATATTTGTGAGTAGGCCTTAATTTTGAGTATGCATGTATATAACTGCACTCTTAAAACTGACTTCTCGCTGCCTCTTGCAATTGGGAAAAGCAGTGTAGGTACATCCTCATCTATGCAACATTTAAACAATTCTCTGAATTCTAAGTATTGTTTTCCTGTTGGATTTATATCCCCGCTCTGGGATATTTGTTGCTTCACTAGGAAATTTAATTTGGCAATACGAATGGCAATGCAGAATGTTCTAGTTTTTGCTTAAACTTGTCAGTTCTATGCCTGCCTTGTCAAGGAAGTACTGTAGAAGAAATAGGTGTGGGAGCTATGGGAACCTAAGAAAGGTGTGTCACATGTTGGGCCTAAGTATGTATCTTGCATGGATACATGGAATTTCACTGAACCATCCTAGAATGATGATTAAGTGGATATATGTGGAATCTAGCTTTAAGCTGTATCATAGCTATAATTCTGATAATCCTTTATTTTGTTTTCTGACACACAATGATTTTATATTCCCTAGTGTCAGATGCCATCCAAATGCTCTGGACTACTATTCCCAGCATTCCTGACCATTTAGGTAAGCTGGAATTATGGGAATAGTAGTCCAGAACATCTGGATGGCAAGTCTAAAACCCCTCTACAAGTTGGGGAAGGCTGTTTGTATAAGATAGGATTTGTCTATCTTGTTCTATATTTATTTACTATTTGCATTTATATACTACCTTAATAGCACAGAGGATTCTCTGAGGTTGCACTCCTGCTAAAAGAGTATTAGCATAGTTGTTGTTGTTGTTGTTGTTGTTGTTATTATTATAACATTTCTATGCCGCCCCTTGCCGAAACCTCGGGGCGGCTTACAACATGATAAAATACATTGAAATACAATAGTACATAATAAATTACCATTAAATATAAAAATACAAAAAATACATTGATTTACAAATATAAAATTAAAATTATCAGTATAAAATAAAAATATAGGGGGAGAAAGAGAAGGAAGAAGAAGTTGCCCTGGCCAGATCATATGTTTTAACAATTGAAATGATGTTTAAATAAAAAGGTCTTTACCTGGCGCCGAAAAACCAGTAACGACGGTGCCAGGCGGACCTCTTTGGGGAGTGAATTCCATAGGTTGGGCGCTAGATTGGGCCATTCACTGCCTTTCAGCCTGACCTACAACACAGGGTTGTTGTGGTGATAAAATGAAGAGCAGGGCAACCTTGCAAGGAACCCAAGGTGACTTACAAGTGAAAGAAAGGTGGGGTATAAATGCAATGTTGTAGAAGCAATAATATGCCAATTATTAGGCTTACATTGGCTGCCTATTTGCTTCTAAGCTCAATTCGAAGAGCTGTACTTAGCTTTATACCCTAAAGAGCTTGGCACCTAAATCTCCGAAGGAACTCCTTTCCCTATACCAACTGCCCAAGTCTCCAGATTGTCAGAGGAGGCTGTTCTCTGGGTTCTTTTCCCAGGGAAACTCATTGTGTAGGAATTAGGAAGAGATCCTCATGGTGCCTCAGCTCTGGAATGCTACTCATTTGCAGGCAGCACTTCTGTAAATTTAGTGCCAGGTTGATATTTAATTATTTGCACAAGTATTTAAATTACTATGTTACTTGTGCAGTTTCTCTGCTGTTTTTTTACATTTCTCATTCATTTTTATTGGAGCATTTAATGGTTTATTGTACTGGAGCTCATTTTGTTCTTTTAATGTCCTGCAATCTTAGGATGTAGGGAAGTTAAAGCATTTTAGAAACATAGAAACAACGAGTCAGAAGGGGTCTCCCGGGCCATCTAGTCTGACCACTGGCTCCGGCCAGCTCTGCTCACAACATGCTCACCTTGTGCATGTCTAGCCTTTCCTTGAACACCCTCACCGATGGGGCCTCAACTACCTCCCGTGGAAGCCCATTCCATACCCTCGGGGTCCTAACTGTCAGGAAGTGCTTCCTGGCATCTAAATGAAACCTTGGTTCCCTGAGCTTTGCTCCGTTGGAGTGCGTCCTGCCTTCCTCTGCAGGGGAGAACAGGTCTCTACCCACCTCCAATAATAAATTATTCAAATAATAAGTGGTGTGTTATAAAAACAAAGAGCTAGAAGTATCTACAAATTATCTGTATTCTGAAATCAAACAATTAAGGGTTAGTAGCATGCTGAGGATAGTCTTTTTAATGACTTAGGTAGTCTAAATTACCCCACTGCCTATTGGTAAAGGACTGTTCCCTATAAGAGTTATGGTGAGGTATCAGCTTTGCAGGTATAGTCACGGGGTTGTCTACAAAGAAGTAAATCTCATGGCACAACATGAGAATATTTTAAATAATTATGTTGGAGGTATCATTTCACTTCCCTTTTACAAGAAGTTAATGGAAAATTTGCATTAACATAGGAAAATATTTGATTAGGAAAAATAGACTAAGTGCAGGTTTGAGGTTTTTGCCTATCTATTAAGCTCATTAAGGGTTTTGTAAAACAGCATACAAAATTACCTTCTGCACTAGCAAGACTCAAGGTGAATTTGATAGCACTATTGTATAGATCATTTGTTTGTGTTCTGTTGTATAAACATGGATTCAAAGACTATGCAGTTACTGTTAAATGATTTATGAAAACTCTGGGTTTCAGCTGGATCATGCAGTTCCAAATGTGATATGGCAACAGTTCATGCAGTGCATACACAGCTTAAAATAAGTAAAATATTGGGGTGCATGCTTCTACGCTTCATTGATTTAGCTATTCATGGATGTGCTGATTGGTTTTCCAAAAATGAGCTGTGAAGTCTGCTGTAATTATTTCATAATTTAGGATTTTGACAATTCCTTTGCTCTTGCATCATGAGCTAATCCTGTAGCCTGAAAGCATGTATGCAGTCGGAATTCTTAGAAAACATCTTATTTCAAAGATTAAACCTTTTGTAAAGCTTCCAGGAGCAGAGATACTTGTGCTAAAGCCATATATAGGTGCTATTGCCAAACAGGACAAACAGTCTCAACTTACACTAGTACCAACAGGACAATATGCCTCTGGAAGTCATACAAAGAGCCTAACTGAGCCATCCTACTGATGTGGAGGTGGGCAGAATTCCAAAGGGCAAAGACAAGGGAAAGACAGGATGGGGAGTGGGGAAACTGTGTGTGGGTTGCAGCTTGTCTCTCCAGTCCTACGCATATGGGAATAAATTCCTCTGGATGCAGTACGAATTGCTTCCAAGTAAACATCTATAGGATTTGCTGAAAATATTTTAGAATTGTCCTTATTGAAGAATCCTGGTTTTGTAAGCAAATTAAACTTGACTATGCAAATATAGCTAGTTCAGCGACCTTGCTCTCCAAGTGTAAAAAGTTATCTTGGCTTTTTGGTTTAAATGCCATGTTAAATCTATTTCAGGGATCTCTGGAGATAACACAGAGTGTGGATGATGATCCTCTACTTGATGCCGCCCTCCTTTCACCATTGCATACCAGGCTGCACCCCAAGTTCCACACCATCCCTACAGTCTGCTTTGCAAATGTGTTATTGCTTTTGCATGTAAGTTACAAGGATCTTCTTTAGGCAGAAATGCAAAGATGTGCAGATGCAAGGGCAGTGACACCAGCTTCTTCCCCTAACACCATTTGTGTTACCTTTTCAACAGCTTTCTTGCCAGCAGAAGAGTGTGTTACAGTACTGTCCTAGTTCTTGATCAGCAAAGGATAGAAGAGACACCCAGATTTGTCTCCCTTGAGCCCTTTTTGGTGTCATCCCTTGTCATTAGGGCAATATGCTTTTTTGAGGCTAAGGGAAGACCCTATACATAGCAGGCAGGCAGGCTTCGGAAAGCTGAAACAATGGACCTGAATGCAACATCCTTTGTTCACACCTTGAAGTCTTAAACCAATTCAGTTAAGGAAAAACTTGACCATTACTAAAAACTAGAAAAATGCCCTGTGTCTATAGGGAGTGATGGTAGGCAAGCAGGCAACAAGGATCCTAGCTTTACATTTCCCCATGAAAATGAAGGGCAATACTTCTGTGCTTCCCTCTTCTATAAAACAGACCCCATCCACTTGGTTCCTTGCCCCTTTTGGTCCTAACCCCTGAGGATCAAGTTTGCACAATCCTGCCCTCCAAGATCATGCTCTGTGGTTCTGTACCAATTAAGAAAATGAAAGCAGTCACTTAGAGAGGAACTAGGCATTTCTGTATGCTTCAAGAGTCCCATGTCTGCAAAACGGAATTGCTTTGTATAGACCAAATGAGATTACAACAAGCTCCTCCCCAGATGAGAGCTACTCCTTCCGTAACAGTGACAAAAGCAAAGGGGGATGGATTCTGGCTTCATGGGGCTAATTCTCTCTCTCCCCCCCCCCCCTTTTGATAAGTAAGATTTTCCCTGACAATAGAGGGAATTAGGATAACACACACATCATCTGCTCTCCCAGTCAGGTCCTTGCCCTAAAGTACTCTAGTTATTTGCTCTTGTTACCATCCCTTCCTTAATCTTTCACTAACCCCATTTGCTCATTTTGGGAGAATGAGGAAGTCTGAGCTCCTCAGGTTTTCACAGGCTCCTGGCTTGTTATAAATCTCTTCAAGCAGTAAGACCCACCCACTCAAGCTATTTGGTTAGGCTAGAATGGGATGGTGTTAGTGGAGTTTTTAGAAATTGGCTAATATTACTTCTGCTGCCTCATTGGAAAGCTTAAGAATTTCTTGACGGAATAGTGTCATGACTGACTTTCAATGGGAAAACTTTTTTTAATGGGAATAATCTCTCCATGGAAATAACTTAATAAAATGGAGATGGCTCTGTAAAATAAGTTAGATTAAACATGGCAGTTAATCCTGGTGGTATTTGGCTTTGTTGATGCTCCAGTCCCCTACAAAGTTACAAACATTAATGATTTGATTTCTGTTTTGCTTCCTCAGGTTACTTTTGTTGTTTTGGCTTTTGTGGCAGGGGTGTCTTGTTTTTATTCTGATTCAAGTGAAGACATCTGTCCTGGAAATTACACCTATCCACTTAAAGTGCAAACTGTTATCATCATTGCCAAAGTAATTCTCTGGATCCTGTATGTGGTACTTGAACGGTATGTTCATTTCCATCACAGCATGGTCAGAAGAAAAGGCTATCTCCTGATCTACCGAACTACAAGAAATCTCAAAAGACTCCCATTACTAATTCAGTCCACAGGTGAGCCTAAACTTATCATAGAGTTTTGTCTGTTCTTCTTAACCTTTTGACTACTCTGAATTCCAGTCCTTTTTCTGTGCTCATTTCAAAGTGCTGGTATTAACTTGGTTAGTACCAACTTTTATTCTATTTGGGGCCTATTTGGGACAAGGTTGCCTGAATAGTCATCTTCACCCATATATACATGGTGGGTTTCTGGGTTTTTTCACCAGGCTACAGAGGTTTGTTTGTTTAGCGGACTTATATGCTGCCCCATTCGCCTAAGCCTCGGGGTGGCTTACAAATAAATAAATATCATTAATGCAATAAAATGCAATTGGAGACATCCTGGCCAAAGTTGTTAAAATCAATAAATAAAATCAACAATTGAAATGCTGTTTAAATAAAAAGGTCTTGGCCTGGTGCCAAAAAGCAAATAATGAGGGTGCCAGGCAGACCTCTCTGGGGAGCACATTCCATAGGTTGGGCGCCACCGCAGAGGAAGCCCTCTTCCGGGTACTCACCCTCCTAATGTCCTTCACGGAGGGCTCCTGGAGAAGGGCCTCTGCAGCCAGTCTCAAGGGGCGGGAGGGCACATATGGACGTAAGCGCTCCTTTCGGTAACCAGGACCCAAGCCGTTAAGGGCTTTATAGGTGATAACCAACACCTAGAATTGGGCCCGGACTTCAATGGGGAGCCAGTGAAGCTGACGGAGGACTGGAGTTATGTGAGCACAATGCCCAGTCCCCGTCAGCAACCTGGCAGCTCTGTTTTGCACCAATTGAAGTATCCGGACCATCTTCAAGGGCCGCTCCACGTAGAACGCGTTACAGAAGTCTAGTCGGGAAGTTACCAATGTGTGAGTCACTGTCACCAGGCAGTCGTTCTCCAGGTAGGGGCGCAGCTGGTGAATCAGCCGAAGCTGAAAGAAAGCGCTCCTCGCCACTGCTGTTACTTGAGCTTCCAGTGAAAGCTTTGGATCGAGGAGCACTCCCAAGCTGTGGACCTTGTCCTTCAGAAGGAGTGCAACCCCATTCAGGACAAGGTCAAAGTCCCCTTCTCCGAAGCCCGAACAGCCTACCAACAAGACCTCCGTCTTGTCTGGATTGAGCTTCAGTTTATTGGCCCTCATCCAGCCCATTACCTTGGCTAGGCACCGGTTCAGTACAGCCACTGCCTCACCTGGATTGGTTGAAAACGAGAGGTAGAGCTGGGTATCATCAGTGTACTGATGATTCCGCAGCCCACACCTCCTGATGACCTCTCCCAGCGGTTTCATGTTGATGTTAAATAGCAAGGGGGGCAAAATGGACCCCTGCGGAACTCCATGGCATAACTGCCATGGTGCAGAGCCATAGTCGCCCAGCACCACCTTCTGGAATCGGCCATTGAGATAGGAACGGAACCACTAAAAAGCAGTGCCTCCAGCCCCCAGTCTCACTAGCCTATCCAGAAGGATACCATGGTCGATGGTATCGAAAGCCGCTGAGAGGTCCAGGAGGACCAACAGGGACGCACTCTCCCTGTCTCTTTCCCTGCACAGCTCATCATACAGGGTGACCAAGACAGATTCAGTACCATACCCGGGTCTGAAGCCAGACTGAAATTGGTCCAGATAATCAGTTTCATCCAAGAGTGCTTGGAGTTGTCCTGCCACCACCCGCTCCAACACCTTTCCCAAAAACGGGATGTTGGCCACCAGTCTGTAATTGGTGGCCATCTCTGGATCCAGGGTTGCCTTCTTTAGGACTGGTCGGACTACCACCTCCTTTAAAGGGACAGGTACCTGGCCATCCCTCAGAGAGGCGTTGATGACCTCCAGGATCCAGGTTCCTATCCCGTGCTTGGCGTTGTTAAGTAGCCCAGATGGGTAAGGGTCCAATAGGCAGGGGGTGGGACATACTTGTCCAAGCACCTTGTCCACATCATCAGGCCGCAATAACTGAAACTCATCCAATAAATTAGGACCAGACGGCAACATTGGTTCCTCCCTTGAAGGCTCTGAATTACTAGTGGAGTTCAGCTCATGAAGAATCTGAGCGATTTTCTCCTTAAAATGCTTGGCAAAGTCATCACAGCGGGCTGTCAAGGGCAGTACAGGGTCTTTCTTGGGGCCAGGATGAACCAGCCCTTGTACCACCTGAAAAAACTCCGCCAGACGGCATTGTGAGGAGGCAGTGGAAGCGGAGAAGAATTTCTTTTTCGCCGCCCTCACCGCCACAGCATCGGCCCAATAATGGGCTCTTAAGTGTGTTCAGTCAGATTCACCCCATGATTTCCTTCACCTATGCTCTAGACATCTCCCAACCCGCTTCATCGCCCACAATTCAGGTGTATACCAAGGGGGGGAGTGGGCTCTGCCCGGTGGGAGAGGACACTTAGGAGCGATTGTGTCAATAGCCCTGGTCATTTCCCCATTCCATAGTTCAACCAGAGCCTTGACAAGAGCACCAGTCTTGTCAACCGGAAATTCCCCCAGGGCCTTCAGGAATCCATCCGGATCCGTCCAGCTCCGGGGGCAGACCAACACAATTGGGTCCATACCCTTACAGAGGGAAAGGCCGCTCTTGAGCTCAAACCTCACGAGGAAGTGATCTGACCATAACGGGTGTCAGACACAAATTCCTCACCCTCAGATCACCCTCTTCCTTCCCCGTCGAGAAAACCAGGTCCAGTGTGTGTCCACGTTCATGGGTTGGGCCTGTGACATGTTGAGACAGCCCCATGGCCACCATGGAGGCCATGAAGTCCTGAGCCGCCCCGGTCAGACCAGTCTCGGCATGGAGATTGAAGCCCCCCAGGACCAACATCCTGGGAGTCCTCAACACCAGGTCCGAGACGATCTCCGTCAGCTAAGGCAGAGGGAGTCTGTTGGGCAGAAGGGTACATGGTACACCAACAGAATCCCCAATCTGTCTTGGTCTCCCAACACCAAGTAGAGGCACTCTAGACCCGGCCTCGAGGGGACTGGAAGCCCCGTGAGGGAGATGGAAGCTTGGTAAACCAAAGCAAGCCCCCCTCCCCTCCAGGCGTGGACAGTGCTGGACCAGATACCCGGACAGGCACATTTGAGAGAGGGAGACATCCCCCCCTCTCCCGCCCAGGTCTCTGTTATGCAAGCCAGGTCGTCCCCCTCATTCACAATCAGATCGTGGATGAGGGATGATTTGTTGTGGTTGCAGACAAGAGCAGAGTAAAATCGAACAAACACCCTCGCTTCACCTGTCAGCACAGCTGCACCAGAAAAGCATTTGTGTTACAAAGAGGAAGCAAGAGAAAGGTAAAGGGAAAAAACAGCAAACTATCCTTCCTGTACCTGAGAAAGAAAACCACAGTTTTTCAGTTGGCTTCTAAATAAATGCTGGTTAGAGCAACTACCCATGTAGTAAATAAACCATATTGTTACATGTGAATCAGGCCCTCTAGTCACTTGTTGGAACTGTGTTTATGAGTACTAAATGAATGTGCTCGCCTTTGGAAAAAAGTATTCTTTTGGTTGAATTGAACAGTTCTGGCTCACACAACATGACAGTCCATCATGGGCAGTTAATTGATGAGTTGTTGTGCTGTGTAAGCCTAGTGTGTCTGGTGCAGAGTGGCTTAATTTTTGTGAACAAGCCATCCTGACTATCCATGGCTTGTGGTGAGGGTTATCATGACCATTGTGGGTTGCTAAGTCATCTGAACCTGGGAGGCTGATTTCATCATGATTTGCTGAAAAGTCCTATTGAATCTGTTGGCAAGAGGGGCCAGAAACATTGCTACTCTTCTGCTCATAAGTGGCCTTTTCCCTGAAGTCTGCCTAGTAACACATTGTGCTAGGTCTGATGCCTGCTCATACTGCTGGCAGTAGGATTTCTGAGCCACCCAAAGAATGTCAAGTATCAGTCTATGGAGAGCCTCCAGTCTCCAGGCTGTGAATCGTCCTCCCCTCTCCAGCCACACTGAGACATTCTGAGTCTTATTTCCAGTATTCCCAAGATGTGCAGTGCCCCATCTGCAAGTATACTGAGACCCTCAGATCTTGGGCTGCTCCAAAAAGTATTCCAATTTGAGCCAGCAGCACATCTACGTCTGTCCGTGCTTCCCTAGAAACCAGCTTGCTTGCTTTCAGGGGACAATTTCACCAGCAACGTATTCCCCTAGTGCAAGAAGCTCAATCAGTTTTCCTTCTGCTGAGAGAAAAGGAAAGGGATGCCTGAGCCTAGATATATTCTGAGGGGAAAAAGGAGCTTGAACACAGCTATTCGGGGAGTGGTCTGGAGTACTTTCCCAAGGGAAACACATCTGGCATGGAACCTCCACATGGAAGGTATGGAAAATTACCCACGAGACATCAGGCCCTTCCTGCCTGTAGTGCTCAGGCAGCTGCCCTCAAGCAGGGACAGTCTTATTGATCTAGATGTGCTTATGATTTACTTACTCCTGCCGGAGAACCACTGGAAGATCTGGGACTTGAGCTCACAGGGACACTGCTTCCTGAACTGCCTCAAGTGAGGGTAGGAGTGTGGTTTGGCATGCCTCTTCACAGAGTCGGGTCTCCCCATGCCAAGCTGGGTTTCCCTGAGAGGAGGCTAGGCTGCAAGAGAGAAGGCTGAGGTTCTGCACGGAGGGGATGGGGAAGAAGCTGAAGCCGAAAACTGCACTTGAAGAAGGGCAGCCCAAGCAACCAGCACTACAACAGGGCCCAGGGAACTGAAAGAAGAACCTGTGGGGAAGGTGCCGCTGCCGACCAAGGATACTTGTGCAATGAACGTAAAAACAACTTGGTGCTCCTCTCAAGAGATCTGGTCAGAGCTGCTGAAGTTGCAGGGGAGCAAAACCAGAGCCCCTTTCAGGAAAGAAATGAGCAGGAAGAGCCAGCAAGCATCTAGTGGAAATCTGGTCAGCTTGGAGGATAAGGTAAAAGCAATTGGGCGAATCGATGCACAAACACCTGGCAGCCTCAGACCTCAGCTTTGTTTGGGGAACCAAACAGCCATCACTGACAAGCAGCCTTGCATGGAGCAATGCAGAAACATCAAGGGCAAGCTCTGCACATGGCAGATCCCTGTATGCCAGTGCAAGTGTTTCTTCCCCAGGTCCTTGTGAAGATGCCGCTCAGTTGCCTGTATTTCCAGTGGGGCCCATAGTGGGTTCATTGCTTGCCCTCCACCACTGCAGAAGGTGGAAGAGGAAGACTCAGTGCCTCGGGGATACCAGTGGAGTACTCATAACCAACCACATTCTTGATGGGGGCCCAGATGGAAGAAGAATATCAAAATAGAAGAAGTACTGGTGCTCAGTAACTCCCCCCCTTCTGTCATGCCACCCTATTTCCATTCCTGCTGGTTTCTTAAAAGTAAGAGTTATTTTGCTTTCAAGGACAGTTCTAGATAACAAAAGGCAGCTTTATTGTGCCGTAGGCTTTCCACTGGTGCACAGGAAACCAAAAGGGAAAGCTTGGAACGGCTCGGTTGCATGCCTGCCACCATGGATTCCTGTTGTAGCGGGGAAAGTATCGTTACTTACTTAAAACGTAGAACCATCTGCCAGGACCTGGTGCATACTGTGCATTAGGCACAAAGGTGCATTTACACCTGCTGTGGTATATCTGGGATGCTGTGTGTGGGTGGCTTGAATCGTGATCACTGCTCCCACATTCAGAAGCATTTATTTCTGGTTCTTCAGCCTCTCTGCCTCTCTCTCCTCCTACCTTCATTCCTCCCACCCTGGATAATCCAAATTCTTAGACAGTCATAGTTGAACTTTGAGAATGGTGCCTGCTTCTTCACAGGTGCCTGTCACAGAATGGATTCCAAATTTAGTCTGTGAACCAAGACTGGCCCCCTGCAGCTTGTAGAGTGCATGGGTTGAGGAGTGTGGTTTTCAGGCCCCAGTAAACCCTCACCTTTCCCTGCCTCCTAACATCCAATACTCAGTCCCATTCCCCCAAGACCAAACTAAGAAGCTGAATCCAAATTGTACACTTCTCAGGCCTTTGACGCCTTCTTGTCCTGCTACTCTTGTTAGTTGCTGAATCAGTGCAAAAATGTGGCTACTTCCCCCACTGTCCTGTACTTTGGAAGGAACTACGTATGCAGCAAGTTCAGAGACCAGGTGGGGAGGGCATATATGGAGCAATTTTTATTCTGCTGTTCAGCAATCTACAGGGGATACAAATGTCTGTCTCCAGGGAAGGAGATGGAGAATGCCACAGTTGCTCCCTCAGTGCTGCAGGAGCCCACCACAGACAGATGCGTTGTCTGCCGGCTGTCACTCCCATCCACTGAAGCTGTGTGGATAATTTCTAGACATGTATGCTTGGGATGATCCCAGATCTTCTGTCATTTTCTGCTTGTCCCGAGCAACTTTTGAAAAGGCCATCATTTAGACACAGTGATGTGGAAATCCATATCAGTAATAAAAAAGGTATGGGCTGATCATCTACAAACTTGCTTTCAGCACTGGGTGCCTCCCATTCAGTACTACCTTTAAAGTAGGGAAGTCTAGTGCATGTAAAATCTTCAGAGAGACATTGCACATTCTGAATAAGCTCTTCCTCACCAATATCATAAAGGTGGCAGATGGGATAAAGAACATACAGGAGCTTCTGTAACCTGGGATTCTCTTGAGTAGAGAGGGCTTTAGATTTCACTTTCATGTGCATTTTTGCTCCTCCAAGCAGGGCGGGGAGTTCTCAACTGCAAATGCCTTTACAGCACAGTTGTCCAGGCACTTGTGGACTCCAAAGGGAGATCTATATAGGCTTACATAGTTGTTCTGTGGAGAAGCCATGACATACCTATCTCCTGGACTTTAGCTTTGACAAACAAACTCTCCATTGGCAGGTTCTTCACCAGCCTGCCCCACATGCTAAACAGCCTCCCCGTGTGACCCCTTTACTCCTGGATATTAGGCTTTTACACTTCAGGCACAGCTTCCAGCACTGTACCAGGTTCCAGGGAATCAGGGCATTGAACCCAGGGACCTTATTGGCCCCTTCCAACTTTTTTTAATGATTCTGATATATGTGAGGCAAGGGAAATCAACCCTGAGATGCTGTGACCAGGGGCTGAAAATAATGCCATTGTCATCAGTGGGTGAGTGAACGAGTCCTTACTATTATCCTAAAATGTAGATTCTGAATCAGCAACTTGGGCAGACACTAGAAATATCAATTCAGCTATCTGTGGATTGGGTGCCCACATGGGTACTACCACTGAGGACTTAAAACTGCAGAAGTGACTTTCCCATCAGCCTATACTGCACTTGCTAGAATCAGGTGGAATGCTGTAGCATTTCTCCCTGCTTGCCTATAAGCATCCCTTCCCTATAAGCCTACCTTAAAGTGTAGCCACCTTTGTATACCTCCTGCACCATTCTGGAATCTCTTCAAAGCTTGTTTGCTGATGAAAGAAGAAACTGCAAAAACAGGACTGCATCTGAACAGTAAGAAAAGTATAATAATGACTACAGAATACTTATATGATCTTAGTGTCACAGTGAAGAAATTGAAATTGTGAAAGACTTTGTTAAACTTTGACTCAATAACCAATAAATTGAAAGATTTGAAACTTGAAAGAGCAGCAATGAAGGAATTAGAAAAGAGAATCAATTGAAAGGCCAAGATTACCCCCACCATTGTATTCCTGATTACTATGTATGGGTGTGAAAGCAGGACAGGAAGAAAATGGACCTGTTCAAAACATGGTGCTGGAGGAGAGCTTAGCAACTACTTCAGACAGACAAAAAGATGAATGAGTGGATTCTAGATCAAATCCAGCCAGAACTTTCCCTGGAAGCAAAAATGACAAAACTGAAGCTGTAGCACTTCAGGTGCATCATGAGAAAGCAAGACTCCTTGGAGAAGACAACCATGCTAGGGAAAGTTGAAAGCAGAAGAGGAAGACCAAATATGAAATGGATTGGTTCCATAAAGGACGCTATAGCCTTGGGCTTACAAGAGCTGAGCAGGGCTGTCAAGGACAAGACATTTTGGAAAGCATTCATTCATAGGATGGGAGATGACTTAAGACCATGTAACAACAACCATTAGGCCTTTATTTAACCTATACATTGCAGGTGATCAACTGCAGTTAATCTGTATTATATTTGCATAAGTAGTCTGGGTTGTCTCCTCTACATAAATAAACCTCTGTGCTTTATAGGATGTAACATTCTTAAAAGGAGAAATGAAACTAGCATTAAGGAAGGGTCTTTTGTGGGAATAATAAGCTTACAGCTTCTTGTCTACACTCTTGCTTCTCTATTTTGGCAGAATTTTATTTATAACTTCCTTTCAAAAACTCATCACCCTTTGCCCTGCTCTCCTCAGTTATAGTCCAGTTTCTTGCATTTCCCATTTGAACCAGCAACCACTTCATCAATGCCCCACATACAAGTAAGGCCCAATACTGCCTTCCAAATAAAAGGTAGGGTTTTTTTTTTACCATTTCTTGTGGTGGCAACATTTTTTGGCAAAACATGTTTCTCAGTAAAGATCTCTGGAGCTGCACCTCACTGGGGTCTTCGTGGAGGAGAATGGACTGGTACAGTTGTAGCGCTGCAATGCCAGGAGAGGCTGGAGGAAGATTTCTGAGACTTGAACAATCAGTGAAGCATAGGGTACTTGCTGGAGAACTGAGCAGAGGAACAAGCTACAGCAAGCCCAGTCCTGTTCTCAGGATAGCTTATCATAATGTACAGACCCTGTTAACTGGGCATACCCAGCACCAATGGACTGGGAGAAAACAATACCGGTATCTAACATTTTAAGCTCCCATGTTTTCTAAAAGGAGAAACATGGGATTCTATGTTTCATCAGCTGTCTGAACCAGAGATGGAATTGGTTGTCTTAACATCATTGCACCATTTCTCATGCTGTAGGTGCAATATTGAGGTATGGCCACTAGATAGAGCTCTGGGAATAAAGATAAGGTTACTGGCTTTGAACCGACTTCCCTAACCTGGTGTCCTCTAGATGTCTTTGGCTAAAACACACAGGATCCCTGACCCTTGGCCCTGCTGCATGGGATTGATGGAAGAGAAATTCCAAACCTTCTGTATGATGGCAGGTTGGAAAAGGCTGGTTTCAGTATCTTTGCTCCAGTTGGAAGAATTTAATACAGGGCATGATGGAGTTTCTTGCAAATTCAAAATAATCCTTCCTTCCTGAATGTGTATGGTGCAGTTGGCAGATATTTTGCTCCTAACCATCATAAGTCACTATAAGCAAGGCCCCTTCCCCTGGCCTTTGAAGTCTCCTAGTGTTTCCAGTAGAGCTTCCTCCCAGTCATCTTTGTTGACCTGCCTGGCCAGTCAACACAAAGGTATCTTCTCTCTTCCCCACCCCACACAGTAGCACCAGAAAGCTGCCCATCATAAGCCACCATAACGAAAGCAACCACAAGTCTCCCATGCATAGTAACCAAGCTAGCCCTCTGGCCTACTCAGATCCACAGATGTCACACAAAGTTTGTAAATGTAAGAACATGTAAACCACTCTTTATGCAACATTTAGTTTAAGCCTAAATACAAATTTTTCTTGTATGCACGTGAATACACACAAGGGCCCATTGTAACAAGGATGCATTGGTGTGGTGGTTACCTCTCCCAGAGAGCCCAGTCCAGTATCCTCGCTCAAACAGCAAGTCCTATCAGACAGTGGTTCAAGACAAAGCGGGCTGAATCCAGACCCTGGACAGGTGGCTTTACTGTTTATCTGCACAAAGCCCAATTAGTTCCAGGAACAAAGTGCACAGTCTCTTTTTAGTCAGTTCTAGCAGGGTTGATTGTTACTTCAGAGGTATTTTTATTCTTTGTATAGTTGTGTATGTGTGGGGGGGGGTGGTACTACTGAGCCACCTGGAGTAATTTCTTAGCTGAGTTTCTAACCTTCACATCTGTTTTTTTAATAGGCAATGCTGCCTTACTCCTGATATTGTCAGCACAGCATTCCTTTCTCAACCACAATAAAATGTATCTCTGCTTCATTCTTGGAATATTGAGCGTGGAGCTAATATGTACATTGATATGCCTGGTTGTCTACACAGGTAAGAATTATTGCATGGTATTGCGTGCTGTAGGTAGCAGTAGGTCACATGATTCCCCCTCCTTTTTTGGGAGATGCATGATTAAAGTAGTCTGATCTAAGATTGGTAGTAAAGGTCAGAAAATTAATAGCCTGAAGTCAGGAGGAGTATGGTATTATAATAATACTCCGTTCTTCACTATTCTGTACTACATTGCTAACAATGTGTATTTAAAATGCTCAAAAAGCTTATTGACAGCAGGATGAACCGAAGATGCTGAAATGTATTCAACCGTTTCTAACTTTCTGCTATTGCAGTCATCCTTAGAAATGCTCAGATGGAGAGCACCAAACACAATTGTTTGCATGACACTAAAATGTTGTTTCTCTGTTTGTGCTGCCCTATCCCAAGGGCTTAGGGCAGCTTACAGCACAAAAAGAGAGCACACAAGATGCAGCTGTTGATAGGGAAAATTCTTCACTTGGCAGTGAGAGCCATCTTTTGTGGCAGAGCAGCTGTTTCGAGGGGTTTCTTGCCTGGCACTGATATGCAGCTCCATCTCTGCCCACATAGTGCAAGGCTCTTCATTTTTGTACATATGGTAGTTGCGGAAGGAGGCAAGATGCTTCTGGTGAGAGCTGCCTGCACAATTTACAGTCCCATGTCCTTCCGCTGGCTGGCAAGAGCAATTGTATTCAGGCAGGCCTTTGGCATAAAAGCTGATCTGCTGAAAACGGTTCTAATCAACTGTGAGCTTTTTATTTCTTTTATTGCTGTGTATTTTGCTGTGTTGCTCATATATCTATGTTTATGTTTTAACTAAGATTTTATTTCCAATCTGTACTTTATTAGCCAGGTTGAGTACTACTTCTGGAGGAAACATGGGATAGGTTAAATAATAAATCTCAAGTTCAACGTGATATAGATGAGATGGGTGCAAAACACTAGACGTGGGGCTTAACACTAGCTCTTAGAAGGTCCTAATCTGGTTTTCCTAATTTCCTCAGAAACCTCCCCTCTGACCATCAGTCATTTGCTATTTTTGTAGCTTTTGTGCATTAGCTACTTCTTTCTAAAAGGCTGAAATTCCTTGAAAGGCAACAGAGAGCCCTAATGTGACACAAAATATTGCAAAAAGGAACTGGGTGAAGAATGTTGTAACAGTGCTGATGTTAAAGCCAGGCCTGAGAGACGTTAAGTAGTGCCAGCAGTCTATGGATTAAGTATTCACACACAGGACTAGACTTCTATATTACAGGAATTATCTTTTATGTTAAGGTAGCAGAGTTAACATGAGAGTTCTGTGTCAGTCTCTCTTTCTGCTCTCTGAGCTTCTTTGTAGTTCAGCACTGAGAGCACTTCAGAAGGCAGTATGTTGTCACAAGCATGAACCTGGCCAACTTTCAGGGCTACCCTTTACATAGGATAGTAGTTTGATTTGCATATGTAGAACTGGATCAACTTAGCCAGTGTGGGTACTGCCTTTGTGTCGCTACTGCCAGAAGAATAGAAACAGCATGATTTTATATAGGTATTACCATTTTGCCCTTACACTAGACCACCACGAACCTCTAATTTTGGAGTCTCATTCTAGAATGGGCTCAGTCTCATTCTAGAATGGGCTTCATGGTGACAAAGACATCTCTCACTCATTTAGATGTAATGAATGAATTGCATGCTGCCCAGCTGCTCTTTCTGCATGAGGGAGTTGCTAAATAAGCCAGTGACGTGCTATCACTGGTTTGTTTATTGTTATGTATGAACAGGAATGCCTCCTTGTCTCTCCCTCTAACAATCCAGGGTCAGCAGTCATGGTTTGTTGTGGCCTTATGACTCTGGCTTATTCCTGACTCACATGCAGCCATGGATAGAAGGAAGATCCATAGTTCAGTTGCTTCAGCTTGTAGCAGGAGTGATCAGGCAGTGTTAGTGAATATACTGCTTGTAAATGATAGGCCAGGTTCATGCCAAAAACCTGCCTGAACATTACCTTAAAACTAGTCCATTATTAGACCATTGTCTTGTTCATCTCAGTAATTGAATCTCTTTGCATGCACTCTTTGACTTTTGTATGGTATCTGTGTAATTTAATATTCAACTTGTAGTCTTGCCTGCAAAAGTTTTTCCCTGCTATTTCTCTTGCCTGCGAATGTGTCCTGCTACATAGTCTGTTTCATGCTTTGTACCCCATCTGTCTCATAACTTTTTTCATGTTTTGCTGTTAGTCTTGCAGGATTTGAAGTAAAAGATTTTATCTCCATCTCATGATCATTATCAGTCCTGAGCTTTTCCAACTTGGTTTGTTTGTTTGTTCATCTTCCAATGCGTATCCAGAATTGCATACCCGAATCCTTTGGAAACTTGTTGGTTTGCATTTGCCTTAAATCTTTTGGCATGCATTAGCTGGAGGAATCTTACTCAGTTTTAGATAGCTGAATTCTGAAGTGGGTTGGGAGTTAAAGTCATCAGATTATATCTTGCTGACACACATGCCTTAGTTATTCCTCTGATCACTCATGCAACCTGCTTCTGCACAGCAGGTGGTCTAGTAAAGCAATCCTAGGTGGGAGAGGTCCTGATCACAGAAAGTTGCTGACTGACTAAACGAGAATGAAGTGTAGTGTGGACATAGATCTTAAAATAATAACTTACTCCCCACCAGTATGTTTGCTTTCCATCATCTTTTGCTAAAGAGAACAGCTAAATTCAAACACACATTCTAAATACATATTTAAGGAACTAGAATAGAGAAGAAAGAAATGATGGTATATAAGCTTAACCTCCCTAAACCTTTGTTGTCCCTGTCCAAAGTGGTGTAGAAACATAGAAACCTGCTTCCCTCTAATCTGTGCCATTCCACATTCTGTATTTCCCATAAAGTGAGGGGGATATATTTATCTTTAGTGCTTCAACTCTTCCTCCCTGGTATGTGAACAGATTAAAAGGACATTGATGTCAGACTTTAGTATAAGTAGCTGAGAAGATAAAATAACTTTGGGGGTACCATGTAGACTATGTCTGCACATTTTTGGAGCAGAGTGTATGTTCTAAAGGCAGGGCTCAGTAATCAAGGGCTGCTGTCAATTCACTGAGGATAAATAAGTCCACCTGTAAGCAAGCCTAAGCACATGTAAGAGAAAGAGTTGCTTACTGTCTCTGTGTTTGGCTGTCTTCAGTTTAATACCCTCCTCCTTTCTTATTTATGTATCAAATTTTAAATTGTAAGCTCCTTGTGATAGGGTCCTGTGTAAAGAGCCATGCATGCTGATGGTGTTGTGTAAACAGGGCAAATAATAACCATGTTACTTGTAGACAACCCAGAAATAATACAGTCCACCTGACACACATTTGAATGGGGAGGTCAAGATCTGGAAGAATATGGTATTAGCATTCTTCTCCCTGCGGCCACTCCCCTCCATTTCTGTGTGCTTTAACTCAAGTCAGCTTTCCCTGGTGTACAGAACAAGGCCAGAAGAAAGGTCTGTTTGCACAAAGCATTTTCAATTTAGTTATTTGTCTTACGGTAGATCAGTTTTTAGAGGTGGTGGTTATTACCTTTAAAGGAAAAAGTGGGGAAGAAACTCCAGGTGCTCATAATTTTTCTTTCTTTTTAAAATGTCTGCACAACATATTTCACAAGCTCCTTCCGCAGGGGCATGTTTCCTACAATGATTTACCAATACAGGTGATGCTCTACTGAATCACTGTAGACTACATGCTGCTGAAATGCCTTGGGCCAACATTTTTAAATAAATAAGCCCCCAGAACCTAAAGTTCCCCCCTTTCTTTTTTCCTATTTGTGGTGCCATCCCATTTGTGTTGGATTTTATTACCTTTAAAGCCCTAAACAGCCTGAGATTGGGCCACTTGAAGGCCTGTCTCTTCCTGTGCGAATCTGCCCATCCTTTCAGATGAGCTGTTGCCCTGCCCATGTGCATTGTTGCCTTCTGGAGCATAGTTGGCAGCAGTATGGAAGGGGGCCTTTCTTTTCTTTTTTGGTGACACCCTATTTTTGGAACTCCTTGCTCCAAGAACTTAGCTTAACTCCCTTTCCGCTTCCTTTACAGCCATTGAAAACATTTTAAGCAAGATTTTGATTCTGTTTTAACTTATTATTTTGGTCCTTGGTATTTTTTCTTGGTGCTGTTTTAATCTGGTAATCTGATTTAAATGTTGGATTATATTTATTTTGATATCTGCTTTAGAAATTGTTGGCTGCTTTGAACAACTTTTTTGTGGGGGGGCAGGGAAGAAGCAGGATAGAGAACTTTGTACACATTTTTAAAAAGTGTTTTTTCCCCTTTTCTAATCATAGTGAAGGTAAGCAATTTTAATCGGGCAAAACCAAGACCTGATGTAATAGAAGAAGAGAAGATATATGCTTATCCTAATCATGTAACCTCAGAAATTGGATTCAGGTAACTTCTGCAGTTGTTATTTCTATGTACCTGGTCAAGAATGACATTTATTGGAAAGCTCATACTGAAAGCAACTAGGAATAGATTTCTTAATGGGTATCAGCAGTTGCTGTGCTGCTATTTTATGCTATAGCAATATACCCAACGGATACCTCTGTGATTTGGTATTGTTGTGGATAATGGTTCATGAGACATGCTGTATTACATTTGACCATTGGATATGGCATATCTATATAAAACTCTTTAGGGACAGCTATATCCTTGGCACAGGTTCTTGTGTCTTTGCAGTCTGATAGTTTCATATTAGATTAGATTTCATTGTTACTGATAATAAAGAAGGAAGCCTCAGAGAATCGGAATGCGTTGAAAACCAGTAAGGGACCACCTGTGGTATAACTTAATGGAAGGTGCCATAGTGCAATGGACTAGCATCTGCTGTGTATGTGGAAGGTCCCATTGGCATCTCTTGTTTTTTAAACCTTGGCATCTCTGGGTAGAACTAGGAAGGAATCCTACCTGAAACCCTGGAGAAGCTTTTCCTGTCAAGTATCATTATGAATGAATGCTTTGGTTTAGTTTAAAGCAGCTTCCTAAGTTGCTATGCCTACTTTTCAGGAGTAAAGCAACAAATAATGCCGTAAGAAAGACTTGGCATGAATTTTCTGTATTTCAGGGACACCTCAAGCTTGGAAGAAATAGTTGAAAAACAAGGTGATGTGATTGAATACCTTCGACGGCACAATGCCCAGCTTAGCAAGAAACTGTTGGCGGTAACTTCCCAGCAGGGCAGAGGCTAGTTTTGGACACAGAATGGTGGGTGGACAACAGAGGAAAACACTGGAATGACCTTAATCTTGACTCATCCTTTCAATGTTGAATGTGCATCTTATGCAAATTGATCTGCGAACCAGGTCTGCAGTCCAGGTTCTGAAAAGCTCGCTGATCTCTTCTGGTTCGGTGCTAAAACATCTTGGTTTTTAAAGGACATTCATTTTAAAAAAGTGTTTTCAAAAATTCCTGCAGTACAGGAAATGACATTAGCTAGGAAAAACTCTTCCTTGGTCAGTTGTTAATGGTTGTTGAACTTCTCTAATTGAAACTATAGCAAATTGCCAAAGATCTTTGTAGTAGCTTGGGATTTGGTCCTTTTCACAAATTAACATAGAGAAAACACCCTAATTTCTGAGGCATCAAAATAGTAATATCCTGTATTGTAAACAGTAAGGTCATCATGTTATTGGTGGGCAAAGCTGTCACATCTATCTGATGGGTTGCTAAGAAGTTGTCTAATGTCCGAAAAGGTCTGTCGCCATCAAAAACTTGTTGAATCCACCAGTGTAGACACATCAATGACAAAATAGCATTGCAAATTCAGTGACTAATGCCAGTGGAAATACAGGCAAAGCCCTACACTAACCTTTCCCAACATGGCGCCTTCCAGATGTTTGGAGGTACAATTCCTAGGTTTCTTGACCATTAGACATGGTGGCTGGGGCTGTTGGGAGTTGCCCAAGTTGGTGAAGGATGCCCTGCACAACTGAAAAAAAGGATGTAAAGAACTGAAGGATTCAGTGGTTAATTGATGATAGTTATATAGATAAAACAGATTTTGTATCAGTTAGAATAATGTGTAACACAAATATGCAAAGAAGAGGTGAATGACCTGAAAATTCTCTGGTTTGTTCACATGTGAATTCTCAAATCCCATGGTTAGGAAATTGTGGCGTAATGAAGGTATCAACACTAATTTCTTGCTGCCTTCAGATTTTATTTTACAAGCTACTTATGCATTTCTGCATATCTTACTCGTAGGAGATAAATGAGCATAATTAAGGGAAAGTGCATGTGTATATATTTATGAATGTACACGTTAACAAGCTGCCGGTAAAGTGTTTGCATCCTAAGTGTTTGTGATGTCATTAGGAAATCAGTGAACTGCTTCTACTGTGAACAAACCATGTGTGTGTGCTGCTTAAACAGCTTTAAATTTTTCTCCAGGAAAACTACTTCTGCTATATCTTTTAAAATTATGCATATCAGATGTATGCAAATCAGAACAAACAAAACCTTGTTCATAGCAGTTTCTGTATCCTGAACTTTGGAAATGGGTCAAACTAAACTTTAAAAGTGAAAGTACTATTTCCCTTCCACTCTGAACTCGCTATGATTATTGCTGCAAATACTTTATATTTTGGGTAGAATCATCTTCTGCTGTACTGATAGCAGCTTCAGAGATCAGCTTGAGAAGGTTGTGAGATCTAGAGCAGGTTTGGAGGGAAGCTGAGAGAAGGACAAAGTCCCATTGTGTTAGCTGACATTTGCACATGTGACACTGAATTTCTCCCTTTGATGTCTTTGAAAATGTCATTGTCCCCCCCACCCCCCCCCCAAAAAAAAAAGGTAAATGGTTAGCACAATGTTCACATAGTCTGCTTTGGCCATGTGGTTGCTAGATTTTATTGAACTTTGTAGATGGTAACTGTTAGGACATGTTCTATTTGTAAGTTCCCCATCCAACTATAAACAGCTTCCCATTGTCTGCTTTACCTCTTTCCTGCTGACAAAGCCTGTTCTTGCTGTGAATATTCTGATCATTTTTTGATAGAAGGATAAAGATGTTAAAAATTGGGGAAACTCTAAACATGTGCTCTGATCTTGTTTAGGAAGAACAAAAGCAACCTACTCTGTTATACTTGGTGTGAACTGACTGTTACTTCATTGCTCAGTGAAACACATATATAGTATATAAGGGACATTGTAAGAATGCTGCAGCTGGCCACTTCTAGCACTAACAGGTGATTTTCTTTTTGGCTGTGCAATAAAAACACAGCTGGGATTTTATATAGAAGCTGAAGAAGGAATATATATAACTTTCCTTTTGAAAGACACTCAGGTTTTGATGTGATTTGTTCGTAACTTGTTCAATATATTTGTACTAAATATGGTGAAATAATAATAAAATGCAACAAACCTGTCATTATTACTAATTAAAGGTAAAGCTGCTTTTGGCTTTGTATTGATGCAGGATGCAAGAGAATCAATGCCTTTACAAGTAGCAAAAACCTGGTTTTCTCTTGAGCTGGTTGCTTAGCAGATTGCAGTTAAGAGCCTGGTACTATTAGAATATCAACATCAGCTTGAAGTATTGTTTCCAGAATATTGACCTTTCCTCACCTGTTCATGAATTTGCACATCTGGAGGCTAGTCTGTTAAATCTGCTTTTTTTTACAGATGTCCTCTCCCAGCCGAATCTGTACCCAGATGCTGTTTGTTTGCTTTAAAAAAAAAACTGTTTTCATTTGCAATGAAGCCCATTTCTAATAGCCTTAAAAGTATGAAACCAACTGCTTTACTCCAGCTGCAGAATCATTGCCAGTCCACTGCAGGTGTTACAACTGAGCCTTTATTTATCAAAGGTGTATTATTAAACCTCGGCGGTGTGGTCCACATTTGCTTCTCTTGGATCCCAGTCCAAGATTCCCTAGATGACCATGCCTCCTTTCCTCATTTCTGTTTTCTTTCTCAGGCCCCCAAATTGTTAAGTAGCTTCCCAAAAATACTGCTGTTTGGGGCCTGCCTATCTTGCCTGTGACTCAACCAACCACTGGAATGTGCCTACCTATAACTTCTGTGAGGTGGAATTTGAGCCCCAGGATGAAAGAGGTTCAAACCCCAGGAGAGGTTTTTTCTCCCTGTGATGGGAGAAAAAACTGGGATTACATGTTTCAGCCCCGTAGCTATCTATTAATCAATACACAGATGTCTCACATCTAAAGTTGACAAGTTACTTTCCAGGAAACTACAGTGGTTCAAGAGCCCTCTCATACCCATGCCCCTTTCAGTCACAGCACACTTCCTTTCAGATGTAGCCAGAACACTGAGTGCATGTGCTTAGTTTTTGTTTTGTCCATGTCTCTGAGAGCCCACCTTGAATGGGTACATGTGCTGAAACTTTGTAGAAGTGTTACTCCTTGACTCAACTCATGGTGGTGGACTTAGAAATAACAATGGTTGGGAAACAAAACTGAAGCTCAGCTCACTTTAGTTAGCCTTATTGCCATTTTCCATTATCTATTGTTTCTCACCCACATGAGATATAAAGTTAGAACTGTAGATGAATTGTTATTGGTGCAGGAATACAGACAGTGTATTTTTCATTGCTATGCTGTTGGGGTTAAAAGGCAAAGCAAAACTGAATTCTTATATATTTGACTCCAAGGTAAAAATATTTCGTCTCTATGCCCCAGAGAGGACATATCAAAATAACATTGGGATGATGCTTCAGTGATGAAAGGTTGAAATCTTTGGATTGGCTTAATCTTCTCTAAGGAAAAAATAGGAAAACATCCAAAGGTACCATTAAAATGATTTTAAAAAAACTAATGTAGTTAGGCTTAACTGATTTATCTAATGCATTTTGAACTCCCTCATTATCAAAGTGCTCCCTGCTCTTTATTAAGTGTGTTTACAATTCCTTAACTAAAAGACATGTTGAAAAGCTGAAAGCTTCAAATGCAGTAAGTAAATGTCTGAATACACATGCTTCCATGGCATCTGTGGATGTTTTCTGTTTTTTTCCTTTTTTATGAACTTGCAGAGTTAAGTTTCCATAAAACATTCATGCCCAGTTACTTCAAGGCCTTAAATGTGAATACAGTCTGCTAGAGAATTTTCTATAGAACCCTCAATTGAAACAACTTTTTTTTAAATCAGTGAAGGGTAATTCTGCTTTGATAAGGCTATCTATAGCCTAATCCTGAGATAACTTAAGAGACATAAAAGCGGTATCACTGTGGGAACTGGTTAAATGCCTCAGATGTCTTACAATGTGTTGGGAGACAGAACTGACCTATGGACTGACCACATTCCCTGTGTGTAAATACTAGACTTTGGAAAACACATGTTCACTATACAAAAGAAAACATATCAATTGGTTTTCCATTTGCTTGAGAAAATTATTTGAGGGCTTCCTTCCCATGTTTGACTGTTTACTGAGGTTAGGACTATATCCTAAAAGGAATTGTCTTTTTGATTCCTCTCCCGCCCGCCCTCTGCCCCAAGTCTTCCAACACCTTTTGTTGTTGTTGTTAGTCGCGAAGTCGTGTTCGACCCATCGCCACATCGTGACCCCATGGTCAACATTCCTCCAGGCCTTCCTGTCCTCCACCATTCCCCTGAGTCCACTCAAGCTCACACCAACTGCTTCAGTGACTCCATCTAGCCACCTCATTCTCTGCCGTCCCCTCCTCCTTTTGCCATCTATTGTTCCCAGCATTAGGGTCTTCTCCAGGGAGTCCTTCCTTCTCATTAGGTGGCCAAAGTATTTGAGTTTCATCTTCAGGATCTGGCCTTCTAAAGAGCAATCAAGGTTGATCTCCTCTAGGACTGACTGGTTTGATTGCTTTGCTGTCCAAGGGACTTGCAGGAGTCTCTGCCAGCACCACAATTCAAGGGCCTCAGTTCTTCGGCGCTTAGCCTTCCTTATGGTCCAACTTTCACAGCCATACATTGCAACTGGGAAAACCATAGCCTTGACTATACGCACTTTTGCTGGCAGGGTGATGTCTCTGCTTTTTAGTATGCTGTCTAGATTTGCCATAGCGCTCCTCCCCAGGAGCAAGAGTCTTTTAATTTCTTGGCTGCAGTCCCCATCTGCGGTGTTCTTGGAGCCCAGGAAAATAAAATCTGTCACTACCTCCAATTCTTCCCCATCTATTTGCCAGGAAGGAGAGGACCAGATGCCATGATCTTAGTTTTCTTAATGTTGAGTTTCAAGCCAACTTTTGCGGTCTCCTCCTTCACCCGCATCAAGAGGCTCTTTAGTTCCTCTTCACTTTCTGCCATGAGAGTGGTATCATCTGCATATCTGAGGTTGTTGATATTTCTCCCAGCAATCTTAATTCCAACTGGTGATGCATCAACACCTTTATGTTGCTCATATTCAAATATGTCTCTACATTACACAATACGGGTGAACAAGAGGCACAGAATAACAAAAAGCATCCCTGTGTATGAACACTTCAAAAAATTAAGGTTGCCTTTGAAAGTATTCTGTGGGTGTGATGCAACTCCTGCTCAGGAAGGTGCTGTTTTATGTCTTGTCCTGGGGTGATGCACGAGGAGTTTGCCAGTGTGGTGTAGTGGTTAAGAGCGTGGGACTGGGACTCAGACAATCTGGGTTCGAGTCCCCGCTCGGCCATGGAGCCAACTGGGTGACTTTGGGCCAGTCACAGACTCTCAGCCCAACCTACCTCACAGGGTTGTTGTTGTGGGGATAAGATGGAGGAGAATGATGTAAGCTGCCTTGAGCCCTTTGTAGGAAAAAGGCAGGATATAAATCGAAAAATAAATAAACTAAATGCGAAGATCTGCTGCAGACCACGACTGCTTTGGTCTGTTCTTATTTATAGGAAGGAGCAAATACCTTCATAACAATTACAGGCAGCGACAGCAGCTCTTCTAGTTCCAGCACTGAGTGTCTTGTGGCACCTTAGCATGCCTGTTTTCAGCTGAATCACCATGACTTTTGGTGGGGTTAGCACAAACAAGCATGGCAGTGATATCTGCACAAATGGCCGTGGTAGGTGGCATGCGATTCATGGTCTGGCTACATGCTGCCCTCCTTTGATTTAGGGCTTTAAAGGCAAAGGGCAGCATTTTGATTAGGGTCTGAAAACAAATAAGCAGCTGGTGTGACTGGGACAGAACTAATTCATCATGACTGAGCCAAGGTCCATTGATTTGAATGGGGCTATACTAAGATGGCTAAATCTGGATCCAACCCAATGTTTTAACTAACGTATATGAAATACAATGTGTTGACATAGAAACAGCATTTTTTTTATTTCTGTGCAAGTGTGTGTGAGTACGTGGGGGGGGTGGAATATACTTTTACTTGTTCTTATTTCACTTGAATCTAGACAGCCACCCATCCAAATAGCATAAAATCAAAGAAATAGCATGATTCAAGCTATATTTTATTTTGCCTTATAGATTATTAAAGTTTACATTGATCCCTTAATGAAATTTATAAACAGATTACACACATATTTAATTTGTCTTTGCATGTGGGTAATTTTCATGTACAGAATACAAAAATTAAAAAATGTACACATTTTAATATGACTATGCTATCTGAAGTATAATTTTTACAACATATACAGTTACAAACATGCTTTAAAGAAAAAAATGAATCTCAACATATGCTCTATAATAGCTGTAAACTTGTTAAAATTAGTACAAAGACACTTGAGGATATGTAAAGGAAAACAAATCTGTTAAGATCCTGGTCCTGCAAAGTTTTCTAGCTGATAAACCTTTGCACTCCCAAAGAAAAGTTCAAAGATACATGTATGCCTTTCAAGGTAAGGTTAATTAGTATTTAAGAATTTTCCACTTGAAAATAAGAATGCACTAGCAATGTCAGCTGAGTTGAATAGCTGTGGTTTTAATAGCCCCATATACATTTTTACCAATATTAACCATCATATTTATGAATCAATAGCTTAATCCTTGCATATTCCTAGCTGGGTATTAAATATATAGAGAGACACATGAATGGCTAAGTAATAAACACAAGACACCAATAGTTATTTAAAAGACACCATAGCTGTTCTAATATTGTAAAGTTTGCTTCCTGGCTACTAGAGTGCATTGTTGACACACAAAGAAGAATAGCTATCGTATTGCACTGATGATTCTCCAGAGCTCCCAGGCAGGACCACTTTGTTCTTCCTTGTTTCCACCCTGTTTAGAGAAACCTTAAACCTCTGTGAAGCTTGTTACAACAGGCTTATATTAAGGTTTTCCAATGCTTCCTGATAATTGCTTATGGGACACCTGCCTAACTTACAACAGTGTTGCTATCAAATGTTGTCATTTGGACTTCCCTTCTTCATTTCTTGTCCCAGCAGTTGGTAAAGACAGTGTTCTGAGGGAGTGGAAACTGAACTGGATTTTAAATTATTGTACTGAGATAGTCAACATTTCTTTACCAAAACAAGCAAAATACCACTCTACTAGTGAAGTCGGGTGCTGAGCATTGTAGCCAAGGCAGGTCTAGAGGACAAAAAACAAGAGGAAGGTATCAGTATGCTTTGGGAAAAGCTAAGCCACACAAACTTTTAAACAATCACATAAGACTAAACATCCCTCCCACAAACCATTCAATGTAGTCCAAGCTGGCTTAGCAGCTGTGGAATGTAGAGTATCATTTGGGAGAAAGCCAACAAATAATACAAAGAGAATGGAACAGAGTTTCCTGAAAGATGACATGATTGCCTACAATTATGAGCTGGCATATTCCTGTTGGGATGTGAGGATACATTGTAACATTCTGTTGCAGAGTTTATTTGTATATGTAGAGCTGTCAAGTTTTAAGAGCAGTAGGATGTAGAATTGATGTTTTGGAAGTGAGCTTCACACAAAAGACTTAATTGCAGTTGACTTTTTGGTGGCCAGGAAAAAAACGCAACTGCCATTCACATTTATTATTGCAACACTGGGACAACTGGATTTCTTGTGTGACTGCAAGGGGCTATAATGGATAAATGCAAATATTCCTCACTTGTTATCCAAGAAAAATAGCTATCTGTATCATGTACTATAAACCTGCATCGGGCAGTATGTGCTGCATTTAAGGAAAAGTGGGGGTTGTTCATTTATACTCTATTCTGGTGTGTTATTAGCATCAGAATGCTCATGGTTTTATGAGGAGCCATCGCCAGTTTGCTTGTGCCAGTTGGGGTTGATCAGGTAAACAGGATACAATTGCCCTATCCTCTCACACTTTGTTTAGAAACAAGTTAAATAGGTGTATTATTCAAACAACAGTTGCTGCTTACAGATGCCTAGAGGAGTCTTCAAGTTTGTGTTTAACTGAGGTGCTTAGAAGGTCCTTGAGCAAACATGCGAATTGCTGCATGTCCAAAAAACTTTGCTTGTGAAACAGGCAGAAAATTTGCCATAAATGGGGGAGGGGGGGCTGGGACTTTATTAGAGTGCCTGATGAACTTTCTATTGAAATGAACATTATGTCCAATGCCCTTGTAGCTCAGTTTCCTCTCTGTAAAAAGGCATATTGCATGCTTAGGTAGTAAATGTTTTACAAGAGCTATCATTTTTATATTTGCTGTATTATAGAGAAAAGGGAAATGCATTCTCAAGCAAGACAGAACCATAGGATTGGACAGGCCCTCAAGTCACAGTACACGATTCAGGCATTCCTGCATATAGAACAGCCTTCATCCTTTTGAATCCTAGGACCTACCTGCAACAAACAATACCAAGTCTTATTTATTTTTAATGTATAAGTACTTCCCTTTTTTTCAGGATGGCTCTACACTGCAGACAATGCTGCTTTAATATTCAGTCTCCCAAAGGAACCCTAGGAATTGCCATACAATCAGGGTTGGTTTGTTGCAGAGCTTTCCAATAGAATCCCTACCACTTGTAGCAAGCTACATTTTCCCAGTTATTTCTGATCAGAGCAGGAAAGTTATGCTTGTTGAATTAAGATGGAACTAGCATCAATTTACAATTTAAATATTTGACATCCATCCCTTATTTCTAGGGATGTAGGTGGCACAGTGGTTTAAACTGCTGTGCTGCTGGGCTGGTTGATCGAAAAGTCGCTGGTTCGAATTTGCACAACGGGGTGAGTTCCCGTTGCTCCATCCCAGCTCCTGTCAACCTTGCAGTTCGAAAGCATGCAAATCCCTTATTTCTACTACTTCTTTAACTGTAGGAAGCATCAGGTGTTGTAAAAGTTTGGAAAAGACATTAAGATGCTCTAACCTGAATATTTCTCGTATCATCTCCTAGGTATTCTGAAGGGTATTTAAACTGCTACAATTATACTTGATGTTTCCAGAAAATAAGAAATGCTTATATTCTGATATTGTTATCTATTGATCAATTTGTTTTACTTTTGGTCAGTTTGTTTATAAATTGCAATGACACCTTTTTATGTAAGCAAATTTAAAGTGTCATTAGTATGATGCACCTGAGTGGCTACCAACCCTGCTAGTTTGTAAACCAGCAAATCTGTTACTTCTGTATATTAATCTATTGCTACAGGAGCCTTTGCACTGTAAGCACTCAAGATCATACCAGCTTTGGGGTCGTTATGCATTGAGAATTCAGTTTGGCACAGTGCAGTTCATAAGCTCTTCATTTTTGATGATAATGCATTTCCTAATTTCCTTGTGAACAGAGGCTCACATGCATTGTGCATATACAACTGTCAGGTGCCATATACAGAGTCCATGGTACCCTGATCATGACATGGTATCAATGCTCTTAATCTTTCTGCTCCATGTTCAAATCAATGGGGCCTACTTCCATTTGAGTGCCATGACATGGTTTTGACCTTCTGATCTTGTCTGCAGGCAATTCATCCTCACCCTCCAAAAGCAGACCAGGATTTAAAAACACATTATAAATCTGCTGCAACAGTAAAAAGTCTGGCAGGGAAACATCTGCTTCTTTTGTAATCTTAAAATGAGGCTAGAGCAATGGCTGAATACATTAGAGAGCTCAGCTGAGTCCCCCACCCTTCTTCCATTAGGAGCTTTCAGTTTTTCTTTTCCAAAATCAAACGATGGAAGTGCTTAAGTAGCAATTCTTTATTATTGGAAGAGTGTAACATATATTCCAGACTTAATAAACCTTGCATTAACATGTAATTCCACCCCTCCTCCAACACTGACAATTGTGTGAAAATTAGCACAACTCTTATTTCCAAGTAGTTAGCCAAAAGGATAGTCTTGAGCCTCATGAGCTGTCAATGGAACTGGAATAATGAGTGCTGAAGGTGCATTAGCAGCCCTTAATAGCCATGCAGGGAAATGTCTAGGAGGAGCCTTCTTGTTAGGCATAGCTCCGTTTTATCCTAAATGCTACTGCCTATAAAACAGACAGGAGGAGCTCAAATGTCTGTTTCTCTGGTGGCTCAGTGTCCAAGGGGCAGTAGCAGTGCTTTATTGGCCAGTTCAGAACCATGGGTAGCTTCTGCACTTGCTTAACGTTTCAGAAAATTACTATTCCTGCGAGTAGCCAGCTTCAAAAATAGATGGATTCTGTACGTAACTGCCTTCTTTGTGAACTCATGCACAGTAAAGAAATGTAGGGTTGTATCCAATATTAGTCCTACATAGAGTAAATGCACTGTACATAGATTAACATTGAGTCCAACCCCTAAAAAAGCCATGCTGGACTGGGTTAAAGGCCTACTTATTCAGGCATCCTGCTTCCCACAATGACTAACCAGATGCCTATGAAAAGTCAGCAAACTGGATAGTGCAACAATGTTTTCCTTCATGTGTTTCCCAGGTACTGTCATATGCAGAAACACATATAGGTGAGCACTAACCACATGGCCAGTAACCATCAAGAGCCTTATCTTCCATTAATTTGTCCAATCCTCATTTGAAGCCATACCAGCTGGTGGTCATTTCCACATGTTACAGGAGCAAATCCCATAGCTTAGTAACATGCTGCATAAAGAAGCGCTTTCTTTTATCTGCCATGAACTTCCCACCTTTTAGCTTCAGGGGTGAAAAGCATTCTAGTATTAGGGAGGAGCATGACTCCCTATAGATTTTCTCCACACAATGCATCATTTTGCACATTTCTATTGTGTTTGCCTACACTTCTTGGACAAATAGCTTCAAATGTTGTAAGCTTTCCTCCTAACTGTTCCAGCCCCTTGATTATTCTGTTGCTCTTTTCTGAGCATTTTCCAGCTGTGTGGTAACCGTTTTTGAGATGTGGTAACCAGAACTGTATTCCAAGTATGGTTACACCACTAACATGCTTAAGGACAGAATGTTATTGACAGTTTATTTTAGATTCCTCTTCCAATGATGCCCAACATGCAATTTGCTTTTTTCACAGCAGCAAGTGCCAGGTCCTATCAGTGTAGACAGATGCCATGAAATTTTCATGGGAAAGTTGGAACCATGTCCCACCCTTCTCTCTGCTTGACATGCAAGCCATTTCAGCTGTTCAAAATCATATCTCTACACCATGTTACAGTTAAGAGCATGTGTTCCTGTTCACTGCCACTTGTTATGAGCAAGCAGCTCCCACAGTGGAACTTGCTACAGAATAGGCTTGCAAGTAGATTTTCTGGAAAAGAGGTGGGGGGAGGGAATCCACCTAAGCTCATATTTATCACCCAGGTCTTGCAATATTAACCCAAATACATAATATTTCAAGACACAGTAAGAAACTACACAGTCATGAAACATTGCAAGTGAGAAGAACTGGATTACTTTTGCAGCAGTAGCTCAATGAGACATCCTCTTTAAAATTCTACCCTGCTCTTAAATTTCTATATTCTCAGTGACCTGATGTGATTGCTTTGGCTGGATATCCTTCTGCTGACACCACTGAGAGCTCTCAGTCAATCTGTTCTCTGTTGAAATCAACTCGCAGGTGGGCCTTGGTAATAAAAGTTTGTTTGTTCATCTGTTTAAATAGTATGCATCCAATGAATTTCTTAACATTGATGCAGCTAGTTTGGATCTTGGAAAAGTCACCAAGACTTTAAAATACATTTGTTACTTATAACATAGTCCATACTCAAAGATTATAGTTGGATGGATACTGTATGTGTGTGTGCTTTGTTTACTGAGGCTTACAAACATCAGCTGTTTTCTGGAGTGTAGGGTTCCCAGATGTATCTCCTTACAAGCCACTTTTCCTTTGCTTCTAAAGCCCTTATCAAAATCCTACATCTGCTATTGTAACTTAGCTTAAGTATGTATGGCTAAAATCACACCTATTCTTTCCCAGTTTCCCCCTGTGTTTACTTTCCTCCGACTTCCTCTGTTGAAGGAGAAGCCTTCTAGATGTTGTTGAATATCAGTTCCCATCATTCTTCACCTTTGGCTATGCTGGCTAAGGATTGCAGGAGTTGTACTTGAACAGCATCTGGAAGGCTACAAGTTGCCCACCTGCCCATTCTGTTGTCTCCTTTATATTAAATTATAGCTGACAAGCACCCTTATACCTTGCAACTTACCCGACCCAATGATGGGGTACCAGTTTGGTGGCCAACTGAACCAATCATAGGCAAACAAGAATGGGCTGCATGTGGTATCTTTGGGAGACCAACAGTAGAGGATGTCTGCTTGTTGCAAAAGCTTACTTCCTCCCTCTCCTCCACCAGCTTCTGCCCAGAAAGTCTTCATAAAAGTTACGGCATGGCCATGGCCAACATGCCCTTTGTCATTTTCTTGCTATAGGCTGCTACATTTCTGTGGCCTGGTCCACATGACAGGACATCCCATGGTGTGTTGTCACACACATCCCATGGTGTGTTTGTTTGCTCCAGGGTGGCTTGTGTCATCCAGACCTGGTGTCATTGCCTCAGTGGGGTGTGTGTTTGTTAACCACACCCAAACTGCTCTGGGTAGCTACGCCATGTCAGGTTGTTCAGGGCTGCTTTCTGTGACATGGGGACTAACGTGCTACTGTTAAAGCACAAGAGGAGACCAGTAAAAAAACCAACACAAAGTATGAACATCTTAGAGAAGAGCATTAAACTCTTGACAGTTTCATGTGAATCTTGTTGCATGTAGACTAGAAGGAAATTGCATGCAGTGACATTCGGCCTAAGGCAACCTTTCTTGACCTGGTTCGCTCTGGGTGTGTGGGATGATCCATCATCCCCAGCCAACCAGGCTGACTGGGGATGATAGGAATTGCCATGCAACACATCCAGAGAGAATCAGACTGGGAAAGATTAGACTAAAGCATTGCTATTTAGCAAGCTCAAGTGACCCAATTTATTATCAATTTTACCCATGTTATTTTTAACTTTAATTTTGATAGGAGAGTTTCTACTGGGGCTGTACATAGTTCAGGCTTCATAGTCACAAAATATTTGCCATTGCATGGGTGATGCAGAGGAAACACTTGCCTCTGTCTTGTAGCAAAGCACAGCAGGACAGCGGGGCGTCAAATGAGTCCCTTTCTCTGTGTAGCTTCACTCAGAGAGTGAAATAATTGACAGAGAGCCCAGTACTACTCACTCATTTGGAACCATGCCCTGGAGTTCACATAATACAAGTACTTTTATTATGCTGCTTCCCCCTTTAGTTCATTCCCACCCCCCCCTCTGCTCCCTCCCCTTTGCTCTTATTTTCAGGACAAATAAAATCACGAAGAATGGAGCCCAAAGGAAATTGTTTGCTGTTTGGGGTTAGCAAAATGCCCCCTCCCCAGACTGTTTGGAAATGAAAGGAAAATTTGGAAATGGGTATATTCTGGAGGACCAATTCACTTATCCTCACAGTGTTCCTTAAGCAATGCTACAGGGCAAGGCTTGGGCAAGCCCAGTTCTGCTGGCGCCTGATGTTATTGCCACACACTTATGAATACGCCATGCCTAAATTTAGCCCAAGAGCAATAGAATTGGAGATACCTCATGGAAACGGCACTCTAGAGTGCAGTGGCATGCATCGCCGGTGGGAACAGTGATGTCTGTGCAGTTTTCGTCTTGCAGCCAGGTTAACTGGAAGATAGGAGAGCATTAAAAGAGTCAAGATATCAAAAATAACCGCAGGTAAGCAGGAAAGGTGTTTAACATATTTTTGGAAGGCATATATGCCCACTTGCTGCAGGATGCCATCTTCTGCATGGACAGGATTCCTACTGTGATACTGTCATTTCATTCTAATTAAGAAGCACAAAAGTTCATTGATGGGCTTCCACTAGCTAAGCTGTTTTTTTTTTCCTTCAGAAATCATCTTCCACAATCAGATATTGCCACATGTAATAACCATTTGCTAGACTTGTGTAACTACAGAACCTTTAGCTGGCAATGGGCATGATCCACTTAAATGCAAATGCCCTTACAGTGCAATACTTTGTGTGCTAATTTGTAAGTGAATTCCATTATAATCAGTGGGCTTTACTCTCATGTAAGTATGTGCAGGATTGCAGCTTTATTACTAGCATATAAGTCCCAATGAACAGAACAGAATTTATGGAGTAAGCATGCAGAAGATTGCCCTGGACAATCCACTAAACTTTAATACGAGTTTACATGTAACTGGATTGTGTTATTTGGCTTTAGCACATGAAATAAAATGTTTGAAAATAAGAGTTCTTACATTCATCCAGAAAAAAACTAGTGGTTTAAGGATTTTATGTATTTTCTCTTACATTCTGTGTCACCTAGAGAGCATTTTACATGAGAAAAGGTGTTTGGAAAATAAAATAAATAATGATAGGAGTCACCTGACTAATATCAGTACTACAGTGCTTGAAAACAGGAGAGAATTACCACCAGAAGTAGTATATTTTGCAGTTCCCTGCAAAAGATAAACTACATTTGTGGACAACAGAAATCCAGTAAGCTTCACTGTTCCCCTTGGGGGCTCAAAGACATTACTTTAAATCTGTGTCTAGCAACTACCTCTCCCCACATTTTTACTCTAGAGTAAGTGGAGGGGCCCCAGTCCAGTTCTTAAAGGCACCTCATGCTAGAATCTGGATTGCCATCTATGCAACAACTCTAGAGTAAACATAATGTCTGTTCTGGCCCTGGCATTGTAATAGTGGCCTACCTGACAGGGTTATTGCAACACAGTGCAAACCCTGTCTGAGCATTTAAGAGAATGTGCTGAATAAATTCTAAGCACCGTTGATGCATCCTGGTGCCTTGAGCTGCTGAAAAGGGAGGAAGGAGGCACAGTTCATTTTGCAGGCCATTGCAGAAGACAGAGAACTGGACTGGGATATGGGAAACATGCAAATCTCCACTTATGGTCACTGGGTATCCTTAGTAAACTGTCTCCCAAGTGTGCAGCCAGAATGCCTATTTTCCTGAAAAGAAATCTCAAATCCAAATGCAATAGTATTACCAACACCTTTGGATCTACTATTGGGAACAGCAGGATGCTCTGACCCTGAATGACTTCTGTATTTTTAGAAGCCTGAAATTCTTTAAGTAACCTGGGAATATGCTGTGGGAAATCTTGTATTTTGTCCCAGCATCCTGCCAGATGTTGCCAGAGCTGCCCACAAGCTGGCCGAAGGCTAGCAGGGGCTACTTGCCCTGGACTCCTGCCAAATGGGGGATCCCAACTTACATTCTGTGTACCTTGTTGTCCTCTGCACCCCACTTCCCACACACCCGCATGGGCCCTCATGGCAGATCCCCAATGTCATGCCTACTCCAGATCCCACTAAGTCCTCTGTGGGGTCCTGGATGCTTTAGAAACATTCCAGAAAAGCATCCCCAGCAAGTCTTTTTCCTCTCTACACTGTAATTAAGAGAACGGCTTTTCAGGATTGGAGCACCACATGACTTCTGGATAACTCACTCCTTTGGCTCTCTTCTCTTTTCCCCATAGAAAGGGGGGGGGGGGGAAGACTCTAGTGGTTTTGTTAGTTTGTAAACGGACAGGTTGGCATTGTGGTGGAATATTTCTTTGATTCTTGCCTACCCCTGCTTCACTTTTCAACTTTTTTCCTGCCAGCTGAAGAGGGCTGGAGAAGTATGCTGATCACCAGCTGGGGCTGGGGCGCAGTGCTCCTTTTTGCCCAGGGCTACCATCTGTTCCAAGCTATTTGCTCTAGAGTTATTGCTAATGAAATGGCTGCAGAATTACTGGTTGGGGATATCCACTTTAATCAGAAAAGTGAATCGTCCCACTGTTGGCGTGCAGGTAGGGTATTTATGCAACATTTACTTTTCTAGAAATTCTGTACACCGGGGCAAATTTTATTTATTTATTTATTTATTTATTTATTAAAACATTTTTAATTTTACCTTTTGCGCTTTCAAATACTGAAATCTGAGTGCTGTCGGAATCTGGGACAGTATATTTGACTGAGCGAAGAAGAAAGGCTCAAAACTATCCCCCTCCATACAAAAATCAGAGCTCTATTAAACCATCCTCGAAAGTTATAAAAGCTCAGTTCAGGCAGATACTAGTCAATGATTACGGATAATTTCTAATGGAAAACGGTAAACATGCATGCATTGAGCAGCTATTTCGGAAGGTTTTGCACGATCCAAGCTTTTTTCCTCGGCCGTTCCAATTTACTCAATTTATGGCTCTATTGCTTAAGTGATGAATTGACGGGTCTCAAGCAGAACAGAACAAAACCAAACGTACAGTTCCCGTTCCCATTCCATTAATTACGGTAAAGCAGCAGGACAAGCCTAGACCAATGTACCATTTCGCGAAAGCGTTTAATGCTGCACCATACGCCCTGATGTTGCCATGATCATAATTCATTCTTAACCTGCCATCTTCTAACGAGCGAGCAAAAGAAACGGGTTTGCACTGCACGTGAGAAGGTAGGTGCATGCAGAGGCTGAAGCGCAGCACTCTCCATTCTTTCACGGCGCGGTCCTATCTGTTGCCTACTCGGAAGTAAGTCCCATCGAGTTCAATGGGACTTACTCCCAGGTCAGTGTGCCTACGATTGCTGCCTTAGAGAGAGGTATGGGTTAAACCATACCATGGCTTGGGGTGGGGGGGGGGGGCAAACGTAGCAGCACAGATATGCAAGCGCTATATAGGGAAATCCAAGGAGCAGGCACCATCCTTAGCGCACAAGTCTTACCCACCTGGCCTCTGTCCGTCGATAAGGAGCATCCCAGTCAGGAGCAAAAGCCAGGTCCAAAGGAGCCGTTGGAATCTCATGCTTGCAGGCGTGCGGTCTCCACACCACCCCCGGCACGGATCCGGGATTCCTAACACTCGCAGCGAATGAGACGCCCTCCCGGAAATGTGCGCCCGTCTGCAGTATCTCTCTGGTTCAGCTCACATTCTCCTGACCAGCCTCAGAGGAAGGCACAACCAACTGCCTTTTCCAGCAAGGTTAACGATTGCAGAAGGCAAGGTTACTCTTCCTGCACTGTGGCCAGCGCCTCCCCGGGTTTCCCTCTCTGTCACTCCCACTTATTTTCCATAAGCCAACAACAGGAAGGGCGGGGGGAGTCAGTGTGTAAACTGCAGCTTCTGTCAACGTTGGGGAAACAAGGAGCTCCCCGGGAACAATGGTCCAACTTCTCTTGAGATGCATTCCAGGCAAGGAGAAATATGCAAAGCAAGCCAGGAGAGCTCTTCCTCCTCTTCCTATTTGTAACTGTTTATGCTCGGCTGCATTTTGCCCATGCTGGTCCCACATGCGGAAACGCCATGGAAGGGGGTAGGAAGTTGTATCTTTTGTCCCGCTCTGAAAAGGCAAGCTTAAGAGAACCCAAAGCAACTTGGGGCCCCTTCTTGTTTGCCTCACCGCACAAATTTTTATCCCTTCTCAACTAGCTGCGAAAGAGCATCTATTCAAAGTTGTGGAGGCCGAGTAGAATGCAAAAGGGCCAAGCTAATGCATATCTTTGACAGCGGCAAGTGTTTTCTAAGAAGCCAAAATGACTTAGTGCGCACGTGCGTGTGTGTGGCCCAAGCATTGACTGGAGGACTGTCCATAAAGTTTGTCACATTAAAGAAAAAAATAGCACCTTCCACCCAAATCATAATTTTAATTCTAGTGCAGAACCGCCACCACTTCTTAAGTGAGTCATGCACATCACACCACAGATTTTAATAATTCAGATGTATGCAGCACTGTGTATTAATATAAGGAATACAGTGTCTCTGTTATTTGCATCTTTTCTGCTTCCTGTGAACAAAGATATTTCTAGATAAGAATTGCTGAATCTGTAAAGAGCACTACAGATTGGGGCACATGGCCAATTTTATGCTAGTGGAAGAAGTCCTGGTTGGCTTTGTTACACTTGTGGTTGCAAGTTATTAGATCTAGCACAACCAGTACAAGCAAGACCTAGTCTATTGAGGTTATAATGAATTGTTCAATGATTTAGGAACAGATTGCCCAGCACATCACACAATGTGTGTAATACATAGTACACAAGTGGAATCAGAGTATTGGCTCTGACACTTGTGCATAGATAAAAATGGCACTTGTGCAAACCAGAAAGCCTTGTGCTAGTGCAGTGAGGCCATCAGATACAATCCTGAGTTAATTCCCCAATCCTTAAAAGTTCTTCATACTAGAGATCAGAGAATCAGGCTTTGGGAGTATGTATTCTGTGTAGGCTTTGTGCATTTTGAGATGGTAGAATCCATGAGATACAGGAAATAAGTGGGTCACAGGGACAACAGACTGGGGAGATAGTGTAGGAAAGAAAGATGGCAGCCTTCCCTGTGCTATGTTGGTTGGGGATGATGGGTGTGGTACTCCAGCCCATCCAGAGAGCACCAGGCTGGGGAAGGTAGGAAAGTAAAAATAGCAGGACAACAAATATACAAGAGTTAAAGGAAGGGAGGGAAAGAACTGCTCCAGGGAGGCAAATTTGTGACATCAAAAAGTCCTCTGCAACTCAGCTGGATTCTTTTCCAAGTTGCAGAGCCAGTTGCCTTGATCTTGACCTTGGAATGGAGCAGGTGAGCACAACATTATGTATAATGTAGCAACCCTTGTTTTTTAGATTCATCTGTATTGTACCGAAACAAATGGTTGCACCACTTTTCTTTTTTTTACAAATGACTTCTTTCTTCACTTTCACTCCCTTTTCCATCCCTTCTTTTACCTTTTTTTTCTGAAGTTGAATGATGACCACTTTGCTACTGTATTTTGCTAGCCATTGCAATAATTTCAAGGATAATGGTTTTATTTCAAGGAGAGACAAGGCCACTTACTAGTCCTGCAAAGCAAGCCAGTAATGTCACCATATAAAGTCCCACAATGCAGCATTTCGTGAAATAGCAAGATCATAGACAAAATGAGTTTGTTGTTTTAGTTTTACATGCATTTATTGGACATTTTACTTTACAGTTTTTCTGAGGCAGGCCTATTCTCATTCCCAGTCTTACCTAAATCTCTTTGGTGGAAAGCTTGGCAACATGGTACCCTCCTGCGGGACCAATGGTAGGGAGTTATGGGAGTTGTATTCCAAAAGGGTGGATCATTTGAACTTGAGCATTTGCACATGGAATGAGGGAGAAGGAAAGAAGCTTGTTAAACTTCTGGAGGAAGTATAGAGCTCTGTGCTCTTTTAAGTGGTCAATCATCTATTCCTTTTGTTAGCCATGAAGGTGGACACTTTTGACCATATATTCCATTGCTCCGATTCTGGTTAGAATTGGCCATTGTGGTTTCCTTCCAACACCTACCTGCATGTCCTGACTGTCCTAACAATGCACAAGCTATAATGAATGTGTGTGTGTTCACTGACCACAAATATAAGAAATTCTTCAAAAAGAAATAGCAGATTATTTTGCTGGATGTTTGCCTTAAATAAAGATCACTTTAATGCATGACAAATTTAAGTTAAATTAGAAACACTGGTGTTGTCTGGTGGTCGCTCTTCCCTTTTAGAGAGAGCATTTGCCTGCTACTCCTTCATAGCTGCTCTGAAAAAATATAGGGTGGTCCCGAAGGCCTAATTCGGGATTCACCTCAAGAAACTATTTTTTCACTCACTAAAGTTACTATCCTGAGCATGTTTGAACAGAAGAACCCACTGGGAGTTGTAGGAATTGTTTCTATCTTAACATCAGTAGTATTGTGTCCTGAGTTTAAGAAATTAGTACTAGGACCTCTTAAAGAGGTGTCTCCAGGATTTAGAACAAACAAATACATTGGTCCAGTAGGAATTTGGAACAGGTTCTTTCCACACTAGCTGTGAGGATTAGGGCAATTTGAGTGTGAATCTCCACCTCTAAGGTCAGAGCTCCTTTCTGCTCAGCTCTGGAAAAGCGGAGGATGCTAGTGCACCCTAATACTGTCCAGAGGCCACAGGATTACTCTGCCCATCTACTAAAAGTTCACCATCTTTATATAGTAACATTTCTCCAAAATTTTGGGCAGGATGAGGTGGCATGGCAATATATGTACAAATGGGGTGGGAATGTAATGTCACCAAGGGGTTCTGGAGATGCGGTAAAACCAATAGCATGTACCTAGTGCTAAATTGGCAATATAAACTACTTTGGGACAGGAACTTCAGGACACTGTGGACAACACTGCTCTTGCTTGAGAGCCAATATGGGAAACCCAGATCCTAGTCCCCATTCATCTCTGAAGCTCACTAGCTGACTCTTGGCCAATTGTTGGACTCTTGTGAGAGGAAATAATGCAAGTTCTAAATGTAATAGGTAAACAAATGACTGTTTCATATAAATTTGATTGATTGTATTTGTTACATTTGTATCCTAACATTTCCTCGGAGGAGTACAACCCTACATACTCGACAGCCCCCGTCCAATTTCATCTTGGTAAGAACCCTTTGAAGGCAGGCTGAAAGTCAGTGACTGACCAGTGTTACCCAGTGAGCTTCGCGGCCAAGTGGGGACTCAGACTCAGGTGTCTCTAGTTCCAGTCCAACCTTCTGCCCGCTATCTCTTCTACATTGCACTGGTTCTCAGCTTATCCTAATTACAGGAAATGCCATAAATGCACTTTTCTGATACCCACATACCAGTATTTTCTCCTCAGTCATAAAGCTAAACAGAATATTAGTATAACACAATATTAGTACAGATGATCATTTAGCACAGTGTAATTCAGTTAGTGTCTCCAAAAGTAGGAAATCTTGGCTGTAGCATCCACCTTGTTTTCCATGCATTTTGCCCCAGATGGATATAGGGCAGTGGTGGCGAGCCTATGGCACGTGTGCCACAGTGGGCACACAGAGCTCTCTGTCGGCACGTGAGCCAAGTCGCCCCAGCATCGTCACAGCAGCTGAGCATTGGATAACAAGCGCACATAGGGGCCCTGTGCATCCTCAGGAGTAGTGGTGCCAGGTGATGATGTCACAAGGCGCAACACATTAGCCACGACTCGTCCGAGCTTTTGCATGGCTGGTCAGTGCACTGCCAAGGATATGTATATTTTGCTTAGACTGGCAGTTTTCAGGTTTTATTGCAGTGTTGGCACTTTGCAATAAATAAGTGGGTTTACTGGGAATGCCCAATAAACTTGGGTTGCAGTTTGGGCACTCGTTCTCTAAAAGGTTCACAATGACTGGGTTAGGGTTAGAAAAAAGAGGTGTCCTGGCATGGTTTTGACGATTAGAATGTGATTAGAATGGGCAGAAATGATGAGCTATGCAGAAAAAGCTCCTCAAGGAAGGCTTTTTCAAAATCTCTCTCTTGCCAATGGAATTTTGATCTTATATTAGGGTTAGGGGTGTGCACCAGGGTAGGGGTAGGCCAATGGTGGCGAACCTATGGCACGCGTGCTGCAGCAGGCACTCAGAGCCCTCTCTGTCAGCACACAAGCTAAGTCGCTCCAGCATCGCCCCAGCAGCCAAGCATTGGATAACAGTGCACATAGGGGCCATGCACATGCTTGGAAAGGAGTAGCAGCGCCAGGTGATGACATGTGCTGCGACTCATTAGTTGTGACTCGTCCAAGCTTTCACATGGCCGGTCAGTGCGCTACCAAGGATATATATATATATTGCTTGAACTGGTTGTGAGTTGTTTTTTTCTAAACTAAAATCACAGTTTTCAGGTTTTATTGTAGTGCTGGCACTTTGCGATAAATAAGTGGGTTTTGGGTTGCAGTTTGGGCTCTCGTTCTCTAAAAGGTTCGCCATCCCTGATATAGGGAAGCAGGACAGTGATGGTTGCCATGGGTGATCACTGGCTCCCTTGTGACTAAAAGGTAAATGAAAACAATTGATGGTCAGACTTGATAGGCGTAGTG